TGGCATACTCACATGTTAACTTGCAGTGTAAATTTGATCAGATTAGAAAATAATAAATTGCTATGTTAAGAAATTAAAAAAAAATATTTTTCTTGTTCCAGTAGAATTATTGGTCAAAAAATTGAAATATATGAACAATTAAAATAAAAATGTAATGACTCAGTTTAAATGTTCAAAAATTGACTGAAAGCATCAAGGTTCAGTTGAATAATGTCATTCACTTAAAACTACAGTTAGTACGTTAAACCCTCAACTACGGGTTCAACTATAGGTTCAATTTGATTACATGTAAAACTCTCAACTAAGGGTTAACCTATAGGTTCAATTCGATTACATGTAAAACTCTCCCAACTACGGGTTCAACTATGGGTTCAACTATGGGTTCAAATTTCAACTAAACTGACAATCTACAGGTTCAATTAAATAACAAGCTAGCTTCAAACTACGAGTTCAACTATAGATTAAATATTCAACTTAATGACAAAGTACAGGTTCAGCTATAGGTTTAATTCTATTATATGTTAAACTATCAACTACGGTTTAAACTATAGGTTCCATTTTCAGCTAAATTGACAAAATACATGTAAAGGCCTCAGATGTGGGTTTAACTATAGGTTCAGTTCAATTATATGTTTAACTCTCAACTAGAGGTTCAACTATATGTTCCATTCAATTACATGTAAAACCCTCAACTATGGGTTCAACTATAGGTTCAATTCGATAACATGTAAAACCCTCAACTATGGGTTCAACTATAGGTTCAATTCAATTACATGTAAAACTCTCAACTACGGGTTCAACTAAAGGTTCAATTCAATGAATTATATGTAAAACTCTCAACTACGGGTTCAACTGGGGATTCTATTTTCAACTGGCAAACTACAGGTTCAATTAAATAACAAGTTAGCTTCAAATGATGTGTTCAACTATAGGTTCTATTTTCAATTAAACTGGCAAACTACAGGTTCAATTAAATAACAATTTAGCTTCAAACTACGGGTTCAACTATAGGTTCAATTGAATAAGATGTAGAACCATTAACTACAGGTTTAACTAAAGGTTCATTGAATAACATGTAAAACTCTCAACTACGGGTTCAACTATAGTTTCGATTCATTTACATGTAAAACTCTCAACTACGGGTTCAACTATAGGTTCCATTCAATTACATGTAAAAATCACAACTACGGGTCCAACTATAGGTTCATTGAATAACATGTAAAACTCTGAACTACAGGTTCAACTAGAGGTTCTGTTCAATTAAATGTAAAACTCTAAACTACAGGTTCAACTATAGGTTCTATTTTCAACTAAACTGACAAACTATAGGTTCAATTGTAGGTTCATTGAATAACATGTAAAACTCTCAACTAAGGGTTCAACTATAGGTTCTTTTCAATTAAATGTAAAACTCTAAACTACGGGTTCAAGTATAGGTTCTATTTTCAACTAAACTGACAAACTATAGGTTCAATTATAGGTTCATTGAATAACATGTAAAACTCTCAACTACGGGTTTAACTATTGTTTCAATTCAATTACATGTTAAACTCTCAACTAAGGGTTCAACTATAGGTTCTATTCAATTACATGTAAAAATCTCAACTACGGGTTCAACTATAGGTTCATTGAATAATATGTAAATCTCTCAACTACGGGTTCAACTATAGGTTCTATTCAGTTAAATGTAAAACTCTAAACTACGGGTTCAACTATAGGTTCTATTTTCAACTAAACTGATAAACTATAGGTTCAATTATAGGTTCATTGAATAACATGTAAAACTCTCAACTACGGGTTCAACTATAGTTTCTATGCAATTAAATGTAAAACTCTAAACTACGGGTTCAACTATAGGTTCTATTTTCAACTAAACTGACAAACTTTAGGTTCAATTATAGGTTCATTGAATAACATGTAAAAATCTCAACTACGGGTTCAACTATAGGTTCTATTCAGTTAAATGTAGAACTCTAAACTTTTCAACTAAACTGACAAACTATAGGTTCAATTATAGGTTCATTGAATAACATGTAAAAATCCCAACTACGGGTTTAACTATAGGTTCTATTCAATTACATGTTAAACTTTCAACTACGGGTTCAACTATAGGTTCTATTCAGTTAAATGTAGAACTCTAAACTTTTCAACTAAACTGACAAACTATAGGTTCAATTATAGGTTCATTGAATAACATGTAAAATTCTCAACTACGGGTTCAACTATAGGTTCTATTCAGTTAAATGTAAAACTCTAAACTACGGGTTCAACTATAGGTTCTGTTTTCAACTAAACTGACAAACTATAGGTTCAATTATAGGTTCATTGAATAACATGTAAAAATCCCAACTACGGGTTCAACTATAGGTTCAATTCAATTACATGTAAAGCTCTCAACTACAGGTTCAACTATAGGTTCAATTACTTGTTAAACTTTCAACTACAGGTTCAATTTTCTACTATATACAGCTTTAACTACAGGTTCATGGATGCAGTTTTAGAATATAAAAATATGATTAGCTCGAGAAGTTGGTTTCCAAAAGAAAATCTGCCTTTTCATAGTTTATTTGGTTAGGGCTCCTTAATGCTAAAAACTGTCAGAAATGTAAAATAATAAAAATAGAATGAAATAATAACATCTAACCAGGTGAATTAAGGAGCATAAGTAAGTCCCTCTATTTTCTCTAAAATGTACTACATTTCATGTTAATTCATGTAACCACGATTCCCCATACTTAAACACAGTGGGAAAAACATGGCGGAGTCATGTAAAACCAAGACAAGAGTTACATGATTTTGCCACATTGTTCATGTTCTGCCACAGTTTGCCCCGTGTAAAAGTGGAGTAAAATCAAGAGTGCCATCTCTTGTTTTTACAACAACATGCCACGCCACACATGGGGCAAAATGAAGCGAACTAAAGTGAAGTAAAGTAAGAACATGTGCCCTCTTTCGCCACGCATGTAAAAACATGGGTTTTTTCCTAAGGGAAGGCTGTCCCAAGGTTAAGAAGGAACATTATACCCAGCTCATTTGAAAGAATAATTGACCTAACATCTGGATATCATCAAGTCGATACATGCTGATATTAGTCAATGGAACCAAATATTAAAAATAATAAAACAAAAAAATGAAATGAAAATCAAAGGTTAAGGTCAAAATTGTCCTTTGCAACATTCTTTATCATAATTTCACATTTTAAATTTTGTAAACGGTGATTTTGCACCCTAGAATCTTAATTATTATCAGATATGCACTGACTTGACCTGTACAAGGTCACTATGGCCTCAATAACACTTAGGATGCACCTGAACACTATGCCATAATTAACGCCTTACTAAAAACCATATTATATGTCATAATGGTCATGAATGACCTGGGGGCAGTTTTATATACTTAGTATGACGGATCCTTTATCTTTTAATGCTCGTTCACTAGAAGCAATATTCACTAAAATTGTCACGTTTTTCATTTGCTGAGAACTTCCAGGAAGTCGTCTTTAAGGTGTGACTATATTGCCACATTTAGGTTGCATTACAACCTTGTCTTTATGGGTGTACTACTCTCCCGTCATCCAATTCGGAATAACCATCCACAATTGAGCAAACAATTACACTTTCGCGTGTTTGGATGAATTTACGATCCCCGAGACTAAAATCATCGTTCCCCTTTCTGTGATTAAACAAAATGAAGCACAGAATTCCATTTAGCAAATCCCCGACATATTAAAACCTAATTTAACGTAGATTTTCCCTTTTGGACGAGCCTTTGAATGGCGCTATTTTTAAAAAATTGATCGGATAATCCTTTAAAGCTTTTAAAATTGAACCCTTCAAAGACTGTATCACGACTCACATACGTGGGTACGTGGGCATAAGGTACAAGTTTTTTTTATACAAAGCCTATATTTAATAAGTTATTATACAATGCAGAAGCCAGACCCTATAAATGTTACATAATTTTGCAGAGCAATTGACTTTAATTAGGACAATGACATCACGAAGAAATCCTGTATTTTGATTGGTCAGATTTCTCTGGCCTCTCAAAAGGTGACTGGCTTTACTGAATAATCATCTTCGTTCACTCGGCTCCCGTCGGAACGCAGTGAAGACTGAGCGTGCGAAGATGCTGAATAATATCATCCCTGGGCAGTCTAAATTGATTGATGGATTCATTTTATATTATTTTATTCAAGTACATCAAGTAATCTTTTGTAATATTGGATAAATAACGTCTGATCAAATAACTTAATCGCCCAGTTCCTGGTGAAAATACACGATGTATCTAAATTCCTCTGATGGATGATTGTCCCACACATGATTTGCAAATCGTTCAGTGAATGTTGGAAATTCAACCAATGGATGGCAGTGATAACAGGCAAACATCACAATTCTAGGTTGATTTCGGTTTAACACATTGGAAAGAAGCAGATGTATTTAAAAAACACACGAAAACACGAGGACTACTTTCCAAGTAGTGTATTTTAAAATTTGTACAGACACCATCATGCAGAATTTAAGAGTTGTTCAGACACCATCATTTTTCAAAATAAAAAACAGTGACATCTCAAAAAATATGCGTCCTCTGCTTGTAAATTTAGGTTCATTTGAAAGACTGAGCTAGTATGCACAAGTGGGGCGGGATTTGAAGCATTTAACAAAGTATGAATATGAAAATTATTCGTTTTTCTTGCTTAATCGAGAAAATCTAACGCCTTGTTCAGACACCATCAGTTGCAAAGGTCACGTGATGACAATCCCTACCGATGTTACACTGCACGAAAATAAAGTATTTCCCCGGGAGTGATGGAACCGTTCTGGACTTGGTTCTTGGTGATCAGACGGTCCCAGTAGAACCGTGGGGCCAAAAACCGCGGTTAATCGAACCGAACCATGACCGACCCTTCTCTAAAATTTAGTCAATTTATATGCCTATTTAACTGATTTTTCTTATATTTCTTAAAAACATTATTATTCATCAGTTGAATATTCATGTTTTAGCTTTGGTCTTGCACCCGGGATACTCAACATTAACACCCCACTTGCACCCAATGCTGCAGCGAATGTAACACTGGCTTTGACAACAACGGGAGGTGTACAAAAAATGGAGCCCCTGAACAACCTTCAGGTAATTTATTCATCATGAAAACTTTGACAAGAAAAATAATTGAAGGGGTTATGAAGATAGGTACCAGCCTTATGAAGGGGTTATGAATATAGGTACCAGCCTTATGAAGGGGTTATGAAGATAAGGTAACAGCCTTATGAAGGGATTATGAAGATAAGGTACCAGCTTTATGAAGTGATTATGAAGATAAGGTACCAGCCTTATGAAGGGGTTATGAAGATAGGTACCAGCCTTATGAAGGGATTATGAAGATAAGGTAACAGCCTTATGAAGGGGTTATGAAGATAGGTACCAGCCTTATGAAGGGGTTATGAAGATAAGGTAACAGCCTTATGAAGGGGTTATGAAGATAAGGTAACAGCCTTATGAAGGGATTATGAAGATAAGGTACCAGCTTTATGAAGGGGTTATGAATATAGGTACCAGCTTTATGAAGGGGTTATGAAGATAAGGTACCAGCTTTATGAAGGGGTTATGAAGATAGGTACCAGCCTTATGAAGGGGTTATGAAGATAAGGTAACAGCTTTATGAAGGGATTATGAAGATAAGGTAACAGCCTTATGAAGGGATTATGAAGATAAGGTACCAGCCTTATGAAGGGATTATGAAGATAAGGTACCAGCCTTATGAAGGGGTTATGAAGATAAGGTAACAGCCTTATGAAGGGGTTATGAAGATAAGGTAACAGCCTTATGAAGGGATTATGAAGATAAGGTACCAGCTTTATGAAGTGATTATGAAGATAAGGTACCAGCCTTATGAAGGGGTTATGAAGATAGGTACCAGCCTTATGAAGGGATTATGAAGATAAGGTAACAGCCTTATGAAGGGATTATGAAGATAAGGTAACAGCCTTATGAAGGGGTTATGAAGATAAGGTACCAGCCTTATGAAGGGGTTATGAAGATAAGGTAACAGCCTTATGAAGGGGTTATGAAGATAAGGTACCAGCCTTATGAAGGGGTTATGAAGATAGGTACCAGCTTTATGAAGGAATTATGAAGATAAGGTACCAGTCTTATGAAGGGATTGTGAAGATAAGGTACCAGCTTTATGAAGGGGTTATGAAGATAGGTACCAGCTTTATGAAGGGGTTATGAAGATAAGGTACCAGCTTTATGAAGGGGTTATGAAGATAGGTACCAGCCTTATGAAGGGGTTATGAAGATAAGGTAACAGCTTTATGAAGGGATTATGAAGATAAGGTACCAGCCTTATGAAGGGGTTATGAAGATAGGTACCAGCCTTATTGAGGGGTTATGAAGATAAGGAACCAGCTTTATGAAGGGGTAATGAAGATAAGGTACCAGCTTTATGAAGGGGTTATGAAGATAGGTACCAGCCTTATGAAGGGATTATGAAGATAAGGTACCAGCCCTATGAAGGGATTATGAAGATAAGGTACCAGCTTTATGAAGGGGTTATGAAGATAGGTACCAGCCCTATGAAGGGATTATGAAGATAAGGTACCAGCCTTATGAAGGGATTATGAAGATAAGGTACCAGCTTTATGAAGGGGTTATGAAGATAAGGTACCAGCTTTATGAAGGGATTATGAATATAAGGTACCAGCCTTATGAAGGGGTTATGAAGATAGGTACCTGCCTTATGAAGGGGTTATGAAGATAAGGTAACAGCCTTATGAAGGGATTATGAAGATAAGGTACCAGCCTTATGAAGGGATTATGAAGATAAGGTAACAGCCTTATGAAGGGGTTATGAAGATAAGGTACCAGCCTTATGAAGGGGTTATGAAGATAAGGTACCAGCTTTATGAAGGGATTATGAAGATAAGGTACCAGCTTTATGAAGGGGTTATGAAGATAAGGTACTAGCTTTATGAAGGGGTTATGAAGATAAGGTACCAGCCTTATGAAGGGGTTATGAAGATAAGGTACCAGCTTTATGAAGGGGTTATGAAGATAGGTACCAGCCTTATGAAGGGGTTATGAAGATAAGGTAACAGCCTTATGAAGGGGTTATGAAGATAAGGTAACAGCCTTATGAAGGGATTATGAAGATAAGGTACCAGCCTTATGAAGGGGTTATGAAGATAGGTACCAGCCTTATGAAGGGGTTATGAAGATAAGGTACCAGCCTTATGAAGGGATTATGAAGATAAGGTACCAGCTTTATGAAGGGGTTATGAATATAGGTACCAGCTTTATGAAGGAATTATGAAGATAATGTGAAGATAAGGTACCAGCTTTATGAAGGGGTTATGAAGATAGGTACCAGCTTTATGAAGGGGTTATGAAGATAAGGTACCAGCTTTATGAAGGGGTTATGAAGATAGGTACCAGCCTTATGAAGGGGTTATGAAGATAAGGTAACAGCTTTATGAAGGGATTATGAAGATAAGGTACCAGCCTTATGAAGGGGTTATGAAGATAGGTACCAGCCTTATTGAGGGGTTATGAAGATAAGGAACCAGCTTTATGAAGGGGTAATGAAGATAAGGTACCAGCTTTATGAAGGGGTTATGAAGATAGGTACCAGCCTTATGAAGGGGTTATGAAGATAAGGTACCAGCTTTATGAAGGGGTTATGAAGATAAGGTAACAGCCTTATGAAGGGGTTATGAAGATAGGTACCAGCCTTATGGAGGGGTTATGAAGATAAGGTAACAGCCTTATGAAGGGGTTATGAAGATAGGTACCAGCCTTATGAAGGGGTTATGAAGATAAGGTAACAGCCTTATGAAGGGGTTATGAAGATAGGTACCAGCCTTATGAAGGGGTTATGAAGATAAGGTAACAGCCTTATGAAGGGGTTATGAAGATAGGTACCAGCCTTATGAAGGGGTTATGAAGATAGGTACCAGCCTTATGAAGGGGTTATGAAGATAAGGAACCAGCTTTATGAAGGGGTAATGAAGATAAGGTACCAGCTTTATGAAGGGGTTATGAAGATAGGTACCAGCCTTATGAAGGGGTTATGAAGATAAGGTACCAGCTTTATGAAGGGGTTATGAAGATAAGGTACCAGCTTTATGAAGGGATTATGAATATAAGGTACCAGCCTTATGAAGGGGTTATGAAGATAGGTACCTGCCTTATGAAGGGGTTATGAAGATAAGGTAACAGCCTTATGAAGGGATTATGAAGATAAGGTACCAGCCTTATGAAGGTGTTATGGAGATAAGGTACCAGCTTTATGAAGAGATTATGAAGATAAGGTACCAGCCTTATGAAGGGGTTATGAAGATAAGGTAACAGCCTTATGAAGGGATTATGAAGATAAGGTACCAGCTTTAAGAAGGTGTTATGGAGATAAGGTACCAGCTTTATGAAGAGATTATGAAGATAAGGTACCAGCCTTATGAAGGGGTTATGAAGATAAGGAACCAGCCTTATGAAGGGATTATGAAGATAAGGTAACAGCCTTATGAAGGGATTATGAAGATAAGGTACCAGCTTTATGAAGGTGTTATGGAGATAAGGTACCAGCTTTATGAAGAGATTATGAAGATAAGGTACCAGCCTTATGAAGGGGTTATGAAGATAAGGAACCAGCCTTATGAAGGGATTATGAAGATAAGGTACCAGCCTTATGAAGGGGTTATGAAGATAAGGTAACAGCCTTATGAAGGGGTTATGAAGATAAGGTAACAGCCTTATGAAGGGATTATGAAGATAAGGTACCAGCCTTATGAAGGGGTTATGAAGATAAGGTACCAGCCTTATGAAGGGATTATGAAGATAAGGTACCAGCCTTATGAAGGGATTATGAAGATAAGGTACCAGCCTTATGAAGGGATTATGAAGATAAGGTACCAGCTTTATGAATGGGTTATGAAGATAAGGTACCAGCCTTATGAAGGGATTATGAAGATAGGTACCAGCCTTATGAAGGGGTTATGAAGATAAGGTAACAGCCTTATGAAGGGATTATGAAGATAAGGTACCAGCCTTATGAAGGGATTATGAAGATAAGGTACCAGCCTTATGAAGGGATTATGAAGATAAGGTACCAGCCTTATGAAGGGGTTATGAAGATAAGGTATCAGCCTTATGAAGGGGTTATGAAGATAAGGTAACAGCCTTACGAAGGGATTATGAAGATAAGGTACCAGCCTTATGAAGGGGTTATGAAGATAAGGTAACAGCCTTATGAAGGGATTATGAAGATAAGGTACCAGCTTTATGAAGGGGTTATGAAGATAAGGTACCAGCCTTATGAAGGGATTATGAAGATAGGTACCAGCCTTATGAAGGGGTTATGAAGATAAGGAACCAGCTTTATGAAGGGGTTATGAAAATTTTCCACAATGAGAGTATTACTAAGCAATTCGCAATTAAAAGACCTATAGTTTCACTAGAATTTCTCACAGCAGGCTAAATAAATGAACACAGGCAAAATTACATGAAAAAGTTCAAAAAATCCCTAAAAACAAGAGGTGATTTTGTAAAAACAACTGGTGAAAATTGCCTGCTACCTACTGCTAATGAAACCCCTGTATATTTATTTCAGGTTGCAGTAAAGAACAACATTGATGTGTTCTACTTCAGCTGCCAAGTTCCTTTGAATGTTTTGTTTGTCGAAGATGGTGAGATGGATAAACGTGTCTTCCTTGCAACATGGAAGGATATTCCATCCCAGAATGAGGAGCAGTACACCATTGCCAATGTAGAGCACAGTGCAGGTAAAACTATCATAACTCTTAGCTATAGAGAATTACACTAACTCTTACACCATTGCCAATGTAGAGCACAGTGCAGGTAAAACTATCCTAACTCTTAGCTATAGAGAATTACACTAACTCTTACACCATTGCCAATGTAGAGCACAGTGCAGGTAAAACTATCCTAACTCTTAGCTATAGAGAATTACACTAACTCTTACACCATTGCCAATGTAGAGCACAGTGCAGGTAAAACTATCCTAACTCTTAGCTATAGAGAATTACACTAACTCTTACACCATTGCCAATGTAGAGCACAGTGCAGGTAAAACTATCTTAACTCTTAGCTATAGAGAATTACACTAACTCTTACACCATTGCCAATGTAGAACACAGTGCAGGTAAAGCTATCTTAACTCTTAGCTATAGAGAATAACACTAACTCTTACACCATTGCCAATGTAGAGCACAGTGCAGGTAAAACTATCCTAACTCTTAGCTATAGAGAATTACACTAACTCTTACACCATTGCCAATGTAGAGCACAGTGCAGGTAAAACTATCCTAACTCTTAGCTATAGAGAATTACACTCACTCTTACACCATTGCCAATGTAGAGCACAGTGCAGGTAAAACTATCCTAACTCTTAGCTATAGAGAATTACACTAACTCTTACACCATTGCCAATGTAGAGCACAGTGCAGGTAAAGCTATCTTAACTCTTAGCTATAGAGAATTACACTAACTCTTACACCATTGCCAATGAAGAGCACAGTGCAGGTAAAACTATCCTAACTCTTAGCTATAGAGAATTACACTAACTCTTACACCATTGCCAATGTAGAGCACAGTGCAGGTAAATCTATCTAAACTTTTCGCTCGAGAGAATTACACTAACTCTATCATTGGAAAGTTTATTCCAGTAGTTTGAGCCTACTTGTAAGTATGTAAGAACATTATTAATGAAGAAATTCGAGGAACATACAGGTTTATCGTTTCAAGTCAAAAGTACTGACTATTTGGGTAATTTATCAGAAACCAGCTCTAACTTTTTCCTAGAAGGGTAAGAGTCACAATTTTTTCGCTAAAACGTGCCTCATTCGATTCGAAGAAAAACCAGAAAGTTTCAGGTCAAGAGACCGGCTAAGAAAAATGTTTTCAAAAAATCCTTAGGGAGGGGCCCCCTAACCATGTAAGGGTTAAATAAGAGAACTTAAAGATTGCACCAAAAAGCAAAACCTGATCATTTTATAAAAAAAACTGGTCAAACATTTATGAAATATGAAAGTGTGTGTCTGTGTACACATCATTGTAACATGATGTAACACTCTTTCATATAGACTGTGGACTACTCTGATAATTGCAACTTCCATTTTTCATGGAAGGTCACACATTCCAACATATTTCAAACAGTCTGTATGATTATGCTAGGCACTTTCTGGGTAGTTGGACTTCATGTAGGGGTGGCAGACGACCCTCAGGCCAATTCATACCCCCACCCTAAGAAAACCTTGGGGGTACTTTAATACCACCTGATAAAAAGAATACTAATGCATGTCATATATTCATAGTTTTATAGTAGGCAGAACATACCATGGTTAGTCAGTGCCAGAAATGTCCAATCTTTAACTTATATGGTTACCATGGAAACAGTATTTATATCTCAAAATCTTCTCAATTTGACCTCCTCCAAAATATGTCCCTTAGCCCTCAAAGTGAAATATTTGCAAATTTGTTTGGATTTTGTGGCTGCAACTTTGTCAAAGGTTGTATAAATATGTATATATTCACACTAAAGCACTAAAAAGTTGATATAATGCTCCAATAAATCAATAATATCTATCAAATATAGTCACACACAACTACTTTTAGGGAAAAGTGGGCGTGGCACTTTTTGGAACTTGTGTAATTGTTGCAGCATTAAGCAAAAAATACATATTACACTAACAATAATTGACATTTAATTATCATTTACTAACATTGTGTAACATTGTAATATGTTCATTATCATTATTAGATACTTAAATTATTTTATGTAAGTGTTATCATGAACTTTCCTTTTATCCCTATACCATACAAGGTGGGCATCACCAATGGTGTCAAACTAACTTTTCTGTTTAACTTATTTTTTACCATAGACAAGGGAAAAAGCTTTACTTGAAGTCGTGACCTCATTAGGTGCTATGTATATGGATAGATGGATTGATACTAGTCAGTAGATGGCAGCACTTGTGCTAGTTGGGCTAGATACAAGTATTTACCATTGACTTGACATGTGTCACTTAGTCTATTGATTTACCATATTCGTTCTGTTGGATTGACTGCATTTGCATTGAATTTGATGATGTTCAGATTGTGTTTGAAACTTGATGATAATCAGAAGTGTTTGAAACTGGATGTTCAGATTGTGTACACATGAACTTTAATAGGACCACTGAAACAATAAGTCAATGTTTAAGATTCTTTAAAATTATCTCAATGAGAATTTAGCCTGTTAACCTATAGTTAAACTGCACTTCAGCAAGATTTCGAAGCTATATAACAAATCTCATAATTTGCAACTTTTTCATTATTTGATAATTTAACCCATTATTCTTTATTGCTGATTTAAAAATTGCAAGGAATTCAAATGACCTAGGGAAGCCAGTGATATGAATTGGCCTTATTCATTGAGTTACATTAAAATGGAAAATTGTGAAGAACAAGAGAACTGTTCCACGGCTTCACAGGAAATATGGAAGCAAAGTCAACAAGGGATGTGGGAACTAGGCTGTTAACATATAGAGATTTAGAACTCTCCAGGGAAGTGTCTCTATTTGGTATAAAATACACAGGTCTATTCATGCACACCATTTTAAATATGAATCAAAATTAGTGATATCCATGTTTCTGGTGAAAGCATTAATTGAAAGAGACAAACATCCTACTCCAATGGTATAAAATATAAGGAAGTTCGAAGCAGTAAAAAGGTATTACCATTTTAGATTTGATTAAACAAATTGAATCAGAGGCAATTTTTAAATTTCGATATATTAAAAGAGGCTCTCTTGGTTAGATGGGAGAATTAGCTGCATGTTAAAGGTGCCGCTTTGTTCAGTTTATAACAAAATTGATATTAAGCCCGAAACAGTAAGAAATGTTAAGCAAATATTTCATTCTATGGAGGGCAATACCTGTTCATCTTTCAATGATTTTTGCAATATGTATTGCCCGCAGCCCGTAGGGCGATGGTAATACATGTTGCAAAAATCATTGAAAGTGCAGTTGTCAGAATCCCCAGGCGGGCAATACGCTGGACAATACGTCTTTTAAATATGGAAATAATTCAGTGAGCTGTGAAATACGCTGGTATTTTTAGTCACATGGTTCTGAATTAGCCAATCAAATCACACGATTTATAGCAATGATGCAATAATTAGTGCTACTTCCATGAACACCCGTTTTGTAGAATAAGATTCTGATTCTCGTATTTGGTATATATATGAATTAGACAAAGGCAAATCCAGTCGAACATCTTGTTGAGCATCAAACAAAGGTACAAGCTATATATCATTTCTCAAAATGGCCACTTTACTGAAGAAATTGTCAAAAGATAATATGTATCATGTTTTAATGTATTTACGTTTAAATATAGCTGTCTTAATAAGTACACATGATGAAAATACAGGCACAAACAAAATGCATACTTTCTGAAACCCTGCGTTTGGATATTGATAAATTGAATGATATTGGCTAAAAACTTCTGTCAGAATTGAAACAATATTTCCCCAAGAAAAGTCAACATTTCAAAACAACAGCAATAGCTAGAACTATCCTATTTAGATGTTTACTTGACAGTATGGAAAATTGGGGAAGCCTGACAGAGAATCATAACAGATAGAGGTAGAAAGATTTGATAAAGAAAATGGAGTTTTGGTGTGGGAGGGGGGGGGGGGGGCGTGTAATTGTATACTTGTTTATAAAATTGATAAAATGACATATTCTAGACAAGGATAGGCATTTGCCATAATAAACTATGAGGGATAATGACTCATAAACTTACACAATGGAGATTTGGGGTAGTAATATGGAACATACGTTATATGGAAACTGTAACCTTATAAGATCTTGTCCAGTATTTCAGTCATACCTGATTATAAAGGACCATTGATGTTACAGCATCAGGGCATATTACATATAATATTTAATCATGACCATCATTTCTACTGTGCCAAAATCATTCAACCAATTTTAAAATGGAATACGAGAACAAGATTTCTTATTTTAGGTTATATTCATATGTCTAATAATATTTGATATTAAACATATTAACTTTTATTGTTTTTATACACTAAACAGATTTTTTTAGATATTATTTTAAGTTTTAACATAACAAACCACTTTCCAGGTCGAAGGAATCACTAAAGGTACAGCATTTCAGAAATGTGTAAATTGTTTATATTTCATTATTTTGTGAAATACTAAAAGGAGTTTTACCCGTACCTTGTTCACCATGAGTCAATGAATGCATTATGTAATATCTGCAAAATGATGCACTATGCAATTCATACATGGAATAATTTATTTTGCCATATTGGAATCAAGTATTTTCGTTAATCCATTGGATAGATCATGCATTACCTGATGTTGATAATAGAATCAGTTAGTCAATTGTAAGACACCATTTATCCGAGAAAATCTTAGTTATGTATTAAGGCAGGGCATAACATTTCACATATCGTTTATTCATGTTTACTACATCTATGGTTCCAATGTCATTTAAGCCTGATTTGGTGCAAATGTCAAAGCATAACATCAACTCTAAAGTAGTTTAATTCAATGAAAATTAAAAATATCAAAATCGACAATTACTGTCCGCCATCTTAGATGCGAAGGTTACGGCCGTTACCTTCACTTGGTACTGATCAGTGTCGGTCCATTACTTTTCAATTGCATAAAATGGCTCTAACCCTGACAAATGTTTTAATCAATTTTAACTCATAGCTCTTGATCAATGAAACTATTTATATTCTAGCTTCAAGTCAATGAATACGACTTTGACAAGCTAAAAAGACTAAGGACCTCTAGGACTTAAAAGTTAATTTGACCATTAATGACCTATGATAGGGAAGGGTCATGATAACACTTATATAAAATATTTAAAGTATCTAATAATGATAATGAACATACTACAATGTTACACGATGTTAGTAGATGCTAATTAAATGTCAATTGTTGTTAGTGTAATAATTTTTTTTCATTTAATGCTGCAACAATTACACAAGTACCAAAAAGTGCCACGCCCACTTTTCCCTAAAAGCAGTTGTGTGTGACTACATTTGATAAATATTATTAATTTATGAGATCATTATATCAAGTTTTTTGTGCTTTAGTGTGAATACATACATATTAATTCAACTTTTGACAAAGTTGCAGCCACAAAATCCAAACAGATTTGCAAATATTTCACTTTGAGAATTTAAGGACACATTTGGGACGGGGTCAAATTGAGAAGATTGTAAGATATAAATACTGTTTCCATGGTAACCATATAAGTCAGAGATTGGAAATTTCTGGCACTGACTAACCATGGCATGCCCTACCCACTATAAAACGATGAATATCTGATATGCATTAGTATTATTTTTATTGGGTGGTATTAAAGTACCCCCAAGGTTTTGTTGGGGTAGGGGTATAAATTGGCCTGAGGGCCTTCTGCCACCCCTACATAAAGTCCAACTACCCAGAAAGTGTCTATTATAATCATACAAATTGTTTGAAATATGTTGGAATGTGTGACCTTCCATGAAAAGCGAGATCCATTTCTAGAGCACTTCTACAGAATAGTCCGCAGTCTAATAATTCATAATTGTTTTGTCATGAAATGTTGTTGAACATAATTGATTGAACTAATCAACCTGTAACTGCACTCAAAAGCACAATCTATTAACACATGAAACAAACAAACAACAAAGCAACGAAATAATTTTTTTTTCAGACACTGTAACAACAAAGCTGCGCAACAACAACATCTTCACTATTGCTAAGCGTAATGTTGAAGGACAAGATATGTTGTACCAGTCTCTGAAGTTGACCAATAATATCTGGGTTCTAGCAGAGCTGAAAATTCAACCAGGAAATAACAACTTCATGGTAGGTGTTGATAAAGAGGAAATGGGGAAGGATATACATGTAGAGGGGAGAGGTGTATGGTAGGTGTTGATAAAGGGGAGACATGTTTGGCAAGTGTTGATGAAGGGGATATGTGGTAGACAGGTGTTGATAAAGGGGAAAAGGGGAAGGATATAGAGGGGAGAAGTGTATGGTAGGTGTTGATAAAGAGGAAAAGGGGAAGGATATACATGTAGAGGGGAGAGATGTATGGTAGGTGTTGATAAAGGGGAAAAGGGGAAGGATATAGAGGGGAGAGTTGTATGGTAGCTGTTGATAAAGGGGAAAAGGGAAAGGATATAGAGGGGAGAGGTGTATGGTAGCTGTTGATAAAGGGGAAAACATGTTTGGCAAGTGTTGATGAAGGGGAAATGTGTTAGGCAGGTGTTGATAAAGGAGAAAAGTTGTTTGATAGGTGTTGACAAAGGAGGAGAGGTTTTTTGGTGGGCATTGATGAAGGGGAAGGGTTTGTATGTAAGATCTTGATATACATACAGTAATAGGGGAGTGCTCTCTGTTAGTTGCTATATTTTCATTTTTTTCTTTATACTGATTTTAATTGAGGCATGTCCCAGTGTAGGGAGAAAGTAACTCAGTTAATGACCTTGTTGTAAAAGCACCACGTGCTGACTCATTTTTGTTACATTGGCTTTTCAAGCTTCTAGCACATGAAATATTTGAAAGCATGGGATACAGAACAATAACCCTGAAAGATTAAGAATGCAAACTGTAATTTTCTACCACGGGCATAGTAAGGCATGAGGCAAAAATATTAATCAATCCAAATTTGCCTTTCCCATTTTAATGTCACCACCAAAAAGTGGTGATATATTGTTATGGTCTTTGTTTTTTTCTGGCGGCAGTTGGCGATGGTTGCCGTGGTGGTTAGCGGTTGGCATCTGTAACAATTTCTTACAATTTCCAATAACTTAACAAATACTGTTTTGTTCAGTTGTTTTCCAAAATCATCTACAAGTTATCAGAAGCTCAAATCTGACTTTAGAATTAAGATGTGACCTTCAATGACCTTCTCAAGGTAAAAAGGTGTTTTTCAACTTGCTTCAAATTGACCAAAATATTTTTTCAAAATCATCCATAAGTTCTCAGAAGTTTAAATCTGACTTTAGATTTGAGATATGAACTTCAATGACCTTCTCAAGGCCAAAAAAGTCTCAGCTTGCTTCAAATTGACCAAATTTTTTTTCAAAATCATCTACAAGTTCTCAAAAGTTCAAATCTGACTATAGATTTGAGATATGAACTTGAATGACCTTCTCAAGCTAAAAAAAGATTTGATCTTCTCAATGTCAAAAAAGGTTTCTTTTCAACTTCCTTCGTGTTGACCAATTTTATTTTCAAAATCGTCTACGAGTTCTCAGATGTTATAATCTTTTTTTAACTTGCATCAAATTGACCAATTTTTTCAAAATCATCAACAAGTTCTCAGAAATTCAAATCTAATTAAGATTGAATTCATAATATTGTGAGCAACTTGGTGGTGACATTTTGTCATGTAAATGCCTTGTTATATAATGCTTTTGCCCCTCTTGCATCGTGCTCACATGTTCCTTATATAACTTCTCTTGCATACCATGAACAATGCATACACATGCATGTCCTGTTACTCCTGTATCCCATGTATTAATTTTGCTCCCATCTTGCTTCCAGTTATCATTGAAGTCGACAACCTTGGACGTTTATCCTGGCATCTATCAGAGCTATGATGCCATTGTTCGTTCCTAAACTAGAACATTTGATGTCATCATTCGCTCCTAAACTAGAACATTTGATGTCATCATTCGCTCCTAAACTAGAACATTTGATGTCATCATTCACTACTAAACTGAAACATTTGATGTCATCATTCGCTCCTAAACTAGAACAGTTGATGTCATCATTCATTCCTAAACTGAAACAGTTGATGTCATCATTCACTCCTAAACTAGAAGATTTGATGGAGTCATTCAACTAGATTTGATGTCATCATTCAACACTTAACAAACAATTGATGTCATCATTGACTTCTTATCTTCTAAATTTGATGTCATCATATGTTCCAAATTATGCCATCTATTATCATTCTACCCAAAAGAAATGATTGGGGACATCAGTTTTAATGCATAAGGGACCATCACCTCATGGCATGAGCACTGGTCTTGTCTGTGATATAATTCACATGTTCTTGAAACATACTCAACTAAAATTGCTTTAGATCAGTAGATTTGTTAAAGCATCATCATATGAAAAAATCTGAAACCTAAATAGAAATATATAAAAAGTAAACTAATTGTTCCATGGAGTCCTTGATGCCTAAAAGCAATTAAATGACTAATTGTATGTATGTTGTACCATTGTAGCTGGCTCTCAAGGCTCGCACCAAGGAGATATATACTGGCATATACCAGGCATTTGACGCTATATTACACAACTAGGCTAGATCCATTGTCCCGAATCGCGGCTCCATAATCCTGAATTAGGGCTTCAAAATGTGGAACATCGTTTTCAAGTTGGGGTCAAGACTTTCTGAGACTTTGGATCCTTGACATAATCAGCTTGGTAATTAGCACAAGGAGCCAATTTCACAAACTCTAATCTTTATACCAAATATAATATGTTGTGTATCTGAATACATATGTTGTAGTAATATATAATATTGGATTATAATCTCTTCAATCGAATATACTTATATTTATATTAGTAAACATGATTATTAAATCCTAGTACTGTATGAGACTTTGAATGATGATGGGACTTAAATCATCCATTATTCATTGAGTCACGAGCTTAAATTCTTTTCACATATACAAAAATTTTGGACAATGTGATACTATTCTAGTAACATTATGAGAGTGAAATTCAACTAGAACCTTTATGAAATTGACGTAATTATGATTGATGTAATAGGAAAATTGTTAAATAAAAATCAAAGCCATTATAGTTGTAAACATTATTTCAGTAAATCTTAAAGAATGATGTAAAATGATAGGATTGTTAGCAATGTTAGGATGAATAAAATGTAATTACAAAATGGAAGTTCATATGTCTGTTTTGTTAATTTATTTCTAGTCTAAGAGGACATTTTATTGACATGGAACTTGAAGTTCAATTCATGCATTCCGGAAACACTCATATTTTACAGCTTTCCCAATATAATGTAAACGCTTAAAAATTCAAATTCTATCCATTTTGTTTATGTTTATTCATACAGATATTCTTATATACATATGGTACATGGGTAACAATTTCAAACAGTACGACCCGAATATTTATCCTGTGTACAAGCACATAAAATCAACTATGAATTAGGTATGTATTTTAGAATGTGTGAAAGATATCTAGGTAAATATTGAAATATGCACACATTACAAATAAATTATTTCTAAAAAAGCTGTTTCAACTTGGTCTAATTCAAACTGCAATGAAACTGCTCACCAAAATAATGCAGTCGGAAAATTTCATGTGTTCAAAAGTATCAGGCATTTATTTCCCTGGGGATAATTAGCTAGGTTCTTATCAGCAACAAAGCAGTGTATTCAGGGCATTCCACTATTAAAGTACACATTAGGCCATAAGAAGTAGATTGTTTTGCATCCTGGCAAAATCAAAATCATGCAAGGGTACAAGGAAAACAAACACAAGAAAAAACACAAACTTGTTTGTTTGCTTTTTTGGGCATAAAAGGGATGCCATATCAATTTGCAGTGATTACAAATACATATCTACACTTTTATACAATGTATTTAAATATAGCTATTATTCAAGGGTAAAAAATAAGAAAATACACAATGTATGCCAAAGTAATCAATAACACTGTCATTTCGACGCATCCGTCGTTTCGTCTAATTCTGATTGAACAAAATGCGATGGTACTTTAAGACCCTTGTGTTTGTTCAAGCAAGGGGACGCAAAGCAAACAATTTACTTCTTATAGCCTAAGTTGAAAAGTCCAGTCTCAGTCCAATACACCATGCAAGAGTAAATTCACTGGCGTAGCCACGCTTGAGCCAGGCGAGGCAAACAGCCTCCCTAAAAGTCCAATGACTATACTTCACACCCATTCACCTATACGCATAGCACCGGAAGTTTACGACATTATACTCAGTAATTTCGGCTGGAGATTTGTAAGTACCTATTTATTTCGACGTTTTAACAGAATATGGTCCTTTCTCTTTAGACAGAAAATGGTCCTTTTCCTTTCGTAGAAACAATGACTTTACCATGCAGATATACTTCTAGTATCACTACGTCTCGAAATTTCGTCTGAACATGGTTCTCTAATTTCTTGAAAATAATAGATAATTTTTCTACAATTTTAGGTCAATCATCTTGAAATATTGATAAGATTAACAATACAATTTTGAGATATCATCCAGACACTTCAGTTTCCAAAATAAATGAAAGAATTCCGAGAAATTAATTTTTGTTTAAAAGTATAGGGCTTGAGAAGGTTTACACCAATCTTTGAATGTAATAACTACAATGAAATGTTGTATCCCTGACTCCTATACCAGGCCTCCTAGACTTCCAACAACGCGAACATCAGTTCTGATACCGCGAACTACGTTCTTTGCACTCGAACCACGAATCTCATATCGCGAACGTGAAATCTTATGTCGCGCACCACCATTTCCTTGTTTCCGAACATATTTCTTGTACCTCGCACAGAGATCCGTTACCGCGAACAATTTGTACATAATACATCCGGGTGTTTGGGATTCCAAGTTACATGTATACAGTGCATATAAAAAAACGCAACAGATTGTTATCTCGAAAAAGCACAAAACCAGTGGTAACACAGCATTGATTTCATTCAATGCACCATAAAGCCATGTGTCTCCTCTTTACAATGACATATCATTCATTGATATTTGGTCATGGTTGGGCGAGTAATCATTCCATTTGCAAAGTGGGCCGAAATTAGCTTGGGGCCAAATAGCATTCATTCACAGGGAGTCATCTCTGGCCGAATAATCATTAATTTTGCAAAGTGGGGCAAAATTCAGCTCGGACCCAGGGGCGGATCCAGGAACCAACAAGGGGGGGGGGCCCAAATTTCAGGTCAGAGAAAAAACGCCCCTAAAATCCAAAAGTGGGCCCAAATTTTGAAATTTTTTCTGGGCCCACCCAAGGGGGGGGGGGCCCGGGCCCCTGGGCCCACCCAAGGGGGGGGGGCCCGGGCCCCTGGCCCCCCCCCCCCTAATCTGCCAGTGGGACCCAAGTTTTAAACATTGCAAAAGTCAGTACAAGGGGCATAGGGGCTATTGGAAGAAGGTGTGACAGGTGTGGCATAGCCAGTAAAGTGTTCATACCCATACTCTTGCAAGAATACATCCTACACCCCTCCAAATTGCCACCACTTGCTTGCACATAAAGATGCGCTCATCTGTCCACGTCATGCATGGTTTAGCCCTGAGTCATATGTGGGTTAAAGCAGAGAAAAGCAGCCCATTGGCAATTCTATCTCGAAGTTTTGCAATATCTGGTGGAGAAATTGTGAGCACAGATGCTCCTGAGATAGCTCGAAAAGAAAAAGTCACAACAATTCAAGTAAGAGGAACTTCCATTGGCACTTAGCCCTTGCACTGATTTTTTCAATATCTAAAACTTGGTGCAGAACCGATTTTGACCCACTGTGCAAATGGAGGGATTTCTCACCCAACCAGTATCACATGTGAATGAATGACATATCATTGCAAAGAGGAGAGACGTGGCTTTATGGTACATTGAATGAAATTGATGTAGTCATCACTAGTTTTGTGATTATACGGGATGACTACTTGTTGCGTTTTTTATACGCCCTGTATACCAATATGCAACGGAGTGAAACAAGGAAACGAAATTCAGTTTCTCCTCCGCTTTCGCCGGACTTTCGTTTCTTCGAAAAGCATGCACGATTAACATCCACGCCCCGAGTTGGCAGGGCTTAAAATGACGTGTCAAAGGATAGCATTGCGTCCCACAGTCATACATTTTTGGGATCAGAGAGTATCTGCGCACGGTGTGGTTTAATATGAGATGTCATTTGTAAGAACCACAACGAAAGTGTAGAGGTGTGTGATAGCTGTGGTTGGGACAGAAACTGTCTTGACACTAGTATATCACACGCTTGCAACGATGGTCATGTTCCCGACATCCATTTTTGTGACTCATGTGGATGGCAGAGAGACTCAGCTGATTTCAGGTAGATCTACCGTTAATCTTTTTTCTTACACTGGTTTAGGTGCCATGGTAGTTAACGGGCAATGACAAAACAGGAAGTGACAAAACCATGCTGGATTTCAAACGTTTTTTGAACCAAGATATCATAGTTCTGCTTTGACCTCCAGTCAGTTTAACTAGTTCCACATACCATTTACATGACCATGATCACAATGACCATGGTCAGATTGACCCTAGACATGATGAAATTAATTTTTCAGCCCTCTGAAATTTGTGACTGAAAAATATATAAAAGTAGGAGCTTAAGAAAGGTCACTGAACAGAATCTCTTGCATTTTTCAGAAAATGTGCCTAATATATTGCTCTCAGTGATACAATCTTGGGAAATTTGATATCATTCGTTGAAAAAGAAAAAAATGAAAAAACTGAATTGAAAAGCGATATTTTTTCCTTTTCATGACTGCCATTTTTTCAGACAAGTTTCTAGAATTTTAAAGATTGTATCATTAAGAGCAATATATTTGGCACATTTTCTGAAAAATTCAAAAGATCCTGTTCATTGACCTTTCCCATGCTCCTACTTAAAGCTATTTACATTGACCTTTTCAGAGGGCTGAAAAAGTTATTTCATCATATCTAGGGTCATTCTGACCATGGTCAGTGTGATCCTGGTCACATTGCATCATGCGACCTTAAACTACAAGGTTTACTTCTATACAGTACACCTACATTGTAGTAATCAGATATGGCTGTATTCTGTGTAGATGCACTGGCCCACCCCTCCCTCTGAGATGGGCCCAGAAAAAAGGGTACGACATTTTAGCGCTCCACACGTCTTGGGTCAGATATCGTCCTGGTTGCTGAAGTAAGGATCTTTTTGGGAACATGTGGCAAAACGGCCCTCATAATAATTTGATCCATGCAGAGGTTTTTCTAATCTGTCAATCATCTCGAACTTTCATGTTTCATCTTATGAAGGGATTATACAGGGTGGTCAAAAAAACGGCAACCCTAATTTTTCCTCATATCTTTGTCATTTTTTGAAATTTTGCCCTGATATTTGGCACTCATGTACATCATTCAATTTCGTACCAGACTGTTTTATTTCATGATTATTGAACGGAGAGTTGCAATGTTACAGCACTTTAAACAAGGTGCCCCAGTTTTCCAATATCGTGCTGTAGGCAAACCTGCACATGTTTTCCAAACCTGTCAATGACATAACAGCATTTCTCAGCAAGTATGGCCTGAGTGACACATGTGATCTTTATTTTGAGGTCAAATATCTTTCTGGTGTGTCTACCCTACACTGTATCTTTGGGGTATCCCCACTGGTAAAGATTAAATTGGGCCATATCTGGGCTATGGGGTGCCCATTCATTGTTTGTTGAACTGCTGATAAGGTGGTCATTGAAGTGGTCCCAAAGCCAATCTTGTGCATCATTTGATGTATGGGGTATAGTTCTGTCTTGTTGGAACCACTTTTGCTGCCTTTCAACCCCCCTGGGTTCACCTAAAATCCCCAAGAACTCCATGGGAATCACAAAATAGAGTTTGATGTTGACAGTTATTGCACATCTGTTAGCATTATCAAAGGTAAAGGACCCTATCTTCTGAGAACACACTAAACTGTGCATCTGTCTGTGTGAAGGTGCCTCTCCACTACTTCATAAAGTGCTTGGCTCCCCAAGAATACATAATTGGTACAGTTTACCAGTGCATCAAGTTGGAAATGGAGTTCATTTGGATAACAGACCAGCTCAGACAGCCCGAAAGTGGCCATCTGGGGTATGTTGCTTAAAATGCAGTAATATTGTTACTATCAGTCCGATGGTCATAAAATATGGTAGGAAATTGAATGATGTACACATGTGTAAAATATCAGGAAGTTATTTCTTAGAATGACAAAGATATTAGGAAAAACTAGGGTTGCCGTTTTTTGACCACCCTGTTTTCTGTGATTTTTCAGAGTGTTCGAAAATAATGTTGAGAGTAGGGCAAAATGGCCCATGAGTGGGGCAGAACAGCCCACAATGAAAGCTTCGGTTTTAAAACCAAGATTAATTTACTACATGACTCGTCAACACACATTTATCTCAGACGGTCAAAGATTAGACAGATAAATTATTCTTAGCCCTTACCCTAAAATTACGATTTAGTAGTCATTTGATATGTTTTGAAACAAAAACCAAGTGTTAAAATCTTTATCAGGATGATAGATTGTTATTTTTCTGTATGTAAACAGTTAATCCCACAAGCCGTAATGGGGGGGGGGGGGGCAACATTTAAGTTAAGTTCTCATGGCAAAGGGTAGCATCTTCAAATTATCAGTAGTTGGAGCTACAGATATAGCACATCAAGTATTCTATAAAATCAGGAATATTGTACATAGGGTAACTCATTTCTTTATTATGATGCAATCATCGGCTCAAATGGACAAAATTGGAAAAAGCTGTCACTAATTTGGCCATACGTGTTGTTACTCAAAAGTCAGATTTTTGTTGTTATTACCCAGCCCTTTCACTGAAAATATCAATGCGCGTGATTGCAAGGTAGTCCCAATATTTTGTGTTTCCTAGAGCTTGAAAATACTGTTATCGTCAATGAGTGGATATTCATTCACATGCATGAAAACTGGGAAAATATTTCTTCCGAATTCCATATGAAAACAACTCCTTGGAATTTTACTTAAATGCGTAATAATACGAACATAATTACGGACTTTTTTTCGATCAAATGCGTGGTTCGTGGTAACGGATCTTTGTGCGCGGTATAAGAAATATGTTCGGAAACAAGGAAATGGTGGTGCGCGACATAAGATTTCACGTTCGCGATATGAGATTCGTGGTTCGAGTGCAAGGAACGTAGTTCGCGGTATCAGAACTGATGTTCGCGTTGTTGGAAGTCTAGGAGGCCTGTATACTTAGTTTCTCGGAATTCTTTCATTGATTTGGGAAAGTGAAGTGTCTGGATGATGTATGAAAATTGTATGTTAATCTAATCAATATTTCAAAATTATAAGGGTACAATTATAGAAACTATGATGATTTTTTTAAGAAATGATAATTTTTCAAAACATTGTCATGCTTTCTAGAAGATGTGAGAAGTTCTAGACCGTGTTCAGACAAAATGTTGATCAATGTTTCTACAAAAAGGAAAGAACCATATTCTGTCAAAACGTTGAATAAAATGAGTATACTTACAAATCTCCAGCCGGAAATTCTTGTATAACGTCCGTAAACTTCTGGCGCTACAGCGTCTCTTAATTGGGTGTGTACTTACAAAAGTAATCTGATGCATTCATACATTTGTTCCAATTAAAACCGTGATTATGACATCCAAAGGCTTAATTTGTCTCGCCACTTAAATATGCCTGGCATTATTTTTGATCTAAACTATGCAAATTATTTTTATGGTGATCCTGCTGCATTGATACTATTCAACTTTAAATAATATGATATCTGCTTCAGAAAAAGAGCAAGGCTTATCATATTATTAATCCAATATCAGTTATTCAATTGTATCCAATATTTCATTGTATCTCATACTTAAGTGGGTATGGGGTAGATATCACCTGGGAATATATATCATATCTGAGGAGCGGGCAGGATATATTGTATATGTCCCGCTCCAGGCCAAATGCGGGCAGATATAATATATCCATCCCGCTCCCGGGAATTCAAAAGTTTAAAAAAGTTTAAAAATCAAAAATTTTGAAAAGTTTTAAAGTTTAAGTTTTTTAAAAGTTTAAATGTTACAATTTCATCGTATTGAACAAAAAGAATATTACGAAAATGTTAAATATAAATTGTGCTTTTACTATAGGCCTATCTTGTCATTTGAAAAGGTGGAAAAGGTTATATCTACCCTAAACCCACTCAAGTATGAGATACACCAGTTATGTACGGTCGGTTTTGGATATAGGGTATGTCCCTCGGGAAATATTTATATCTCCCCTTGGTCACTTCGGTCCCTCGGGGAGGTATAAATATATCCCTCAGGATATACCCTATATCCAAAACCTCCCAGTACATAACCCTTATATATTCCACACATCTCATTATTCAAGCTGCCTTGCAGAACTTTTCACATATTTCATTGCATTGTCCAGTATTAGTTGACTGCCTCCAGTCACAACCTCAGGCTCAGTGTTAAATTTGAGAGGTGACTTGTACTCTGTGGTACAGAAAATGTTCCTGAGTGCGTCCCTGGCGGCCATTTCCTCTGCAATCTCTAAGGTCTCACCAGGAGCTGGAACATAAACTGCCTAATTATTGGCCTTGAAAATTCTAGAGGAAGCAGTTTTCCCAAAAACTGGCTAAATTAAAACACTTAACACACCGCTTAAAGATACGACAATCTTTCTAATCTAGGCTATGGATCAAAATGGTATATAATTACCCAGCATGCCATGAAATGAAAATGAAAAAAAAGATAAAGTACCTTGACCCAGTAATGCTGTATCACTGTATATGCCCACAATGTAACAAGACAACACTGTCCGGGATCCTGTTTCTCTAAGTAGCCTGAAATTAAAAAGTTCCTTAAATGATTGGAAATCATTTTAAGTCACATCACATAAGTTTATAATTCACAAAATAATGTTTACAAAAGTGGAACAATTTGTTGAAGCTATCACAATATGTTGAAACATCTTGTGATGACGTTAAAATAAACAAACATTTAACATGTAAAATGTCACCACCTTCCATTTGTTACAGACACTGACTGCAGAACAATATTTAATACAGATGCAAAATGCCACAAAAAGGAGACTATTAAAATATCTGGCAGTGACATAAAATGACAACAGCGAAAATCCACAAAATGTCTGACTATAGATCTATCTATGCAATGTTAAATACAGTGTAGAACTAGATAACAGCAACGCCAAAGCGTGGCAAATCCCATCCAACAGCCATGGCCGGCATTTTTACAAAGCATAAAGCAAAAATGGCAGCCATTTTTCAAAATGGCCACCTTCTACCAAAAGTGTCATTAGACAGTGGGCCATGCTTATAGTATTTACATACTAAATATGAACAAAATCGCTCCACTACTTTTCGAGTTACAGCAAAGATTGTAAAATAGCGTGTAAAGGCCACCATTTTTCAAGATGGCTGCCATGTGCTTCTTGAATATCTACATTTCTAGCTTTATTAATGTCCTTTATAATTTGCCGCCTTCTTCCAAAAGTGTCATTAGATAGGGTAGATAGATACCAAATATGAACAAAATCACTCCACTACTTTTCCAGTTATAGTAAAATGTGTTAAAATGTGCCTTCCACCAAAAGTATCATTAGACAGTAGGCCATGCTTATAGTATTCACATTATGAACAAAATCGCTCCATTAGGACGTACGTACGGATGGACGTACGTACGGATGGACGTACGTACGGATGGACGTATGTACGGATGAACGTACGTACGGATGGACGTACGTACGGACGGATGTACGTACGGATGGAAGCACGTGCGGACGGGTGGACGGAAGCGTTCCCTATACCCTCCAAACTTTGTTCGATGGGATAATCATTTTGACAAAATCTTACCTAGCTTCTGGTGGTTGTTTACCCTGATTCTGCAGGATATCCACAAGGACTCCCATAGGATTGTGTACATCCCATAGTTCATTGACATCCTTCCCCACCAGCATGGTGCAAATGAAATCCTGGACAAACTGCTGGGCTTGTGTCCTGCCCTGGTCCCTACTAAGTGCACCAATGATCGCTTTGAATGTTTTCACCATAGTGCTAGCTTCGGGGGGAAAGTCCTAGGATAGAAATAGAAAATTGTAAATGATTGTCTTGAATGTCTTTACCATAGTACTAGATACGGAAGGAAAGTTCAAGGATAGGAATACAAAATTGAAATGCTTATCATTGATTTGAATTCCTAACTAAAAACGCTATGTGACAGAAAGTATTTAAACTTTTCGATAACTTATGAGGACGGTCATTTTGATGTCATATGATATCATTATAGGGGATCCAAAAACAATAATTTAGTGAGGTAAACAATGAACAATAATGTCTGTTTGCCAAATTTAGATGCACTAAGATTGAGGAACAACCTCATAAATAAAGTCACCTACTTCACATAGAATCAAGTCTTTAATTCCCAAGTTTAGTCCAATAGTTGCCAACATTTCCTCTGACATCAAGTAATCATGAACAGCACTGAAATAAACAACAAGGCAATGTGAGGTAATAAGATATCACCACCTGTTAAGCTCTTGCAAAGGGTTACAAAAGTGTGACAATTTGTTACAGAAGTGTGACAATTTGTTACAGAGGTGTGACAATTTGTTACAGAAGTGTGACAATTTGTTACAGAAGTGTGACAATTTGTTACAAAAGTGTGATAATTTGTTACAGAAGTGTGACAATATGTTACAGAGGTGTGACAATTTGTTACAGAAGTGTGACAATTTGTTACAGAAGTGTGACAATTTGTTACAAAAGTGTGACAATTTATTACAAAAGTGTGACAATTTCTTACAAAAGTGTGACAATTTCTTACAAAAGTGTGACAATTTGTTACAGAGAGCATTAATGCCAATGCTTGAATGCCAATGCTTGAATGCCGGAGACTAAACTGTGGCAACAACCATGTCTCTGATGACATAAAAATAATAGTACAATCTTTTCACAATATTACTGTAAAAACAATCTTATCAAATATGTTGCGAAATTCAGAGAATTAGATTGTGATACTGTACATCAAAATATCAAGGGAGTATTTAATCATGTTCTTATTAGACGTTGCGTCTTTAAGAAGATATATTTCTTACCTAATTGCCTCTTCTGGGAGGAAGGGATGGGAGAATCTTATAAATGCATACACATGCTCACTTGCAAGCTTTTCTCCTGAAAAATACAATATACATATGATATATGTGCAAAAATACAATACAACATTATACATGTAGTTCAGCACAGTACAAAACAGTAAAAATAATACATTTGTTCATAAGGTGATACATTCACATGAATAGAGGCTCATCAATATTGGGACAATGTGTACAATAAAATGATAAATGCTCAACAATGTACAACAGATTTCTGAAAAATATAAAAAGATCATTTAATTTTGTCTCTCACTCTTAAAGTTAGAAACTGGCTTGCCAATTCCCAATAGAACTAAACTTATGCTAAAGTAATGTAAGGAAGTACTGAAAGCATGTGTTGATCTAGAATTTTGAATTTTCATAACAGCTGAAACAATGTCACACCGGAATAGCCTGACAACGGCAAAGTCAGATACCTTTGTCACAAATGGCATGCAGACATAACCGTCGCTTCAATTAGATTTTCATGAACTGTATGTTTTATAGAGCACCTAGACTTCATTCCTTTGGAACAACAATCAATCAAAGTGTCTTTATACTCATTGTACAGTTATTAATGTTCTATCATCAAAATAAAGTCTTTATTGAACCGAACAAAACAAGATACGGGACAACAGACACTGTATTACCATATGCCGCTGTCTTTGTAAATTATTTAAAATTCAGATTCCGTTGTCATTGATGATATCGAATACACTATATTTTGGCGATTCACGACCCAATTTGATCGAAATTGGGATTTCATATGATACATCATCACAAGAGCTTAATACATGTACAGAATTAGCGACAATAAAATCCCACGAAATGAGGACCAAGTAAATAAAGAGTTGAAGCGACGGTTATGTCCGTCATTTGTGAGAACGATATCTGGCTTTACTGTTGTCAGGCTATTCCGGTGTGAATGCAAGACAAATTGTTTGCCTACCCTCTCTGGCAAGCTCCTCATTGTCTTGGAGATTCAAGGGTACATCCGAGTCATCTATACCGAGTTGTGATCTTCTAGACTCCTCACTTTCAATGTAAGACCTGAAAATAGATAAAATACAGTTAAATCTGTAAAGTAGAACACCTCTATAAATGGAACACCTTTGTTGGTAGAACACATTTTAGTCCCATGACCTATTGACTTAAAGGTTATTGAATAAACTTTGTAAATCTGTAAAATATTTGTAAATTTGTAAATAAAGTACAATTGATTTGTGGAGGCGAAATGTACATGTAATTTGAAAATTAAATCAACATCCTAGAGGAAAAGAAACAGAAAATATTTCCATAAATTTTGTACAACTAAATAATTTCTTGTGGAACAAATATGCAAATAATTCATTTTCTTAAGCACCTCAAACTATCATAAGTGACAAAAATACATTTGGGAATAACTGGGTACTTTTTCTGAAATATCATATGAGTCTAATTAAGCAGAGTTAATACTGATACCTGTGAGTAAATGCAATCTTCAATGTGTGTTCATTAAACTCTTCTTTCAATCTTTTACCAAACGCATAGATTTCAGCATCATAGTTCCTGGAATCAAATATACATGTACATGTACTACCCTGGAGTCCGTTTTTATACTGTTCGTAGTAACGAACGTTCGCAATTCGTTAATTCGTAAATATTTAAAAAGTTACGAATTCGTAATGGATCATTTTTGTACGCTTTCGTAAGTCATTCGTAACTTTGCAATTGTTTAGAGTAAGATTTACGAATTGGTTGACGTCATATTCCACAGTTGTCAGGACAGATAGTACAACAAACAGGGTTGATCAAAATAATAAAACCAAAGTCATACAATAAGAACTTTATAAAAATAAAGATTCCATGAAAAGTGCTAAAATAGATATAGAAATAGGTTGATAACGGTGTTGCCCTTTGTGTTCTCTGATTTAGAATCACAAAACGTCACAAATCACAATATAAATGAATAAATAAGAGGCCGTTCGCAAAGTTACGAAAGGGTCAGAGGTGGTATTTAATCTACGAACGAAAACAGGTATGACGTCACTATTTTCGTAAATTTACGAATCGTTCCTAACTTTATGAATCTTACGAAAATGCAACTTTGCGAAATTCACAAATTAAACAATGGACTTACGAACGTTCGTTACTACGAACGTTAGTTACTACGAACGGTACAAAAACGAGGCCCTGAATGTCAGTGTCTAGTATTTACAAGACTTTGGGTGAAGATAAAGGTTTTAAAGAAGAAAAATCAAACGGTATACATCACTGTCATCAAATAACCTTTGAGCATTTGATAAGGGCCAAGCAAAAATTTGTTGCAAGCGCTAGCTTCAAAGAAATAAAATGTATATAATAAATGAATGAATGGCCTCAAGTTAGGTTACTGCATACTAAAAGGCCTTTAATAAACAGATTTGATTTCAATGAACAATATTTAACTCTAAGCCTATGAGCAAATACTGGTAATAAGAGCTACTTGCCTACATATTAAATCCCTTTGTACACATTAACTGTTTCCTGGTTAATTCAGTTTTCCCTGACCATGGAGAATAGAATGGGATAATGGTAATTTCAAAGAGGCATTCAAGGATAAAACAAATATCTCACCATTTAATACTATAGAATTCACTTTCGTCTTTCGGTGTGTACTCTTCCATCTGTCTTACCATAATTTTGGATGGGTAATTCTTTTCGATTTAACCCTAACCCTCTTAGTTAGATCTATTGCATCTCTCATAAATATTTATTCATAATTAGGTCATCATTTAAAAATACAAAACAACTCAAAAATTATCTCAGAATCATTTGTGAATGGCAGATATGGTGTCTACCCCCCCCCACAATATCTCACATTATCTTCGTTTTCCAGGACCCACAGGCAGAGGCAGCACTTAGCACACCCTCGCTTCAATTTAAATGTAGATACCGTATCCGCCATAAAAAGCACCCATTAGGCACATTTGAAATTGAAATTCCCATTGTAACCCATAACAAAGAGCGCCCATTTATCACTGTTCCACAACTAGTTAATTCGACGGAACGTCAATGTAACAATGAAAATGGATTAACTTCCTGGTTACAAGTTTTTTGTTTTCTTGATTTAAACCTTTATAAGTCAATTTGCAGATTAAAATTTTTCACAAAGCTAGAAAATATAGTCTAGTTTTAATAATTTTCTTCAATTTAGAATTTGTTTTGTAAATGAAGTTGCAATTCATATATTTAACCCATCACTTTTGTTACATTGACAAAACTTGGTTATATTAAAGCAGATATGAAATGGTATTTTTAACCTAAAGGAATCAAAATAATTTTTTGATAGATGTATTTGGACATGTTTTCTTATCAGTAGTGTGAAAACTATTTCACTCTAACGATCGTTATAGCTGCTTAATAAGCAATATTCGAATTGGTTGTGACGTTATTGGCCCCCACGTGATCTCTCACTGGTCCCCACGTGGCCAGTTTTGGTTCATTAGATCATGACGTCATAATGCCAAAATGTTTTGTTATTTGTTTACACAATAATCCTATGGTTGCTGTGACGTTGTGATTACTATGGAACCAATAAACCAAAGTTATATTTTGTATATGACGTTACTAATCACGTGGGGGCCAATTTGATTTATCAGTTAGTTTTATTTCGTTATCTATGACCGTTAGCAGTTATCTAACATTTATTTTATAATGTCTATCGCAAGAACTCTACATTGGGCTTACAATGGAGAAAACCGCATTTTTGTAGCTGCAAATTGAGAAAAGCTATTTCAGTTGTCCTTTAACAATGTAGGTTACTTTGACGACTTACGTCAATGTAACAAAAGCGATGGTCTAAATTCATGAATTACAGCTTTATTTAAATATCAAATTCCAAACTGAGAGCATTTCTAAAAGCTAGACTATGAAATAAGACAAAAAATCCTCAGGAAATTCATGGATGCCTATTTTTCTTGCCAAGAATGTCTTATTTGCAACATCAAAATTAATATAGAGCATATTTTTACAATAATGATATGTATCGTTATTTGAGAGATTACAGAAAAGATCGCTAAAATATCTAGCAAGGATCTTGTAAAAATCTAACAAGACAATATTGAAGAAATTCCCGGCAGAGCCCCTCAAATTGAATCAATTGTTTTCCCTGATTGTCTTCAATATTTCCACTAGTAGAGACTGTTGGATATCGATATAAAGTTAAACCGTATTTTATAATTTAATGACAGATCATCTTTTTTGTGTAAAAGTTGTGCAAAAGTCTGAGAAATGTTGAAAATAAACAAGAAAGTTCACAACCTTGACATGACCTTGACGATCGCTACTTGGTAAAATGTCGAAAAAACTCTGAAACTTGAACATTTCCTTCATTCATTATGGACTATTTTGAGATAGTTTAGTATGATGTGGAAAGCACTCAATGATAGATATTTATTGGGAGGATGCATTGAATTACAAAATTTGTCACATATATTGCAGGATAGTGTAAGTACTCTATTGACCACTCAAATTTGTTTGGAAATTGATTTTTTCTTATATACATGTATTTGTTAATACATGGTCATTCCTCGATGTTTCTTGAACTTTGTTAAGCGGGATGGGCACTTATTAGGGCTTAGGGGTGGGCCCTAAGTACAGCAATTACAGTACACACATTATTATTAAACAAATATTATTCTTGCTCTAAATTATACAAATTTATGACAATTAAACATGATTAAAATCATCCCCCTTGACTCATACCACTCAACAATATTTTACTTATCACTCACCAATTACTCCACTCTGATCTGTGTCTCTCTTTCTCAGGTCCAACTTTAAGACGACGGCTGTATAATTCATTGTAATATGGCACTGCCCATCGTTTTCTACCTCTTTCCGCTGAAACATACACGAACATTTTATTTTAGCTAGTTGGGAAACATTATGGGACAATTTGATTTGCCAATGCAGTGATCCTAGCTGATTGGATAGTTGAGATGACTAATATTGGAGAATGAAAGTTTGTTTTGTAAATGCTTGGAGATACATTCAGAGGGAAAAAGTGGTGCAGAGCCCAGATGTATGTTATTTATGTCATAAGTTCGAATAATAGTTGTGCTTCAAATATTAATTGTATGACATGTATGAGACCAATGTTAATGCTACCGGGGGGGGGGGAATGGGACCTGCAGGCTTTATTATTTATACATGTACATGTTTTTCTGTTTTGAAAAATTCGATATGTGATGTATTCTTAGTTTTTCAAATAAATGTACAAATATTTCATTACTGTTTTATCTTTACATCGTAATTTCAATCACCGCCATCACTTTTCGAACGGGTTAACTTGAACTATCAAGATGTCATGCTATTCTCATACTTATAGAACTCAATGTGACAGTCATTGACCATTTATTAAGCAGTAAAAAATTAACTAGATAATGGCAACTCCGCGGAGTAGCAAATCCCAACGAACAAAATATCAATTACCGAATTCCAATCAATTATACTCATTACTTTGGTTAAAATTTAGATTTTAGAATTGTGAATTCCTGCAAAGCAGCCATTTTGAATTTTCTGAGGTACAAATCTGAAAAATAATACCATAATTGTGATCTACTCCAAAATTCCTTCAATTTGAGTATTATATAGCCATACGCTGAAGGGATCGAAAAATTATTGCGAACTCATACATTAGACGGCCATTTTGAATTTTACGAGGCTCGAATCGGAAAAAAGATACAATATTTGCCTTCTACTCTTAATTGTCTTTCATTTGAGTATAATAAAGCTATACTTCAGAAAGATCTAAAAATTGTATTTTTTTTTGTTTTCCTGACCCCCCATTCACGGCCCCTGGGGGTCGGGATGAAAAACACAGAATATATGTGAAATAGGTAGATGTTGCGAATATACTACCAAAATTTCAAACGATAATATTATTTACTTTGGTTTAGAATGAAAAATTTATGATTTTTGAGAAAAAGTCCCGTCATTTTTAAAGTGGCGGCCATCTTGAAAAAATCCATTTTGAATTTTCTGAGGTACAAATCTGAAAAATAATACCATAATTGTTATCTACCCCAAAATTCCTTCGATTTGAGTATTATATAGCCATACTTTGAAGGGATCAAAAAATTATTGCGAAATCGTACATTAGACGGCCATTTTGAATTTTACGAGGCTCGAATCAGAAAAAAGATACAATATTTGCAATCTACTCTTAATTGCCTTTCATTTGAGTATAATAAAGCTATACTTCAGAAAGATCTAAAAATTTCTGTTTTCCTGACCCCCCATACACGGCCCCTGGGGGTCAGGATGAAAAACACGGAATATGTAAGAAAAAGATAGATGTTGCGAATATACTATCAAAATTTCAAACAATAATATTAATTTCTTTGGTTTAGAATGAAAAATTTATGATTTTTGCGAAAAAGTCCAGTCATTTTTAAAGCGGCGGCCATCTTGAAAAAAAATTTTTTTGCGTAAAACTATTCATCAATATACATCTTTCCACAAAATATGAAGAAAATCCGTCAACTAATATTTGAGTTATCTTCCGGACGGACAGACGGACGGACGGACGGACGGACTGACGGACGGAGGGCTTCACTATATCCCTACCGAACTTCGTTCGTTGGGATAATTAGCTTCATGGGTTACAAAATGTTTCTACTTTCCTGGTGAATGTCGAGTCTCGCATCAAAAGAATTGTAATTTAAGGCGATCTGTCTGCTTGGGGTAATAAAGCACAGTTTATAAAGTGAGCCAAGGATCAATAGGTCAAAAAAGAAATTTCAGAAAAAATATTGATAATTTAAAAAAAATGATATGCATCTTTTATCATGATTATCTAGTTTTGGCAGTCATTCAAGCCCGAGATAACACCCCAAATGATAGGAAAAACGGGGTCCGCAATATTCTACTGAAATACAACTGACATTGTACATACATTGTACCAAAAGACGTTATACCAGGGGCTTTCTAGTTGAAATACAGACGCACATTGTACCGAAAAGCTTTCCTGTGTGATTTATATTGTATTTTTATGAGTAGTATGCCATCACCAGAACACAAGTTGAACAAAGCGAAAAACGAGCATTCAGGGGGTGTGGGTCTGGGGGTTCTCCCCCCAGAAAATGTTGAAATTTTGTTGTATTTGGAGTGTATTTGCAACGATCTGGTACGCCTGTCCGTACCAGGTGAACCGGGCGCTACGCCCATGCATATCTGCTTGTTTAAATCATGAAATATTCTTGGTGTATTTGCACAGGGGCTTGTCTCGAGGCGTCGGGCAAGCCCTCCGATGAGTCTACTGCTTATTAATAGTATTAAGGGTGGTCGGTTTTGATGCTACCTGAAATTTGTAGAAAATGATTGTTAGATATATCAAGTAAAAATATATGGAATCCTTTCAATAATCGACATGCTGATTCAAACAACACTAAAGAGTAAACTTACCTAAAATGGTAGCAATCCATCTACTTGTTGCTGAGAAATCTGAATAATTTGTTAAGAAGTGATTACACTGCAAGTACCGAATTTTTTTGCAGCCAAATTATTACCTCCAGAGTCGATTTCTTCCCCAAGACACGTCCACTGTTAAAAATTGGTAGTTCCTAGAGTTCTTTGTTTCCTTAGGTTCATTCCCGTATGTTATTTTTAACGAAGGACAGCCTATAACGACTGCTATACGCAAAAAGATGCATGAAATTAAGTTTCGAAACTGAAAGTTGAAAAATGGCGACTTTCCCGTGTTCTATGCGCAGGTGCGTTCAATCCAGCAATTTGATTAGTTCATATTATATGAACGCATGTGCAATAACTACACATATATTTTTAGATAGATGTCACTTGCGTTCATAATTTCACAGCAGTCCCTTCCCATGATGCACCTAATATTGCGGAAATATTTTCCTTTAGTGATAAAACAAATAACTCTCATCTTCGAAATACGTTTTCCATTCCTTGGCAATAATCTTTCATTTGGTATTTAAGTATAACCGAACCAACCGCCGAAAAGTAATTCGAATCCTTCTGAATTGTGGGAATGAAGTACTTTCATTTTTGCACATGCGCTGCGCATGCGCATAGAACACGGGAAAGTCGCCATTTTTCAACTTTCAGTTTCGAAACTTAATTTCATGCATCTTTTTGCGTATAGCAGTCGTTATAGGCTGTCCTTCGTTAAAAATAACATACGGGAATGAAAACAAAGAACTCTAGGAACTACCAATTTTTAACAGTGGACGTGTCTAAGGGAAGAAATCGACTCTGGAAGTAATAATTTGGCTGCAAAAAAATTCGGTACTTGCAGTGTAATCACTTCTTAACAAATTATTCAGATTTCTCAGTAACAAGTAGATGGATTGCTACCATTTTAGGTAAGTTTACTCTTTAGTGTTGTTTGAATCAGCATGTGTATGTTAGACTGTATCCTTCGTCTGAATAAATATTCAGACTGTAAGTCACCTATTGTAAAATATGGTGTTGTATAAATGTTACAAATAAGTTTGTTAAATGATAAAATGATTACCTTATAAATTACTTACAATATTATTTTTTCGTATATTGTCCTCTTACTGAAGATATTCATAAAATGTACAGACGCTTCTTGTAGCGAAGCCATTGATTAGGTCAAGCCATTTTGGCAATGCCAATTCTCACGATAAACGAGATTTAGCCAGTGACGTCAGTCTATTTGTAAACAAATAACACGTGGAGCGGACGGAAGCGTGTTGATAAATTCCATTTGTGCGGGAATTTATTAGATCTAGTCATTTATTATCATTATCCCGATTAATTTTCTTCATTTATAGTAAATAGAGCGGAAATATTCATGAAGAAGGCCGAGGTAATCAAGTGGTCATGTGTTGTCAAAGTTCAAAATTTGCATATCTCGTTTGGATCTCGTGAACTCAAACGTCCTTGACATTGATTTCGCGATGTACTTATAAACACATCCTGAAGTTTTGGTGAGTCTGAACATTTCATTATTTTATATCAACTTGTACCCGCCTTATACAAATATTTTTGCTTCTAGTTTAAGATGAACATCTCTTCAACATATTCACCAATTTTCAAGGTGAACATTCTTGTAATAAACGAGAAATTTATGTGCAAAAAATATCACCGAGATTTCCACAGGAAATATATCAATCATAACAGACCGAATATTATATTCGGTCTGTTGGATACATACTAATGTGTATGTCGATTATTGAAAGGATTCCATATATTTTTACTTGATATATCTAACAATCATTTTCTACAAATTTCAGGTAGCATCAAAACCGACCACCCTTAATACTATTAATAAGCAGTAGACTCATCGGAGGGCTTGCCCGACGCCTCGAGACAAGCCCCTGTGTGTATTTGTAAACAAATAAATATAAATAAGAGGCGAGGGAATACATTTTAAACTCAATATTTTCGCAAGAAAAAAAGCACTTTTTGTGATACGAGCTCCTTTGCTAGGCTAGATTGAATTGATTATGCTTCAGACAAAAATCGGGGGACCCAAAATCAGTGCAAAAAACTCTGCAAATCACAAGTGCAAATTGATTGTGCCAATTTCGCTTAATTTCGAGATTATTTTTATACAAAACTAAGACAAGCCTTATATATAAACAAAAACGTTACCTGTTACGCTAACAGCTGGTATAGGGTGAAGTATTTGACGTGTATTTGTGAGAAAACGGAGAGTCAATCTAGTTAGACTTGCCATGCTTTTTCTAACGAGCTTCCACTTTTCTAACGAGCACCAACTTGAAAGAGTACTTCCGGTGGACACATTTTCGATTTTGACTTTCAATCTTATCTTTATTGCTTAATATATAGTCCAAGGATGCACCTAACGAAGTATCTGCAATATTTTGTTAGACGTAGGCATATACCAGGACATCTTTTTAAAGGGTGAGCTGCTTATTTATGTCTGTGAAGTCATTTTTCTAAGTTTTTTATAATTTTTTTTTATTTAAAATTTTTTGAATGATCATTTTTGTCTCAGTCAAGTAGATCTGATATGATTCTGTCTTTTAAATTGTTGATGTAGTGATTTGGCATGGGAGGCACTATTCTGCCGTCAACTGAATATTTTCCAGTAAATGCAGACACTGCCTGTCATGTCAGGATCAACATCAGTGCCCCATCAGTACAGGGATGTTTTGTTTAAGGCCAAGGTGCATGTTCGGAATTTTTCTGCATTCCTCAATTGAGTCACATGTTTTTTTTCAAACAGGAATCACTCCTTCCACGCATTTTTTCACTGAATTTTCTTGTTTTTTATACATTTTATCAAAACATTCTTCTTTGCATCCTTTTCTAGGTACATTAGTGCACTCGTTGTGCAAAAGTGAGAGTTGTAGACAATGAAAGGAAGGAGTGATTCAAATTTGAAAAATAACATGTGACCCTATTGAAGGTTGCAGCAAAATTCCGAACATGCACCCTGACCTTAAGGTGCCGTGGTACTTAACAGGAAATGACAAAACAGGAAGTGACAAAACCATGCTGGATTTCAAACATTTTTTTCACAATGTTCATGGTCAAAATGACCCTAAACATGATGATAAAACTATTTCGGCCCTCTGAAAATGTGAGTGAAAAATAGCCAAAAATAGGCGCTTGGGAAAGGTCACTGAACAGAATCTTTTTAATTTTTCAGTAAATGTGCCCAATGTATTGCTCTAAATGATACAATCTGAATTTTTGAAAATTTGTTATCATTCATAGAAAAGGAAAAAATGAAAAAAATGTTTGAAATCCAGCATGGTTTTGTCACTTCCTGTTTTGTCATTTCCTGTTAAGTATCACAAGACCTTAACCCCTGATAACAAAAGCCACATGGTCGATTTCCACATGATTTGGCCTGTGGAAATGGAATGGTAATACTTTGAAGTTTGTTGTTTTACTAGAGAGATGTTGATGTGAACATATACATGTATGTAAATGTGCCATATATAGAAAATAGATAAATTTTGAAAAGTACCTTGGCTTAGAAGTTAAGGACTCGGGGTATTTATCAGAAATTTACACCAAACAGGAAATGGAAAATCCATGTGGATTATAGAAGATAATAGATAACAGAAGTAAGATAACAGAGTTAGACTATGAGACCTTAACATTTCCAATCTGTCATTACTTTTATTGAAATTTCGAAAGTCATATACTTTTGGTTATAGTAGTATAGTAGTAGCATTAAACTTTATTATTATTTCCATGCCCTGATACTAGTTCTCTCATTGGTCAATTAGAAACCATGTGACTGAAAATACAGTGTATGTAGAGGTATTCCATGTCTCCCTGCTTAGAATACGTGTGAAGAGTGTATTCACCGGCAGTGGCATCATTTTTAGTGAATACCACTATATATTCAATTAAAATGATGTCACATCACTTAATTCCCGGGAATTTAGTATTTTCATCCGATATGATAGACGGTGAAGTTGTATCAGGAAGTCTTCCCGAGGAAAGGTGGGTGCAGCACCCACCTGAGATCTTAAAAACAGGCTTGCACCTACCTGAGATTTCATTTGCACCCACTTGAAAATGAGAAAATCATGTAAAATGGGCATATTTTGACCAATTTTGGACTGAATTGTGAAAATGAGTATTTTGCACCCACTTGAGAAACAATCCTGGGGAGACAACTGATGGTTATTATTTCTGAACATAGGGCTGAGGTTTTCTGAGAACAAAATGATTCTTTAACTATAAATAATGTTCTTTGATTCCAGCAAAGTACGCTATTGGCCTCGAGTGACACATGAGGCAAAACTGAAAGCTGTGGTAGATTCACTGAGGGAACAAGACAATGTTGATCTGCTTAGTAGGCCTTACATAACTGAGGTATGATATATTATCCCATTGTTTATATAAAATATGTATGATATCATGCAATTATATTTATAATGAGACAATATCCCAATATTACTTAGATTCCACCAATGTGATATGCACATTAAAACATGTATCATTCAAAGCCTATACATGTAAAATAATACTATGAATGAATATTTTGAATTAAATCGTTTATTTTTTAGTGAACTATAGGACACAAAAAACATTCTCATAATGTTTAAGGATCTTTATCCATATAGCATGTAACATTTTATAGTATATTATTGTCCCATAAAACAAAGTTTGGGGGATATAGGCTCCGTCCGTCTGTCCATCCGTACATACGTCCATCTATTGGTTGTTGTTCTGTGTCTAGTGATTGGTGTTTGGCAGTTACTGTTCAGCTTCTTAACAAATGGCAGGTGGTGACTGTTTGCATGTTAATGCCTTGTATTATGTTAATATATTAGGGAAAAAATTTGGTAAAAGGAGGGAATTGGCAGACACTATTTTTTAACACTGATATATTTTTATTAACATAAAAATTTGTATCTCATTCTAGAGTGGGTTTGGGGTAGATATCACCCGGGAATATATATCGTATCTGAGGAGCGGGCAGGATATATTCTATATGTTTCGCTCCAGTCCAAATGCGGGCAGATATAATACATCCATCCCGCTCCGCTCAATATAATTCTTTTTTCGTGCAGTGTAATAATGATGCATTGTGGGATTTCTCCAGACAAAAAATTAGAAATAAATATTTGGAAAGACACTGAAATTCGATTAAAACATGGATAAAATACATGAAAACTGCACTCATTTGAATAATAACGAAGCAGAAACTACCCGCAGATTCGAAAATCAATTGGTGTAGAAGAATTTCTCACAACCACTGAAAATGAAAACACTTCAAAAAAAACTCGACTTGATATCCAAATATTCAAACAGTTCATGTTTTACAATTACAAAAGTTTCAATGTTACAATTTCATTGTATTGAACTAAAGAAATATTACAAAAATATTAAATATAAATTGTGCTTTTACAGTGTAGGCCTATCTTTTCATTTGAAAAAGGTGGAAAGGTTATATCTACCCCAAACCCACTCAAGTATGAGATACACCAGTTATGTATGGTCGGTTTTGGATATAGGGTTTATCCCTTGGGAAATATTTATATCTCCCCTTGGTCCCTTGGGTCCCTTGGGGAGATATAAATATATCCCTCAGGATATACCCTATATCCAAAACCTCCCAGTACATAACCCTTATATGTATACTCTGTATGACATTTTGACCATTTTTTGTTTCTTGATTTGACACATTGATGATTTGTTTGCTTCAGGAACAAGAGCACAATTACATGTATGAGTCCGGGAAAGTGGCAGAAAGGATTTTAGCAGAGAAAGAAAAATGTAAAAGCAACTTTTTCAAACACAGATCCATGGAGGAACATTTAGCACATTTAAATCACACTAAAAGCTGGGAATAGTTGAAGATTTCAGTAGCTATAGTAAGGAATCGTTTATAGGGCTATTGTACATTAATGTTATATTTGTGTGTGTTTCAATGGAAGAAATAGTACAGAAAAATTGAAATATTAATATTATGTTTGGGATTGCAAACCTACTTGTCAAAATTGAATGGTGGCCTGTTATCATGTGATATTTCAACACATGTTGAAATATCAAATGGCTAAGATAACAATAATGGAGATGGGCACTGGAGCAGCACCAATAATACACAGAATTTATAGAAGGCCTCAATGTTTGAACTTGAGTCCACCCATGCTGATATGTTAATGTGAACTGAGTCATCTCATGGCAAATAAGAGCTTAAAGTAACTTTCTATGATTTCATCTAAAAATTAAAACCCTTGGAAATACTAAATATGGTTTAAGTGCCATATATAAAAATTAATTTTAGAAATATTGTGGATCAAAATGAAAAAAAAATAAAATAAAGAATAAAAACATATTCCACCGGAGGGATTTGAACCCAGATCTTTTGGAATAAAACTCTGATTGAGCCCAAAGCTCTAACCACTACACCAAACTGCCAAAGCCTCCTGAAGGAAGAAATTCTTTATCTATATAATCATGGACGAAAAAAGTCTTATTTACATGCTTTAATTTCTTAAAAATGATCAGCATTACTACTAATAATAACATTTTGCATGTCTGAGTAAGTATTTTGATCTACATTTAGGATAAATGTTGTTTTATTCAGTTTTCATTTTGGGTATGACTTCCTGTCAAAACAGTGTTAAAAATGCATGGCTCAACAAAAATTTTCAATTAGAAAATGATATATATCCTTTGATCAGCTGTTTTTGGCACCTGAACTCATCCTACTAGAAAGGTAAGAGCATTTTCTTGAGACATATGGCTCGAAATCTCACATTTCTCCTTCTAAGTCTTAGAAAGACACTTTAAAGACAATTCTGATGCTACTGTAAAGGAAGATAGTAGGGATTTTAAGCTTGCATATAAAATGGAAACGCCAACCTATATGTATGACCAATCGCCCATACAAATGCTTCTCTTAAATATTTTCCGTTCACGTTTAGGTTGTGAAAAACACTGCAAGCTTAAACTCCCTATTGTTTACCAGAATAGACTTGAACTACTAAACTATAATATAATGAGTCACCTCATGAAAGTATCAAATAAGAACTTAGAGACATTCATTTCTGATGCTACTGTAAAGGAAGATGTTTACGAGAACAGACCTGAACTACATGTCACAAGAACTGAACAATTTTAGGTCAGATAAGCATCTTTTTCTGCAGTACCGAGAACTTAATTCCTTCATGCTACTATGCGGAGTCATCATTCTTTTTATCTTTATGTCAATACCAGAAGTAGTTACATATTGTTATAGTCTCCAACTTTTTGTGGATGGCATGTGACATTTGGTTGTTGAAGTCAGCATCTGTAGCAAATGGCAGGTTGTGACATTTTGCATGTTAATGCTTTGTTTATATTTATTGGAAAAGTACCTGGGATGGTGTTCAAATGTTAACAAAAGTGGAATAATAAGTTTTTTTTGTTAGGTGATTTCATTAGTGAAGAATCTTAATTTTTTTATATTCAAAGCCAAATCAAAGCAAATTAGCATTTCAAAATGTTATTATGTCACCAACAAAAAGTGGTGACATATTGTTATGGCGTCTGTAACAAAAAGTTGTGACATATTGTTATGGTCTCCATTTTTGTGATGGCAGACAGCAGTTGGTGTCTGTAACAAATGGTGTTGGCATTTTGCATGTTTTTAATGCCTTGCTTTTTGTAACTTATATGGAGGTGGGCTTTATAACTGTTGGTATTTAGGCACCATCTCTTACCAGGCTACCAGAAAATCTGATCCAACACAAGAAAGACTTTAATATTATGATATCTTACTGCAACAATAAATTTTTATTAGCATCAAAGATGTTATGACACTTGCACATTGTGGATTACATTTAGTGAAGTTTGTGAACATAAAATACAATAAATACATTATTCTATAAAAATATATATACAGTACAATTGTTATTCTGTGATTTAAATTTAATGTATGCAAATAAAATGGAAGAAACATACTTAAAGGCAAATAAGAGAAACTGATTCTATGTTTAGCATAGTTTTTTGTTTTAAAAGAAAATCTGTATTTCCATATTTGGCTTGGCTAGTTTTGTTAAACATCAAGTGGACTCTAATTCAGGCAAAGATGATATAAAAAATATTTAAATCGTTGATTAATGTGAAAATTTATTTAGAATTATCAAAAGTATAAATATTCATTTTGTGACATGGGTAGTAAATGTTTAGTAAATACATAAATGGTCCTTTATTGGAAACTTTTTGCTCTTGAATAATTTCTCCGAAACTTCAAATTGAAGGAATATACTACATGTACATTGTGAGTATGTTAAGGTATTGTGAGTACATTGTTAAGGTATTGTGAGTACATTGTTAAGGTATTGTGAGTATGTTAAGGTAAGCATTTAGCATAAATCTGGACTATGTGTATTCCAGAATTTTTTCGAGTAATTTTCCCAATTTTCCCCAGTTGTTTTGAACTGCATGTTAACATTTAAGAAACAGATTTAAGTTTTAAGAACACGCCAGTGCTTTAAATCCACAGTTGCTCCACTGCCAATTACAATCAGTTTTTACTATTTAGCGTTGACAATAGGGTGGCAATTAGGCAATCCAGGACTCACTGACAGCCTGGAAAATGTTGGCAAATCATTTTTCAGCCTTAGTGTTGAACCCTGTTTAACGATACATATTCAATACATATAGCAGTTTACACTGAATACACCGTAAATACACTCCACCCTGTTGAGACTCTGGGTGAAATATTGAGATGATTTTGACCAAAACTGGAAAAATGATAGGGTTCAGTAAAAACTTGTGGGGAGATAGCTGAAATGTTTTTCACATCAGGATAAGGAAATGCTCAAATTTTGGAAGAATTTAGTCCTGTATTCTGTTTGTCCACTCTTTATCCCTACACTCCTCCTTGCCAATAGTCTTTCCTGCTAAGAACATCTCTGCTGCATGGCCTGTCATAGGGTCCGGCCCCATACTAGCTACTGCAATTACTTTGTCCCCTCTGCAAGGTAAAAGGTTCACAAAATAAAACACCAATGGAATCTAACATAGTCTTTGGTAAATAAAAATATTGTGAGAATATGGTCTAAGAAAAGTTGAATAAGATTGAGGCATTTTTAATTAGGCACTTGAATCTGGCTTACTGTGTGTAACAAATTATTTTAAAGATTTGTTATTTCAAGAAAAGAGAGTTTAAATGACAAAGAGGCATCCTATAGTAGAATATTTAAAAAAAATTAGAAAAATGTTGTTGTTGAGGAGTTGGGGGTTGAGATGTAAATGTAGGCACCAAGACCTCAGGCACTAGTATATATTTATAAGGGCCTTACTTAGTGTAGTATGCTGTAAAGTGCAATTCGTCAAGGTTACCATCTATTATGACATCATCAAAGCCTGGCCCATTGTAACCTGAAATGGACACCAAACATAGAAAGGAACATGTAATAAAATGTATGTACATTGTACCCGCCTTAGCCTATTGAAAATATGAAATGAGCCACAATTCAATGTCATTAACAAAAATGACAAGTAAACCTCTTTGACTCACTGCTTTTTATTTTTCTTTTGAAATATGAAATCTACAAGCTGACAAGCCTCTGCTTAATTAACAGAAGCTTTGCAAAGTTCAGAATTTTTAAGTCAATTGTTCTCTTATTATGACATCATGTTACAATACTGAATCGGGAATTCTTAGCATTCTGTTAATGGTCCACACTCAGGCACATACCTACATCATGGCTGACAGTTTTTGTGCAGGATTAATTAATTAGGATAAGCTAAACCTAGTTCCCACCTGAGTATCTCAGACTCTTGCCATACTGTTCAGTCCAGAAGAAAGGCACACTGCGTAGCTCCATATCTACCTCCATCATGCTTAGTCCAGCTGTTCTACCTACAACAATAACAAAATTTAATCATATATCAACTCCACCAACTGTTCTACCTACAACAATAACAAATCATAAATCAACTCTACCATGCTCAGAAGTGAGTAACTTCCATAATTATTTGGTATTACTTGGTATTGGGGTACCCTGAAGGGTACCCTGAGTTTTCCTTACATCCAGGTCCGATCCTACAAGCTTTATATGGATCTATAATATGGGTACCTCATGATCCAATACCAACATGGTGACATGATCCAACTCTGAACTTTGAGAATCCCCCCCCCCAATCAGGCATGTTTTTTGCCAATAACAAAAAAATATTAACTCAACCGGCTGTTTTGCCTGCAACAATAATATAGGAAATCATTTCTGTATCTGAGAAGAGGATTAGACAATAATTAATCAACAATTATTTCATTGGCCTCATTTATAGCAAACTACCAATGAGATGGATGCTAAATGTTTGCATGTTTCATATATATCCAATCAATAAAAAGATTTTAAAATGAAAAGGAGGGGTTTCTGGTAAAATATGGAAAATACCGATGCGGTATTGCTCACAAAAATATGTTGGTAACCAAAATAAGACAGCATATATCACTCACCATGGGCATGAGCCATCTGATAATGGCCGATGTTGACGGGCTCATCTCCTGATGTAAATAGAGGAAATTCAACAATATCTCCTCCAGCAAAGACATTATCCTTGTTGGTTCTCATGTACTAAAACAGAAATGGGGGATTTATAATTATAAGAATATTCACTCATATATTCTAATTTTGTTCTACAATGGACTGTGTTCCATTCATAGAGATTCATTTTATAACAAGGTAAAGGGACTTGAAAATGTGTTTCACTTTTAGGAGTGTTACACTTACAGAGGCTCGTTTTGTTTTACATTAATCAATAAGTGATGAACCATTGAAGTGTTCCACCTATGGAGGTGTTCCAGTATACAGGTTTTAATACATATTGGCATTTAATATCTAAACATTGGTTTGTTAGAAAATAAATGGACTTTGATAGATGAAAAACAGGTTTTCATACCAGCAAGCAAAATGTGATTTTTTCAAGTTGACTTTACCCAAATCATTGACTCGTTGTTTTAATTTGTTTTGCCTTTTGTTAGAAATCTTAAAGAAACAACTGGAAAATAAGAGACATTTTGTTGATATTTGAGTTTTCCTGGATATGCTTTATATTACCTTGTCAACAATAATATGGCCCCGACTGTTCATTTCAATCCCAGAATCCTGCAGGAAGACTGTAGAGGGGAGGACACCGGTACCCACAATGCATACATCTGCAGAAAGTTTCTCATTGGTTGTAAGGATAACTTCAGATAATTTCCCATCTTTTCCTATACATTCTTGTACCTCTGCTCCAAAGTGGAATTTGACTCCTCTTTCTTCATGCATCTAAAACAATAATTAAACATATGATTAGTGCAATATACAGCAAAAATAACAAGGCATAAATATACAAAATGTCACAACCTGTCATTTGTTACAAATGTAAACCACCGAACACCAACCATCGAACACAAACCACTGAACATTATTTTTTAAAAATTGGAGACTAATTAACAATATGTTGTGTTGGTGACACAATAATATCACTTCAAAAGTAAGTTAATCCAAATAATATATTCAAAGTGTTCATTATAACTAAGCTCCTGCACATATTGTTGTTATATTATCATACCTTCTGCATGGCAGCACCAACTTTATCCCCTAGGGTGTGTTTGAATGGAACATTGCTCCGTCCTACAACTTGCACTGATTTAGCTTTCTTGGAGAGGTAAGCAGCTATCTCAAGACCTGTATGGAAATCAATGTATACTTTACAGCTTTACACTGTTACCAGTCGTTTAGAAGGTATGAAAAAGTAGATGAACTGTTTGCAAAGGAAGATTCAAACTTCAAAAAATGCAATCTTAAAAAAAAACTCAAAAAATGGCAATTTTACAAGATTGTCGGAATTTTTTCCCCTATTTTTGGATCATTCTTTTCATGCCTGTTTGTCAAAAGGAATTAATGTACATACCTAACTGAAAAGAATTCATACATTTTTGGGGTTTCAAATTGAACAATAGTGTTGCGTTGGGTGGCCCTCAGGTTGGGCCCCTGCAGCCAGAGCAAAACTGCTTCGAACTGGCCCAGTCCGTGAGTTTTTTACCAACAGGCCCCCGGGTATCGGTCACCCAACCCAACTCTATTGAGCAGCCACCATTGCCAGAAACTTACCGATGAAAGATGTTCCAACAACGACAACATTTTTTCCCTTGCTCTGCTCCACAATCGTATTGCCATCTTCTGGGGATCTCAACAGGCAAATATTTTCTAGATCCCCACCAGGCACAGTCAGGGGTTTTGGTCTGGAAGTAATCAAAATTCAATTCAATTTTTAGATCCTCACTAAAAATGATAATACATGTACTTTCTAAATCCCTATTGTATGTTCTATATCATTAAGATTTTTTTTTTATTAAGATCATTAAGATATGATTCATGGAAACACTGTTAGAATCCATTTGAATATAATCAACAAAAATAAATAATCTTATTTGATCTTATAATCATTCTTTTCATCTCATAGTATAACTGATTATGCCATTTCATCATGTCTTGATGAACTGAGGATTGCCAAACTTGCAGCTAATACATATGGTACCTTCCACCTGTAGCTATCATCAATTTATTGTAGTTAATTGTGTCTCCATCAGCAAATGTAGCAGAGTTTAACATGGTGTCTATAGAGACTGCCTCCTTGTTGGATAGCACCTCAATGTCATAGACCTTGTAGAAGTCAGCTTCACGTAAAGCCAGTTTGCTGCCAGTGGAATCCGGGGCCTGGGAAAAAATGATATTGTTACCCTCCACTAGGAATCAAATGACAAAGCAAAGTAGAGTAAAACCTGTCTATCTGAACACTTCCAGAGACTTCCATGTTTAAATCCCCGAAATGTATACATGTGTCAATCGAAACACTTTTATCCAACCCTGTAGCCCTAGGCCTGGTGGTGTTCAGATTAGGTAAAATAAGCCTGAGTTCATTTACACCTTAAACATCACGAAACAAAACACAAAAATCTAGGCCTCGTGCAACGCTGATGAATGTCTTAATAGATAAATGTTACAAAAGTCTTCGAATACCTTGCTGAGTTTGGTTCTATCATACGGAAGATGTGGCTCCTTGGTTGCTATGACAACCTTGCCTCTGAATCCTTCTTGTCTTATAGTTTCAGCACACACCACAGAAGCAGGACCTACAGTTTGAGAAAAGATAGCTATATATACATGTCATCCAGATTTGGATTAACTGTTAGCTTTTACCGGGAATGCATTTTAATTAAGTTTTCAATCTTCAAGTCATTTTATATTAAAGAATGGAATAGTTTGTTTCTGAATGTGTTTAAAGTACCAATTAAAAATCCAGCATGCATAATGAAACACTTTCCAGCCCCATAGCCAGCTTTTGTCAACGGGGGTTCACTTTACAGAAAAATTCCAGAGGGCTTCACTTTGTCAAGTTTGGTCCAAAATCACATGAGAAATGCTCAGAATCGTGAAAAACTGCATTGTTTTGAAAGAATTTTTGGCAAGGGGGGTTCACCAGAACCCTTTGAACACCTCCTTGCTATTGGCCTGCTTTTTGTAAGTGCACTAATGGCCAAAACTGTTCCACTTGAACAAGTGTACCTTACAGAAACGGGCCATGTTTCAGATCAATACAAAGTCAGATATATTCAATACATTACCGCCACCAATAATGAGATACAAGTCTTCCTCCATTTCACTAAAACATGACATCTCCTTTACTCTAATCTTTGACTTCAGCAGTTTATCAAACGTCTTTACTTTCACATTGCCTTCCTCTACAACCGTCTGAAAAAAGATGCAGTAAAATCTATAAAGTGGAATACTTTACTAAGTCCTCTTACCCAGGTTGTTCATTTTCTTACTACTGTAAAATGAACCATTTTGAAACATAAGTGAGCTGTTAAAACTGTTATTGTTTAGACATCATTGAATTGCATAGTCAATTTCAAACTCTCAAAAGGACCACACAATCTTTCAAACCCTTCATTTTATTTGATTATTTGCACAATGAAAACTCCGTGCCCAGCAAGTAATAAATAATGTTTACAAACTCTTACTGTGTATTTCTGTAGACTATCAAGGCCAGGGAAATCTTCAATATCTCCAGTGCGTATGTTGAAACAGGCCCCATGCCAGGGACATCGTACCCTCCCATTGCACAAAACTCCTGCAATCATTTTAGAGGAATTATTCACTTCTTCTGTCTTATCTAATGTGGTAGTATTGAGCAGTAATACCACAACTCTGACACAAGTTGCACATTCATTTAAGTTAAGCACCCCCACTTTTTGACAATATAACAGTTATATAAATGGTTACTTTAATTTTATAACTCTGTTTTACTAGCAGAACTAGAGTAACATAAGACACTCTGTAAAAGTGTCACAGATATTCATCTAAACTAGAATTAAACATTTGTTCTAAAATCATATCACATGTAGAAATGAGGAATATCAATTCCACTAGAAAAAAAAATATATCAACTACTACAGAATTTTTTCAAGTTTGATGTGCATGTCAATACCACCCACAGTTTTATATAAATTTGACCTGGATTTGACAAATCATAAAGATACCTTGATAATAATAAAATAAATTTCAATATGGCGAATTGACACTTACCTTTGACTAGTGGTGCCTTTACGTGAGTACACCTTGCTCCAATGGCATGATACTCTCCATGCTCTCGTACTAATAGCACCTTACTGCCATCTATATCAACCTCCCGCATCCTGATATAAAAAACACATATTATACTTAATTGCTGCAAAGTGCAAGATATACATGCAGTTCCGTGACCATTGAATACAATGTCATGATTTTAAATCAATAATAAAATATGTAAATATATTTAATCCAAAATGTGAAATTTTATTGAACATTGAAACTTTACATGGGTTCAGAAGGGAACTTCATGGGGTTTACTGATACAACTAACATACTTTTCATGACTCTCTTTCTCTGGAAAAATTCAAATACAAAATTTTGTCTTCAAGATATCAATTACATACTCTCCATCTTTGAAGTCATCAAACTGGCAGACAACCTTCTCTATAGGTACACCTGGGTCATCAGGGGGCAGTGGGTCAAGTGGCGCCACCTTTTGGCCATATCCTGGCTCATCTACACTAGAGCCCTCTATGAAATAGTGAAATAAGATCAATAATGCCTTTTTAAAAATTAGAAGAATTAAAACAATCATGTTTTGGTAAATAAAAGTGCAGTTTTGTAAGATGAATGAAAAAGCAAAAGTTCTGTGTTATTATCAATTTAGTATTAAGCAGTAGTTTCCATAGACTTTGAAAGAAACCATGATAGAATTCATGTGTTAGTAAAAATCAATATAAATTATGGTCCTGAAAATTCCCATCCTGCACCTCTGGATAAAATTAGCCTTTTTGAAAATATTGAGGCCTATTTTCTAAAAAGGCCTATTTTGTCTAAAATGAGGCAAAATTCCTCATAATAAATGAGGTGTTTTTTAAAAGCGTTTTCTTTATATTAAGATATTAATATCTTTATAAAATATGATAATGCAAATCCCTCCTTTTAAAAATGTAAAGCATCAGTTGAAAAAATGTAACCATCTGGCTGATACTAAATAAAATAGACAAATCTTTTCTAAATGTGATATACCCAGTTTTGTAAGTTAGGCCAAGGGCTTTCAAGAGAAGCCCATGATTAGGCCAATATATTTAGTTAAAGCCACACACAATACCTAAGCTTTTCTTGTTATCTTCAGGACTCCTGGGATTAGAGGCCACAGATTTATTGCCATCTTTATTTCTCTGTTTAGAGTCTCCCTGTGCAGATGTTGCTCTAGAAGTTGCACCTAATAAAGATTAGAGTTACTAAGAAGCAGTTCAGAAAGCATAGACAGTGATCTCTCAAGCTTTAAATCAAGTGGGCGCAGTGCTGCACCCACCTGAGATTTTAAAAATAGGTTTGCACCCACCTGAAAATCCATTTGCACGCACTTGAAAATGAGAAAAATCATGAAAAATGGGCATTTTTTGACCAATTTTGATCTGAATTGTGAAAATGAGAATTTTGCACCCACTTGAGAAAAAATCCCGTGGAGATCACTAATATATCTAATATTCTAAACTATTTACAGATTAATCATACAGGTATGTGCAGTCAAACTGTATAAAGCAATGTAGGAAGCATGAGAAAGCACAAAGGATGTTAGAAATACACCATTATGGCTGGAAGGCTTGCTTCAAGACTGTGCCTCCCCCCCCCCCTTATCTACTTTAACAACAGGCTGTTGAAATAAAACTATTTATATTGAGAAAATCAAACTGTAACTCAAGGTACTGAAGGTCTAACAGTTAGGATGATCGTTCAAAATTGAGCAATTAAGAGAGTCCTTATCACAAGCAGTGAAATATTAATTGCCTCACAAATCTAATAATCATTATCTCCAGTTTCAATAAAAGTTGGGATTAAGTGAAGTTGTCTGGAAATCAAATCAATTAATTCCAGAATTGATTTGGCAATAAAAATAAGTGATTAAATAATCAAACCCAATTAATCATTTAAAGATATGTTTGTCTGAATCAGTGTTCATAAGGAATTTCAGATACCATGATGAAAAGCTAGTAGCATGAGGCCGGCAAAGTGTGCTTAGATAATGAGTGTAATTAAAGATCCCCTCGTATACTGTACGCCCGGTATTATTCGCGAGATTTAATTTCGCGAATTTTGCGAAAACACGATTTCGTGGCTATTAAATTTCGTGAATTTCACAAGTTTGAAATTCATTACTATTCCAGGAATTCTAGAGCTACTCGTGTGTAAATTAAGTTAGATGTACAGTAATTGCACTTACCTGATGTCATATTTGGATGAGATTTACAATAACTGGGATCTTTATCATCGGCAAGCTGCATATCAACCTCTATTGCATCGTCATTTTTAATATTAAAGCAAAAGTGCGTGGCTCCCATAATAACTTTACCGGACTTCATACTGTATTTTATCGTATTCGGGGATTCCCCAGTATATGATGTCCAATCAAATTGCAGGCTACGATCACGTGAACAATCGTGCGCACGTGCTCTTTCATTGCCGCGCATGCGCATAGTAAAGTCATGGAGTTGCACAGTACTATTGAAGTACTATAACTCGATCCAAACTAGTAAAGAAAACTCATAAAGCAACAGCGAACATTGGGATACAGTACTAGTATCCATTTCAATGGCAAATGAGGTCAGTTTATAAAATTGGTTATCGAACGTGCCAATAGCAAAACGAAATGCATCAGAGCCCCGGGTAAAAACAAATTCCCGGGGATTTAATTTAATTTCGCAACGATAATTTTTCGCGATTATAGCACCCTCACGAAAAGCGCGAAAGTAAATCGCACGCGAATAATACCGGGCGTACTGTATGTTTAACAATATGACAGTATTGTACAACATATAAATCATTTACCATTTTAAAACAATCAAAATGTTTAAAAAAATACACCACTAGGTCTTCTTAAATTGAGCTACATAATATATAGTGTCTTCCAATTTAGTGTCATTGTGTTGTAAGAAAAGTTGCATCTCAGTGTCATCAGGTAAACAAAATTGCATTTTGTGCAGCTGAACAGTGAACAAAGTTGCACTTTGGTGTCATTTAGTGTCATAAATGAAGTTGCATTTCTGTATCATTTGGTGTCATTCATAAATTAAGTTGCATTTTGGTATCAAATGGTGTCATTCATAAATAAAGTTGCATTTTGGTGTCATTCGGTTTCATCCATAAATAAAGTTGCATTCTGGTGTCATTCGGTGTCAACAGTGAATAAAGTTGCAATTTGGTGTCATTTTGTGTCATCCATAAATAAAGTTGCATTTTGGAGTCTTTTGGTGGCATCCATAAATAAAGTTGCATTTTGGTGTTATTTGGTTTCACCATAATTATTTTGCATTTTGGTGTCATTTGGTGTCAACAGTAAATAAAGTTGCATTTTGGTGTCATTTGGTGTTATCAATAAATAAAGTTGCATTTTGGTGTCATCATATAAAAAGAAGTTTATTTAATAACGCCATCACGTCACATTTAGGTATAGTTTCAAAGAGCTGGGATATCTTTCAACAGACATTTCTGTCGACATTTTAAGTGCATGTATATGGTTGACTTAATTGAACGCAATTATTCACTGATCTTTCAAGTTTCGAAATTTTTGTTACTTGCACATCTTTTGTGGTAAATAGCAAAACTTGCAAATGGTCAACAAATTTTAGACTTGGTTCAAACCCTGCCAGCTTTTATAATTTAATACTCAACTTCAGTTTATTCAACTTACTAAAACTAGAAGAACTGAGAAAGCTTGGAATGCTGATGCAAAAAAGATAGAATTACCTTCTGATTTGGAACCCGAACAGCCCATGTTTTCTGCATTAAATATCTGATGAGTCTTAATATTACAGTACTGTAGTTGTTAATATCGCATTCTCAATTATTAATGATTGCAGATCAGCCAGTTCTCTTCTTTCAAGGCAATGAAACTGTATGCATCTACAGCTCTCTACCTTTTCATGTATAATGGTCCTACGTGTAGTTACCTGCAATAAAAAAGACATTGGTTATTTTTTTGATATTTAGGTTATACCCTGTTGGTGATGAAGCTTCAATTATTGCCAAAGGTTCTCAGATGACAGAAGTATACAATACATGTACAAAGCATCTACCAGTAATAAGTAAGTAATCTTAAATCTAATCTTAAATCTAAATAATCTATACCATGTATAAAGCTAGATCTACTGATAGAAGGGTTCAGCATTTATGTATGTTAGACCCAGCGCACTCTCAGCGTCTAGATCTATTGTAGATCAGAGTGAGGGAGAAGATCATAGTTAGCATCCCCTTTTCTATTACAGTTATTCACTGATTGAACAGTCCATGGGGTTCAAATGGATAGTATAAATATCTAGATTTACTGGGTTTACTGAACATAGCATAGGCGTAGCCAGGGGGGGGGGGTGATGGGTCTAGAAAGTTGTGTAAAGTAAGTCTAGGTTATGTTGACTGTTGCACAGTCAGCACCATCTATCTACATGTAATATCTAATATAATACTAACAAATAAGAAATCAAAAGATCATTGCAATGTGCAATAATATATGGAAAAATATATTCCTATTGTACATAAATGACATTTGTATATCTTGGATTGCTTCTAGTTTGGCTAATAAAGTATGTGGCCTCTTATATTTTGATGCTTCTCTGCCATAGTATTTTCAAATAGATTAACATGGCTGAAATTCTTTAAATAACAAGAGGGCATAGGCTTGCACAACAAACTAAATAATCTGAAATATACAAATCTCATTAATGTACAATATGAATATACTTTTCCATAATGGTCTCCTGATTTCTTATTTTTGGGGTTCTACTGACGAAATGGGCTGTAATAGAATGACATTGAATAATTGATAGTGCCTGAGACTAACATAAAGTGGGAGACATTAATAAACCTCAACCATCAAAAGTTGTCACAATGAGCTAAATTCTAAGTTTCATGTCTCAAACTCTCCTAAGCGGTAGAAAAATAATTCCCGTTCACTTTAGGTAGCACAATAAATGAATCCAAAGCTTCATACTGTACCCGCAAATGATGGATGAATTCTTTCCAAATGGAACAAATGTTTTCATGGATCGCCATGTTTGTGATCCAAGGTGGATTGACTCCCATAATGCAACATCATTTCGAAAGCTGGCACGTGTCATGTTGCATTCTGGGAGCCAATCCTCCTTGCGGCATAATCGGGCTCCAAAATCACCTCAACATTTGAAGAGTCGGCATTAGGCCTAACATGTGAATATCACTTCAAATTTTTAAGTTCCTATTTGTCATTATGGACACAAATTCCACTATATTTTTACGTTCCAGGATGGAGAAAACCCCAGGGGAGAAAATAGAGCACTTAATTCACTGAGGTAAGAATTTATGACATATTTGACAGAATGTCTTTTTCATAGTGTTGGTCGGTGATTATTTATGTTCATCACTGTAAATACATTTACAGATAGTGCTCACTGTGGACTGTGGAGGGTTACTCGAGTCTCTAGCTTACAGCTAGACGTAACTTCATTGATTCCGTATGTACTGTGCTACACGCACCTACACGCACCTAGAACTCATTTTTAATAAATTTTATAAATATTTTTAAGAATATTAATAATATTTAGGATGAAGCGTTGCTTGTCTGGATTTAGATATTTCAAAATTTCATTTCGGAGTTTGAAACATGTTGAAATTTTCTCGCTGTAGCTAAAAATGGCTTCCGGTTCTGGACGTGAATAAAATTTGAAATTATTCTCGCTTAAAGAAATCAAATATAACAATAGATTCAGACGGGGATGTGAGCTGTTGTTTTTCAAATCTATACATAAAGGTATATTTCATATTATTATGCCATATTTACTGTGCGTGTGACACAATGATTTACAATATTTATAATACTAAGGCAGCTCAATCTTCCTCCTCAAAGCCGGAATATAGAGAAGGCTTTGGACCGAAGTAAGTGGAGGGGACACCATGTGGATATCAGATATATATATTCCATCAAATCACAACGCCTATGTTCAGGTACACAGAAAAAAGAATATAACCTAGAAGAGGTTGATTTAGTCAGAGGCTTATAAAAATATTTTCCGTCGTCAAAACATTGGTAAACCCGGAAGTACATACACTTACACCATAGAATGCAAATTTCGAAAGGAAAAACACAATCTCGCTACATGCTTTTCATTGTAAACATACCTTATATATTTAGCTATAGTAATGACAAAGCTCTATGGTAACAATATACTTACACATACTGTTAAACAGTAAAAAAGTTCTGTATAAAATATTTTTCAGAGTCCCGTCGCCATTTTGTTTTCGGAGCGCCCCCTGGCGAATGAAATATGGAGGATGAAAATTCTTTGGAAAAGTCCATTAAAAAGCTTATAGCGACACTTAAAGATAGAAAGACGAGCAATATATACAATGCACTTGTCAAGCTTCGTACAAAGTATCTCAAGGCGAAAAATGGAATCACTATTTTCCGGGAAAATGAAGGAATCAAAGTTCTACTGCATGTCATTAGAAAAAATATGGAAACCCAGAAAATGATTGACATTTCACTGAGCATACTTGGGAATTGTTGCATGGAGGTGCATTCAAGAGAACAGGTAAATATTTCCTCATCTTGTTGTCTTTTCATATTTTCATGTAGAAACAGTAATGGAAATCCAACCCCCATACTCTTTGTTACCAAAGAAAAACTTTTTTCTTCGCCCTATGCACGGACTTCGAAGAACAGCATACAACCGTCGAATTTATATGACTAGGACTTGGGTCAACATTTCTTTCGAAACTTACTGCCATATAATTTTACCAGGATTGGAAACAAGCAGCCAGCGCTTTGGCAGAGGGTCACACGATCACCTCTTCATCATGCATCATGGTTAACTCTTGGAAAACGTGTGCTTGTGATTGATCATGTGATCATACATGTATAATGCTATTCGATGGTCATTGTAAAGACTGATGTACATAATTATGAAAACGTCATCCATTGCCAAAACTCTGACTGGTAATGGACCTTACCAGTCGACAAGAAATAGTCAAATTAGACAAGAGTGATAAGAAACTATAAGACTCTAGTTATATAGCTATGCAAGTTCAAGTCACCAAGATGAGCTAATTAAAGCAAGGATTGGGAAATAAAACAGGTAACTTTTTTTTATGAATTCTTGTTTCCAATCCTGGTAAAATTATATGGCAGTAAGTTTCGAAAGAAATATTGACTCAAGTTCGTGGCCCTATGAGTGATTAGGATAAAGAGTCGAAGGAATACTTAAGGGTCATCTTCTATTTCAGATTTATCAATCAAGACCCTACAGGACAGGTGCACCTAGGCAAATCCATGAAATGTAGTTTACTAAAATCAGGGTTCACTGTTTCTTTCTTACCCCTGTGTGAAACTACATTAGGATTGAATCATAGACAAAATTAAAGAAGAATCTTCAGCTGGATTTGTAATTCTTAATAGCTCCTTACCTAATGCTATATGCAAAGTTGAGAGTTGATGACATCAGTTCCTGAGTGAAATCTTAAAAGATGGCTACTGGAATATGAGCACTACATTTTTATGTGATCAATATTGACTACAGTGCAAAACAATCTCCATGTTTTACTAATCATTGAAAGTATATATGGTAGCTACCATATCAGGATAGAAATAATCTGGCCAGGAAAGCAGAGCTGTCAAGTGTCCCGCGAATGGCGGGATTATCCCGCGAATTCGATCAAAATTTAGGCTAATTCGCGTGTCCCGCAATGTCCCGCGAAGTCCCGCAAATGTGGCTTTCGACCTCCGCGAATTTCCGAAATTGTTGCAATCCCCTATATGGTAATTATCTTATCTTATATAAGAAGCTAAGTTTTTGCACTTTTGAGGAGTAAAGTTTACCTAATTTTAAGTACCTAGCATGCTGTTGTTTGGTATCAAAATAAAGAGGAAGGGTTCAACTTTCATTTTAATTACGACAATAGGGATTTAGGTCACAAATAGTTCCAATGTTGGCCTTTTTACTATCCGTGTGGCCTTCATCTCAGAACTGAGCTAGAAAGGGTTTGTAGAAAAAACCTGGTACCGGGTAGTAAATCCTCCATGCTGGGTTCAAACTTGGTACCCGGTACCCGGTCAAAAAACGGGTACCCAAAAAATGAAAAATACGAATATATGAGTATAACATAATTAGATTATCAGAAAACGTGTAAGATTTGTTTTGAATTTACAAAAATGTATGTAACATCCTTCAAAATTGAGCTAGAAGCTTCAAATAAAAAGCATATTTTAAGGCTCTTTTCCTCCTCTATCGTCATGACCATATTTTCATTGGTTATGTTCACGTACCAACATACGAACTCATTGAAAATAGAGTAAAATTGATTTGTCTTGTTATTCAAATCGTCTTACAATGTCATTGGCGTAGCCAGGAGAGGGTGTGATGGTGCGATCGCACCCCCTCCCCCTTCATTACCAATGGAAATATGACCATGATGATAGAGGAAGAAAAGAGGCTTAAAATGCTTTTTATTTGAAGCTTCTAGCTCAATTTTGAAGGAAGTTACATTTTTGTAAATTCAAAACAAATCTTACACGTTTTCTAATGATCTAATTATGTTGTATATTCGTATATTTCGTTTTTTGGGGTACCCGGTTTTTCGACCGGGTACCAAGTTTGTCTACGTAAATTTTATTTATATTATTAATTGCATTACATTTACATGTACATATTTATATTTACATTTACATGTACAAAAATAAGAATGAAGGAATAAAAAAAAAAAAAAAGTTTGAACCCAGCATGGAGGATTTACTACCCGGTACCCGGTTTTTTCTACAAACCCTATCTAGAAAACCTCATTCCCTATAATTTGATGTAGATTAATCGAACCCCTATATCATGGGCTTTCAATTGAAAGCCCATGCCTACAGTATGGTAGTAGTTGGTCACGACGCCAGAAGCAGAGAAGTGCAAAGTATTGTTCCAAATTTTTGAATTTCGTGGTAGATTACGATACTCACACCTCAAGCATGGTTTTTGTTTTTGATAAATTACAATAAAGTTTAATAATATTTCTATGCGTATTTTGTGAAATTATGTTGACGTTTATTTAAGTTACAATGTAACGGTGCATTATATTTGATTAATCAGTATCTGAAAGTTTGATTCAAGTACTTTTACACGCTTTTACATTAGTCCAAATCACGCAAATCCCTTGAATGTCCCGGGACATCCTGCAAATTTAGGTGGATGTCCCGCGAAATCCCGCAAATTTAGGGCACTTTTTCTAGAAAATCTGTCCCTCTATGAAGTTTTTGCTGGTAAACCTGTTAACTGTCCCGCAATTAGGGTGTTTGTCCCTCGAATGGTCCCGCGAAATCCCACGAATTTGATAAAAAAAGGCCTATAAGCGCAATCACGCAAATCCCTTAAATGTCCCGCGAAATCCCACGAATTTAGTAGATGTCCCGCAAAATCCCGCGAATTTTGGGCACTGGGTCTAAAAAATCTGTCCCGCGAGAAAATCTTTGGGGGTTGACAGTACTGGGAAAGTCCCTTTAAAACTTTCATTTTATTTTTTAATGTGACCTTATTTCTTTGTATTCCAGGTTATAGGGGAAGGTGGATTGCACATATTAGGTAGGTCACTGGCTTAAGTAGCTATATATAGGCCAGACAAACTGAAATTGCATTATAACATCACTTACTCAATTGACACATTGCACTTTGCTCTGTCAAAGAAACATAAATGATAAAGATGGTCAAGAATTTCTATTTTTGTATAAAGTACATGTATATTTAAAACATCCATCTCAGTCCGTCCCATTTTGTATCCCATCTTGTATTTGGTGAAACTTACTGTGTATTCATACCCCACTCTAAAAAATATATACTTGTGATTGTATTATTTTCACATTTTCATGTAATTTAACTACTAGGCCAGGTAATTGTTTTTGTACCTTTAGGGATTAAATTTCTGTAATTATATTACTTGGTCAGTATTAAATGTTCAACCTAGTAATTCCAGTAATTTACATTTTACTAAAGTAAAAAATAAATAACTTGTATTGCAATTACAATTAAATACATTATTTCTGTACTAAGTAATTTTTCATTATTGGTGATTTTGAATATTTAGTAATTATAATACTGGTAAGTAATTATATTTCTTAAGTATTAAAATAACCAATCAATACTTTTTTAGAAATACAGTACTTGTTTTGTTTAACTTGGCTTGGCTTGGACTATTGTTCTCAAGAATCCACATATGTCCATGAATACATGTATATACTTACAGCACTAAGAACAGATTGTAACTTTACATATATAGGGAGCAGACTTAATATATAACTGAATATCACAAAATTGAGTTTTTCTCATTAGACTGATTTCAAATAGAGATAGCACTAATTTATTGTATGTTAATCAGCTTCATATACAATTGACATAGTTCTTTCCAAATGTATAATTTTATGATTTTGTTACAGTTTTTTTGGAATGAAGAATCGATTTTTGATTTAAAGAGAGTTAAGTTAAAAAAACATAATTTCAAACTACATTTAGTAATTCAATAACTACTATAAGTAATTTGAAATACTTAGTATATAATTGAATTACAAGAAGGGGATTTGTGAACTGTAAAATATACTGAGAAAAAGACATTTTATAAGTGAATAACATGTATGAATAATTAATTTACTTTGGTGGAACTATGATTACTGAAATGGAGCAATTTACAAAAGCAAGAAATATTTGGCAATACAATTACATTTGAATCCACTTAAACAAGTAATAACGTGAATAACTTACAGAAGTACTAAGTAATAATATTTAGAGTGGTAGTAATTTATATCTAGAAGAAATTACTTAGTAATATAATTAAATACAAATAAAATGAAGTACAGATATTAGTAATTTATTAACATTGATAGTATAATAATTACTGAATTTAGTGATTCACATCAAAAAACAATTACCTAGTAATTACTAGCATAGTAATATTGTTACATGTTAAGTAATTCTGTAAAATACTTAGTAATAAATTGAATTACTTAAACTAGTTGTCAAGTAATTTTTATTTAGAGTGCCTTTGTCTTTGCAATGAAACTAAACAGTCTTTACTTTGACACATGTGATATCTGATTTTGTGGTGTGTGATATATAAAAAAACATATTTATCCTTTAAATTTAAATTGATAATTGGTTGAATATGCATTATGTTTATTGTCAAGGTTGTTAAAGAACTTTTATTTATACATGTACTTTTAGATGCTATTTAGTGCTTCAGTATAAGTCATACATTGTATTTCCAACAACGTCTTTGATGTGAATAGTATACATGTACACTATATGTTACAGTGAGTCTGTGTGAAGAGGCTGAGATTGAGAGTATACAGAACAGAGCATGTCGTACAATAGCAAACCTTTGTCTTGAAGACACATTCATCACTGATGTACACAGAACAGATATTGTAGAATTTATCATTGAATTTCTACGCCAGACTAAGGACAATGATTGTAAAATGACTTATCTGAGAACCTTGAGGTATGTAAATTTTAATTTGAAAATCTATTTTCAAATTGATGTGGACAGTGTTCATCTCAACTAGATTGAAGTTCCTGACTTCATTAGTTATGCACATATTCTAAGGGCGATAGAAATCATTTTTAAATAAAGATGAAATGGTAATCGATCTGTGTTTACTGGATTCTGTTGGTGCTGTCATCTTTATATCAGCCCAGAACCTATGGTTATGCAGAATGTGTAATTGGAATAGAGTTTGATACTTAATGGATTTGTGTTGTGAATCATTCATTGTGATTGTGTCTCTGATAACATAATCAGTCTATATTTCATTTCTGTTAAAATTTCAGTTTTACTTTATGTCTTTTTTTGCTTTACTAAATGCAGTTATTTTTGGTTTGTAATAATTAATATCATATATGTTGTGACAGAATTGTGGGATACTGCTATCTTTCTGAAAATAATTAGGGTCAGTGGCATGTGTCCCCCGAAAATTAGAATTAAAATAACAAGTATTTCATTTTGCTTGTAGACATATTATGAAACTACGAAATAACAAAACAATTCCCGGTGAACACGCCCAATTGGTCAGTATTAAGCCTCCTGTTCAAAGGTTGCAGAACCCAAAACTCAAAATCTTGATCCACCCCTGGTGGTATCACATACATGTAGCCTAAATAAACTAGAAATAATTAATTGACTAAACAAATTAAATTATTTTCAGGTTGTTATGCAACACAGAGCAACATTGTAAGAATGTACTCAAGTTCTCTGGAATGGTTGCCATAGCGATGTGTTTGAAGACAGAAGATCCAGGGGTGAAGAGGGCAAGTCTACGTGGCATAGTGGAGATACTTCAACACAGGTTTGTGGAAATGGTTCTTCAAAAAAGTGTACACATTATCTTTTTTATATAGTGGGTGGCCCAAAATGAGGTTTACAGTTATTCAACAATCTCTTTCTGTCAACTGTAACCTACTTTTTGGCCACCCTGTACATCATTATTTCTGATTGAAGAACAAGTGTTTTGTAGGTTCAAGATTTTCAGTAGACCTTTCCAATAAATCTTGTCACCTCTATGCTATGTACACCAAAAACCCTAAAGAAGAGATTATTTGTTTACACTTTTTAATTTCAGAAGTACAAGAGATGCTGTGTCTCAGCTGGTTGAGGCTGATATCTGTGGGCCATTATTTCAACTCCTAGACTCTGATGACACCTATATTAAGAAACTAACACTTCAAACGATCTTGACCCTCGTCAACTTTTCTGACATCAGACCCTCCCTCGGCAATGCTGGGGTGGTAGAGTTATTCATTACTAAGATTAAGGATTCACAAAGCACCAACGACTCAAAACTGATCATTCCATATTTGAACAGTTTATGCTTATTTTGCCACGAATCTGTAAATCGAGCCAAAGTTAGGAATTTAAATGGACTTGAGTTGTTGCTAGGATACCTCCAAGATGATGGTCTCTATAGTAACACAGCACAACGATTGAAGATCTTGAATGCATTGATCTGCTTCATATATGATGAACAGGGAATGAACATTCTACTTGAGAAAGATTTAGTGAAAATATTGGTTGTGATTTTGAAGAAAGAGAATCAACCAAATGATGAACCATTGGACTTAAACAAAGAGGACAAACCCTTGAAAGAGGAGAGAGAAGAGAATATGAGAAAAGATAAAAAATGTGAGGAGGAAGACACCAAAGAACCTCAAACTGATAATAATGACAGTAATGAAATCGATAAGACTTTGGTTATATCTGACAGTGAAGTTGAAACTCTACTGATTGATAGTAAACATAGGGAAACAGCACCAGTGGACATTTCTGTTTCTAGTTACATAGGCATCTCATCACAAGATAGCATAACTGAGAGCACATCAACAAGCTCATTTAAGAATTCTAGTACTCTTTGTACAGCAGAGATATCATCTATCATGTCCCAGTCCACAACAAAATGTCCTAATTCAAATTCTGACATTTCTCCTATTGCAACACCCGCAAATGAAATTCCAATAAATTCTTCCCCAGTTGCGGGTTCTTCATGGCAGATCCCTGGCCCTTCCTCACCTCCAATTTCATCCTCTCAGTACAGTCCCAGAAGCACTGTGTCATACTTCTCACCTGAGTGGTCTCCTGAACACAGCATGGCGTATATGTACCCCTATTCTCCTACAATGATGTCACCTACCAGGGGAGGGAGCCCAGTTAACTTTGGAACATTCAGTCCTGGTGCTTCACCCCAGTGGTCACTTTCAGATAACAATGGCCAAGTTTCTCCCCAGTGGTCACCAGTCCACAGCATAGATAATGCAATCTACTCTTCAGAAGAGGAGGTAGAAAATGAAGAAAAGCAGACAGCAAATGAAGTTCAACTTCCTGCCACTTTAGATGAAGAACTACAAGACTCAGATAAAGAATCCAAAGAGTCGAGTGACCAGTCTGATAAAGCAAAGGATAAAAGACTCTCATTCAGTGAAGAGAAGGAAGAAGTTGATTGTATCGATCTAGAAAATGAAAAACAAATAAACCATGTGGAACATAAAATCTTGATTCTACTCTCAGCAATATCACATATGGAAGACCCCACCAAATATTTGTGCAATAAAGACTGCCTATCAGCTCTCTTGGGGAGTGTCAAGGCATCCTCTTCCAAAGACTCTAGAGCCTTTAGAGTTCTTACAAGGATATTCAGGAACCCCCTTTGCCTTGAGAAACTCATTCTTCTTAAAGCCCCTCTAATGACTCATCAACATCTGTGCACTGATATTGATGACATCATAAAAAGAACAGAAGGTGGTTCCAAACATGAGAAATCATCCTACAATGTGAATGTGGTTGATTTTGGTGAGAGACTTCTTGAGAGTCTTCGTATGGTTGCCACAGGAGGATACGGGAAGGGTGTGATGTCACATGCAATTTTGACTGGTTCATTTGAACAACAGCGTGAAGCAGCCATCTCCTTGGTATTTTTGTGTGCAAGGTACAGTAGACTAAGATTTATTTCTATAGTAAAAAGTGTGCACTGTCTGTCAGCCTATATGTACATGTATATGGGTCTCTCCTATACCATTATTATTAAACACTAAAGGATTAAGCAATAAAGATTGGTGGTCATGAGTTAAGCTTGAGGTTATCTTAAAAGTCAGTTTAAAAACTTCTTTTATCAGTATATGTATTTTTGCAACGAATGATAATAATGATATTATTCGAATATAATTATAACATATTAGTAATCAGGTGTGCCGGAAGTATTTGCCAAGAGGGGGCGACTTTTGGGTATGGATGGGTCGTGCGTGAAGTGAGTCGCATGCGATGCATGCGGCGCAATCGAGGGGGATCTTGGGGGGGGGCATGCCCCCAGAAAATTTTCAAATTTAGACATACACCTCTCCGGTGTATTCTGAACATATATCAGCACAACATTTCCAATAATAAAAACAAGAAAACATGTATTTTTAGAAAACTTAATTTGACTTAGACTAAAAACTTTGACTTTTACTAAAATATACATTTTGCACTTATTCTTCAAAGTATTTACATATTGTATGGGTTCCTGAGAAACTATACACGATATGGAATTAAATATAATGAGAAATGAGATCTTAGGCTAGATACTGTCATAATATATTTTCTGTCATTATTACACTTTGACTAAAAAAAGGGGGTCGCCCCAACGCCCTCCCCCTTCCGACGCCAGTGGTAATGCATGCTTTATAAAAGTATTCATAACAGTCTGCCATACCTGCACTACATATTTGTATTTAGTTTTTTAATTTAATGGTTTTTGTTTGCTTCAGGAGTGCTGGTTTACAGAAGCAGCTTCTTCTAGACATGAAGGTCATCACATTGTTGTTGGAGTCTCTCGGGTCTGACAATAGCAGCTTCAATTGTGACATCACAATAGCTCTACATTATCTGGCCAAAGAACTCAACTTAGAGCATGTATTGGGTTCAAATCAGAAAAACAAATACCTTACATCTGAGTGTAATCCCCCTGGGAAAAAACGAAAACTTTTGAGTGATGCTGAAATTAATGAATGTGTTTATGAGACGACGCGAAATCACCATGATCTCAAGTTTTCTTTAGATGGTGGAATTGTTACAGCACAGCGTGCCAACATGGTTGATCAGTCAGATGTGTTCACTGCCATGTTAAGTGGTCATTATGCCGAATCTAGTCAAACTGAAATTGATCTCCCTAAAGTTGGAATGGATGCATTCCGAGTATTAGTCCATGCTATCCATGGCTGTAGCATGCAGTGCCATATTAAAAACATCCCAACCGAAGTGAAGCTTCGGTGTTTGTTAGAAGCATTTCGATTGGCTGATCAGTACAACATTCCCATAATGCATCTGGAATTAGCAGACGTTATCTTCAAGGGCCATATAAATGTATCAAACACAGACCTGCTCTACCAAACAGCTAAGCTACACCACTGTGAGCAATTGGCCCACAATGTATTAAGCTATGCCCTATTAGCAGACGTTTCTCCACAGGAAAGGACTTCTCTAATGGCATCCCTATATGATAATTCGGACAATACTATGTTAGTTGAGGACTTTACAAAGATTTTTACAAAGGCAATATCTCATAAATAGCAATGTTATCTTCATATCATGTTTCAGTCAAATGTTACCAATCTACACAGGCCAATTTTTATGTTTTGGGATCAAAGTATCCGAACCATACAGGGCAGTTTTGCCTTCATTTGCAACATTATTTGAGAAATATAGCAAAAAAACATTTTATTAAATAACTACTTTAAACCCTGTCTTACAAAAAACAATGTCACCACCAGTATTATCTTGGATTACAGATGTTGACTGGACCTAGAAATAACCAAGGCAAACTAATAGAAAATTATCTGAATAAATATGATGGTCTTCAAAAGTAAACAAGTAAAGCTTGAATACAACTATGCTAACTATATTAGTTACCCATGGGTATTTAACTAATATAGAAAGGGGTTTTAACTTGTGGAGTCAGTTAGCAGTTCAATTGTAAATTCTATATATAAAGAACCATTTTTGACCAGATTATCATTAATGCATATGGTTGCGTAGGCCCGTAGACAGGTCGCTTGAACCCCCCCCCCCCTCAAAATTCTTTCAAATCATGTAGTTTTTCACTATTCTGAGCATTTCAAGTCATTTTGGCCATTTTAGGGCTACATTTGTCGAAATCAAGCCCCTTGGATTTTTCAACAAGTAAACCCCCTTGGCAAATCTTGGCTACGGGCCTGTTGCTCGCTAGATCTGATCTAACCTTTAAAGTAAATGCTTGATTTCGAATTTGTACGTTGATTCATTGGCATTTTTTTATTTTATCTCCAGGAAACCATGTAGTCATTATTCGCTATGTCTGTATGTCACTACATAGTACAAAAACATGCTCAATTAAAAAATCTAAACATGAAATTTTCATTTTGTTTTAACATTTTGCTGCAACAAATGAAACGTCAAAAATTTATTAATAACAGATAATACAGTGAATTATCGTATTTGCCGCTGAAATGAAGTCATTATTATTATCACAACATGTCAAGAATGAGTACAAACTCAAAATTCGCCGTGGACTAGGATGGATAATCATAATTATGGCCCGCATTATGGCTACACCTACTCAAGTCAAGTAAAATATAAGTTTTTTAATCAGTACTAAAACCATGAGAACATATGCCTGGCAGGTGTGCAGGTAGTAATAACTTAATAATTCGTCGAAAATATTAAACTCCATAGATAAAATCACACAATGCATTATTTATTTGAATACATCCAGGGTAGAACTCTAATTGTATATAAAAGCCCATGATTGTCCACGTCGAATCATTCTCATCATCAAAGAAAGCGCAAACAGCAACCATGAAGACAACTCTGACTTTGACATGCGCAGTTTTGCTTCTCAGCATATGTCAGGGAGCCATTCGTCGCGAAGCTGGTGAGTTTTTTAAAATATAGTTAGAATAAGATTAGCTTGGTTACAATACAACTCTTAAAATAGTATAAATGTTAAAACTTGTGTCATTTTGAATCTAGTAGCAAAGGCAAATGATCTGGGTAAGATGAATTGAGAATAGGCTGATTAGGTTCACTACAAAATAAGTTTAAATATAAAATGATGTTAATGATGTGAAGTGAGATATTGGAAGACTAGCACTGCATCATAGGGTGCGTCATATAATAAAATAAAAATTATGATAACTGAATCAACTCATTTCTAATTAACCAGAGATAACAATTAATTTGATAAGAATTATTCCAGGTACATCAAATTTAACAGTTAAGAGAATATTTTTTGATTTGATATTTTTAGATTTTTGTCCTTTTTTCTTCTTAGTACGCAATGAACCTTCAAAGAGGCACTATGCGTAGTAAATAAGAAAAGGGGACACGTAGAAAACAGCAAATTTGAAGTTTAGACATCGTTTATGGTGCGTGCACACTTTTTACCAACTTTTCTTTGATTGAAAAGTTGGCAAATATGGTTGAACATGTTGAACCGTTAATCAAAAAAGAATGAATCATGTGATACAAATAACTACGCCATCTTTCGTTGATTTTTCACCTGCTCACGGTTTAGAAAATGTTACACTACACATGTACTCGTATACCTCAAATACAGAAATTGTTAACATATGTAGTACTAAAATATCATGTATAAAATATTTGGATTGCTGAATCATTAAAATATTCTAGCTCCGATCAATGAGTGCAATCTGTGATCACATATCCTTCATCCTAGGTTCTTGTGAGAAGATGATGATGGATGCTGCAGAAGGTGTTGCAAAAGAGGAAGGCAAGACTATCTGTCAATACAACAAAGTGAGTCGTTTTATGCTTTTATGATAAATTGAATGACAACTTGTTGTAACGATGGAATCGATTCCGTCGCAGTGGATAAAATCATTATATGTCACCCTGTACATATTTCTTAGGACGTAGATCCATATCCTCCGAAGTCCGAATACAGGGGTATAGAACTATTTTCTCCTTCTTTTCCCTGGGGAATAGAAAGAAGATACTCTTGATCTTGGAGCCCTGCGATCGGACGATGAAGATCAAGGATCAGAAAAGCAAAACAGATTCAACATCATCAAAAAGCTAAAAGCAGATCTCACTTCAAAAAACTCAAGACTCCAATTGATATAAAAAAGCTCAAAACAAATTAAACATAGGCCATATTTTTTACATTAGATCTATATTTACAGATCCTCTTTTAACACTCCTCCCCAACTAGCTAACTTCAAAGTAGCGTCAAAGTAGCGTCAAACAGCATGGACGTTTTTCCGGTCTATGGATTTCGGTTCCTCGATTTATACCCACAAATAGGTCAAGTTACGAGTTGATTTGGCTCGAAACTGTAGCAAAGATTTGTAATCTGGCTCGAAACTGTAGCAAAGATTTGTAATCTGGCTCGATACTGTAGCAAAGATTTGTAATCTGGCTCGATACTGTAGCAAAGATTTGTAATCTGGCTCGAAACTGTAGCAAAGATTTGTAATCTGGCTCGATACTGTAGCAAAGATTTGTAATCTGGCTCGATACTGTAGCAAAGATTTGTAATCTGGCTCGATACTGTAGCAAAGATTCCGGTTTTAGAATATACTGGCGGTTAGGAATAAAAATCTAGAAACGGAAAGCCATCCATATTATTACTTTGACGATACGCTGTCATGTTGTAGGATGTATTGAATGCATATCGCCCAGTACTATCAACTTGTCAGGATCCATCAACACCACTGACACAAGAATGGCTTATGTCAGGTATCTTGGATATTGAACTCGCTGAAAAGCAAGAAGCTAACTGCGACGTTGACACTACAGTGTTATACCCTTTCCTCACTACAGGTAAAATATGATCGACTATCAACAGAGCACAACACAGTTTCATATTGGCATTGTTGACCAATCACAATTGATATAAGAGAGACAATGGGGTATTTTATGGTTATCTAGCATTGCAGCTATATATATTTTGTGGTGAACTTTGTCAACTTCTGTTCACATATATATTTTTGTTTTTATAAACTTTGATATTAATTATTTTCTAATGCTTTTCTGTTACAGAGAATAAAGCGGAAATAGTTGAAGCCGTTCAGCATCTAACAGGTAGGCTAATCAGTGTTACGAAACATACTCGTATGAAACAAGCGATCGAAACCAGCAATCCGGTATATTATTTTTCATGATAGTAAACCAAAAAGGGCAAGATTGCTTAACATCAATGAATTGCAGTCAAGAACCTATAAAATACAAATATAAAACGTCACTCGGACTTTTATCTGGGAAGAATTAATTTTGATTTCATTTTACACAAATGTTTGTAAAAGAATGTTATTTTTAAGGTTCATTATAATCATGATAATTACGACGAGGTTGGAACGAAGCTGATCTTGATTTGAAATAGTAAACAACAGTTTTGCCTGTGACTTTTCTATTATACCCCAATACATCATTTTTGTAAAGGGAAAATAGAATGGCGGTGGGGGCTTTTAGAGAATTAATGTAAGACTACTTAAATCCTAGCAGCATTCTTCAACAACATCCAGTTCAAATATACGTGTACATTGCTTACATATTTTGTTTCAGATATCCCTAGTGCTATGTTAACATGCCTTCACGATCCCATGATACAATCAGAGAAAAATATAATTACAGTGCTTCGGGAAAAGAAGGGCAGTGCTTGCATGGCCGGACTTGCTGCATGGAGTAGTAAGTCTTTTCAAATTGAAAATGGAATGTTAAGTTCGCATGCATTAATGTCTGAACAATCGCACACTACATTGTGGTTAGCTACGCGACAAACTACAGCTAGAATATACAGATAGAGAGCTGGAGCACATTTATGAATCTTCAAATATTCAGATATTGTGCTGACATGATTCATATTTTGAAAAAAAGGCAATTGTGTAACAATGAAGTTACAAAACTACAAATAACAATAATCTTTTAATGTATATAAAACAGCGAACAAAAAGTTCTAAAAATCAAGCCCTGTGTCCTGTTTAAGAACCCAATTTCTTACTATATGTACTTGGTATCCATCGTGATATAAATATATATTTTTCTGAGATAATAAAGGATTTCAGCAAGGGCGTATTGACTTAAGATACTTAACATGGGGATATCATATTATCCCGGAGATAGATACAAATGCTCATTAATTAACGGAGGGCCTTTTCATATTTTTGTTTGGTACTTTAGTTTTATATAATTTTTTTTTATATTTAAAATTCTCTTTTATTTCTGATAATTCAAAAAGTTTACATCGATTTAAAAATTTGTTTACATAAGTTACCTGTTGCATTACATAATAATATTTCTCTTGGAGAGCTCTATTTAAAAAATATAGTATAGTAGTTTTATATAATGCAAATATGACATAAATGATACTTTAAACTGTTTAGGTATGCCATACAATGTGGTAAAATGTACAAAAACAGCCGGAGCTACAGTGAGCTGTGACGATGAGAGACGCCTGTACCAATTCGGTGCCCTAAATATCCACTTATACACACAATTGATAGCCGACTTCCCAGAAATGTGCAAAATGTAAACCAATCAGAAGATTGTCTGAACAACGTTGAGGTTAGGCAGATGTCAATCGGTTTAATATACATTACATGAGATTCATTTGAAAGAATAAATCCTTCTGTGATTCTTTACTAAAAACTGTTTTTGTCATTAAAGGCCCACTATACTTAATTTAAAGGAAAAAAAGAAAAAAATCATCATTGAAACATATTACTCACACACTCGCTCAAATATGAAACATAGTTTGATTTGCTTTAATATTGAACCAATAAAAAATAACTCACATAGAAATAAGCATTTGAAGTTCAGAGATCATAAGACATGCATGCCCATGCTAAACAAAGTGCGTGTTTTTAATTACTTTTGATTTAAAAGATGGCGACACTTCTAGAAAAACTTCGCCATCTTTTAACGACATTGATACAAACTTGATATATAAAGCTTGACAGATCGAAAATATTTTTTGATTAATGATTGTAAGCTTTGATGTGGTCCGTTTGAGTTGGTGTCAAATGAAAGATAGGGTTCTTAGAAACATTGAAAATACGCCTTTAATGATCCATGGGATCTGTTATTTAATAGCCAAGTGCTGATGAAGTTTAGCTAATTTTTGAAGTAGGCCTTCAAATCAGGGTTTACGAAAAACACCGACCGCTGACCACCGACCACCGACCAGTAACTCTCCACAGTTGGGTCGGTGGTCGGCTGACTGTCTTTTACTAGGTCGTGATTTAAAAACGTATAATTAATCATTTCAAATCACGATGAAAACGTTAAATCGTCGTGGTGTGTAATGTCATATTTTTAAGTGATGTTTCAGTTGTTAGAAGACCAATTTCATCCTGGTTAGTCACTTTGGAAAAAACGCACGTAACATTGCATTAAGTTCATTCATATGAAACGCAATTATAACAAAAACATACAAACATCGTCGATGTTGACGTCGTAACGTTATGTTTGATTTCTCAGTTGTTAAACGTCAACTGGTAAAAACTACATTTGATATGACAAAAAAAGCTTTCTAATGGTGTACTGAAATGGTAAGTCACTTTTAATCCCGATAAGAGAACGCATGTAACATTATATCGTATTCAGTATTCAGTAGGCTATGACGATAACAAATCATTTTTGTTTCGAAATTGTTAAATTTTATTAAAAAGAAACGATAGGTTGGTTAATGATAGGTTAGGACCTGAGGCATGACAATTAATCGAGAGGAGACGGTCGTGCCCAATTTGTTTGCTTGCCATTCGTTGCAAGGTACAAAATCGGTAAAAGGTTGCCTAGTCCAACGATTGACATTCAAAATCAAATTATTAATATTTTAAGGCTACAAATATGTTCGGTCTTTTTACATGATATGGTCGGTCTTTTACACATTTTCTTCAAACCCTGTTTTGAGGCTACCAGTGGAAAACACCGACCGGTCGGTGGTCGGTGGGGTCGGTCTTTTTCGTAAACCCTTCAAATCATGCAATAAGTCCTTGACTACATGCTATGATTTATCAGAGGAAGAATCTTCCTCTATGTATTTGAAAGGGAGATCTCTACTTGAATCTTTCTACAACCCACTTTATCAATCACATTAAGGCAATACAGCAAGGCGTTAACTTGCAAAATACCACCAGATGGCATCCCACTGGATGAAGAGAATAATGATAGACATAGGACTGCTAAAATAACCCCCTAACACACCAAACTAGTTCTTACCCGTTCTTGCCAGTCCTACGAAAACGTCGTAAAACGGGCTCAATCTGGCCGTGGTCGGGAAATATGTCTAAAATTATTAGCTACTTCGTTCATAAACAGTCTTCAATACGTCCATCTCATTCGCAGTTCGTTCAGGCAGTCAGGTCGCACCACGTCGGTGTGCAACGTCGTATAACGCGTCCCTTAGTCTAAAAGGTCATCATGACCTGATTACAGAACGGTATGGTCGCCACCGAATTTTTAATCGATTCAAAATTCTAAATCACACTCCCCGTCCGGGAAAGTCCATGAAGTTCGTAAACAGACCGTTGAACGTTGTAGGTACGTTCATTCGGTTCGCACACAGTTTAAAACCGATTCAGCAAAGTTTTGAAGAACGCAGTGACAACTGGTTCTGGTGTGATACCTATTTTTGTTAATTCGTTCATAAGCAGTTTTTAATACGTCCATCTCGTCTTTATTCCGTCTGCAGTACGTTGGTATCAAAGTTTAGATCGGGTTAAATTGTGCGTTCGTCTCGTCTACACAACGTATCCAAGCAGTTCAATTACGTCCTTAATCAGTTTAAACCAGTTGACAATTAGTTGTACCTCGTTCTCAATACATCCTAATATGTTACTGAATTATCCACCAAATTTCCATACGGTTGAACTCGTTCTAAAATAGTTAACATCTTGTCCCTAATCCGTGCAGAACGCATTTATAATTCCCTATTTTCCTATTGTGAACCTTTATAAATGGGAAGGACGTCGTTCAGTCGAGTTAGGTCTGTCTACGAACAGAATGAACGAGCTACAAACGGACTAGATTGGGGTACTCACGGCTTACGCCTGACTACACAACGTCGTAATACGTCCCTAGTAAGATTGAAGTACGACACTTCCGTTCGTAGTGTGTCCCCAGTGCTTCCAGGTCGTCTTAAGTACGTTGTCACTCGTTCTGATTGCAGAACGTGACGATCACCAGAAAATTTTGAGCATGCTCTAAGTTCTGGAGGACCTACTAGTTCGAGTAGTTTCATGAAGTTTGTAAACAGATCCCAAATGGTTCTTAGTGGGTTCTTAGTAGGTCAAATCCGTTCGTGCCAAGTTTAAGCCCGTTTTCGAGAACGTAGCGAGAATGAGAACTAGTTTGGTGTGATAGTAGGGTAAGGATTTCATGCGGCTGAAAATAGACGAAAGGAATGTAGAAACTATTTTGATTTCTGTAATGCTGCGTATATTTTCCCATCTAATTATACCAGTCCATCTTTACCCCATGCAAGATGCCCGCAAGATATAGAGGTTTTTGTATGAGTAAGTTACCTGCACTGTGCAAGATCGTCCATTCTTGATGAACTTTGATAATTAATCGAATCGAAGACGAGATAAAGAAACATGATCAAAGCGAGTCATATTTTCACCTTTTTATAGAAAACAGAGTATTAAAATAGCTTGCATTGGGTAAAGATGGGTGTATCTTCGTTAGTCATATCATGAACTTCTAATCACGATTGTTTCTATTCCCATGACAATGCGCCGAAGACCATCTCGACTTTCCTTTGCGCGTGACAGTTTGCTCATATAATAACGTAATTGACCTTTTGCGACCAGAATTCAAGTATTTAGTTTATGGATACTCACACCTGAATACCCTGACAACCGTAAAGTCAGATACCATAGTCACAAATGTCCAAAAGAGTGGTATCGATATGGAGAACTGAATTCAACAATGTTTTTCTCTTAAACCAATCATTGAAAACATTCTGTAAAAAACACGGTATTTAATGTAATGTTGACTGATTGACAACAATTTAAGGCGAAAATTATTTAGAAATATTTTATATAACTGTTTTTGTTAACATTTTTCGTTTTTCTAGTGCAAATTACCCAAATGCGAGTAGGTAGTTACCAGTTTCACCACCAGGTGGCTGATTCGGGTCAATTAACATGGCAGGTATATAAGAAAGTTCCCTCAAACTTGAATATTATCAATTTAAGTGGCTTAATTTTAATATAACCCTTATGTGTCTGATACGTATACTAATGAAAATATATCCAGTAAAGCAAAATATTATCTGTCCACTAAAAGAAAAGATATTTCATTTTTTGTGATTTTATAGCATGGGGTCTATGGGGAATCTCCCCGAGCTAGAAGTCACATTTTCAAAGAAAATTAATTTTTCAAAGTTGATAAACACTTTTTAAAACCACATTTCTAGATGTAATTTTACATGTAGATTTTAAATATGATATTACTTTGACTGACTTTTGAATTTTTAATGACGTAAATCAAGATTATTTCTACTCGCATCTCGGTTATTGTTTTTGCTCCTTTCTACCAATTCTTGAGAATGAAATAAAATGTCTTTCCGAACCTTGTTGGAACAAAATAGCATATACATCATGTTTTTAGACCTCTCAATATTATAGTTATACAAAGGAATTTTTGGTTCATTTTAAAAAAGTATTCAAAAAATTAAAACAAAATCCCCCCAAAATAGATAAAAATCAAGATAAACCTTTTATTTCATTAACAAGATACTTTTTTAAAATGAACAAAAATTTCCTTTGTAGAATTACAATATTGAGAGACCTAAACATGTTGTGTTTATGTCTTTTTGTTCCAATGAGGTTCGGAAAGATGTTTCATTTCACTCTGGAAACATGATACCAAGAACAAAACAAGTGTTTGATGTGTTTTCTAAAACAATATAAATGAAAGTATATATATATTTTTCCAATTATATTGTTACCATTCAAAAGATGACCATTGAATTGACAATGTGTAAAATTTTCAGAACTTTTTGATGACTGGTTTAAGAGAAACGTGTGTTCAAAAAGTTCGCCATATCGATACCCATCCTTTAAATAGTATGCCTTGCACCTTCTGCTTGTGCAGTCGAAATCCCTTTAACATGAACACCAAAGGACCAGGTTTAGTATGACAAGTGGTTTTAGACGGTCGTATCTTTCACCATGAGCACTTTCTCAATTTAAATATGTCATGACATTTCCCATTTCGATTTCAACTAAATTCTCAAGGAGAAGAATCTCGGTATTCAAAGTGGAAAAGCATGCAAATTCGCCGAAATATTTTTTTTAGTGTTCCTTTTCCTGAAATTAATTATGAACTTTGTTAAACATGATCCTGCCTTTGAACGATAAGTATAAGCAAAGTCTTCTACATATCGTTATATAACACAGTTTAATTAAGTCTAAGTGTGACATAGGCTTTCATCTTTTAATATGTCCTTCATTTAAAATTGCGTCATACAGAGTCATTTGAGAGTTTAAGCTTGCATATAAAATCGAAACGCCAACCTATACGTATGACCAATCACCCATACAAATGCATCGCTTAAATATTTTACGTTCACGTTTAGGTTGTGAAAAACATTGCAAGCTTAAAACTCCTTATTTTGTGCAGACAGCACATGTGAGTTCATATCCATCTATGTAGTTAGGACAGGGTAGGGAGCCACAGGCGCCCTCTACCACACGTATAATGCCACCATCTCTGTTCTCATGACCTGCTATGTCCGCTTCGGGAGCTTCATCAAAACATATAAATTCAGATTTTTGGTGACTTATCTGCTGACTCATGAGGTATCCTTTATACTCCAATGTCCATAATTCGGGACAAGACTTCAAGGCAGGGATCATAACTTTGCTGTTTCTTTGTTGTACTCTACAAACGGCACATACTGCATCATGGTCATAAAGCCAATTAGCTGGTTTTGAAGGGTCGGGGAAGTTATCTGTAAGGAACGGACTGTTTTCAAAATTACCAAACTCCACCCCATAGATACGGGCATCTGACTGGAAACCAGCGACTGTTTTCCCCCACTCAGGTTCTTTTGGAAGACATAGAAAGTTCGCTCCTGATCCCGTTTGAGAATGGAATGAGCCCCCCATTACACCTTTAGATAAAGAAACAAAAACATGTTTATATAAGGGTTATGTACTGGGAGATTTTGGATACAGGGTTTATCTCACAGGAAATATGTGTATAAATTCCTGAAAATTAGATATCGTATAAAATATTACCATGTGATTCACGAAAATTGTTGAAAGACGTCGGATGATCTTAAAACAGCTTTCAGTGCGAGATACTGTATAAGTTTAAAACCCTACAACAATAGGGCAAATGCCCGGGGGCAAATGGAACACTTTTTTACCGTGAAACACATTTAACACTTCCATTGACCATTTTGAAGCAGTTTTAACCGTTCATCAGTTGAACCTACACAGACGTTTGAGGAGAGCAAAATTGTCCCTGTGACCAGGAATCTCAGAAGCCCTTCATACACAGTGTTCACCATAAATTAATGGCCTCTTGATTTTCCATCACCATTTCCCTTACCATTGTGATTTGAGACTTCGTACTTTCCGATGATGTCTAGCCCTTTAAGTTCTGTATATTTTACATTTTGTATACTCTCTACTTCTAATGAATACTCACTTGAAAATTCTCTTCTTTTTAACATGAGGAATCCTCACTTCAGCAAATCCAAGTGTGATTAATTTGTGAGCACTTTAACTATCTCACAAAAATCAAAAGAAAATCTAATACTCAATGTTTTGGGTTATATATCATATCAGAATTGGTCCATGATTATATTGACATTCTAAGACCATAGAGGTGTACAAATATTTTCGTCTATAGAAACTTAAACATTTCTTTGGATAACAACGGAGGTAGGATGCTTGTTTTAACAACATAATGTGTTGGATTCAAAACCAAACAAAGTCAGAAAATATTATGTCTTTAGACTGCGGCTAAAAAATGTCAGGGGAAGGGTGTTGAAGGGTTGAAGAATCGCGAATGTTGAAGTTCATATTTCATCCATTCTCAATAACACGCGTGAGTAATAATTGGTTAGGGCTTATAATTTCTGCAAATATCAAGACTAAGAACAATGGATGGTACCAAAAAAAACTTTAGACCTTCCTCTACAACATGTGAAAATATGAAAGCATTCCTGTAGATAATAAGGGAAATATAGCCCCTTGCAGCGGTTCACTTTTCTGGCCCACCCGATTTTTTAATTCATGCGAAGGGAACATATATCGCAATTTACTTTTACAGTGGCGCACATCTGGAAGGAGTGGTAAAATAAAAAATGAAAATTGCAACTCCATGCATCTACCATTATTTCGCCCATTTATGGATGTATGTTTGTGTATTATATTTTCTATATACCTGAATAAACATTCTCCGCATTATTCGGGCAGGTAGTCCTGCCCCAGCGTACATAGACAGCTCCACCAGCCTGCCCTCTAGGCCCCGGTGGTCCTTGAGGGCCTTGCACACCAATCGAATTGTTATTGTTTGACATCGTCTTGTGCAAATGTTCAAGTAAATTGGTTATATCGCTGATTGAAAATCCTTGTCCACTTGAACCCTAAAAATATACATTATGTTGCTCATTTCACTGCTCAGTTCACAACTGATAAAAATATCTTAGTCGAGTTGCTTTAATGGAAAGCGTTATGGAACTGTCACGCTAGGCTTTGGGGCTCATACCGTTCGCCACCGTGTAAATAACTTTGGGGGCAGACGGTGGCACACGGCATGGACACACGGTGAATAAAACAAACAGTTTTTTTTACCGTCAACAAGCATATAGTGTTGACTTTAATATGAATAGAATATTCCATGATTATGTTGTTTTGAAATGTGACCATTCCTTTTTATTCATGTGTAATGACTGAACTAAACTGCCCCTCCAAATATACGATTTTTGAAAAATATCAATTTTTGTTAAACCCTGTTCCCACAAAATCATAGTATCATGGAAATTAAATCTCTTACATCTCTGCCATCTCGACCAGGGGGTCCTTGTGGCCCAGGTGGACCGTCCCTGCCATCACGGCCACAATTACTCCCTACAAATACACATAGGCATAGCACGGTACATAATACATGGAATATGAATATGGAATATGAATACAAAGTAAAGTACGTATGTTAGGGTTTGTAGAAAAAACCGGGTACCGGGTAGTAAATCCTCCATGCTGGGTTCAAACTTGGTACCCGGTACCCGGTCGAAAAAACCGGGTACCCAAAAAAACGAAAATACGGATATATAACATAATCAGATCATTAGAAAACGTGTTAGATTTGTTTTGAATTTACAAAAATGTATGTAACTATGTAAAATTGAGCTAGAAACTTCAAGTTTGAACCCAGCATGGAGGATTTACTACCCGGTACCCGGTACCCGGTTTTTTCTACAAACCCCGTATGTTATCATCCGATCGTTCTTGTTCCTCAAAAGTAGTACATATTATATCATAATCGTAGAGTAGCTAACAAATTTTGTAATACCGTGCTCCTATTCATTTAGCGATTTATTGGTAAACTTTCTCATGAGAGAATAAATCTGCAGTTTCTCGCCATATCCCCCACACTATTTACGGCCGTGACTACAGAGTGGGCCAAAAATGTTCTCCTTATTATATTCTTGCCCTTTTCTTAACATTTTACCCACCCTGTAGGTCTAGGCCGTATGAATTAATGTAAAGCTGCATGACATTTGAGAAATTAATTTACCAGGAAGTGCTGCTGTTGTTTCTCGTTTTATTCTGTTTATGTATGTCTTGTTGAAATCTGACTGATCATCAGTTCGACCTACGTCATTAGTCCAATGCTAGGAAAGATAGATATACATTGACATAATTATAGGCCACTTGAAAGTTTAAACCACTTGGCTATAGTGTATTCTTACCCAATGTTATCAAGGTGTGACAAATGAAACTTTGACCTAGTTCATTGTTTTCTAAAAGCTCTCTTGCGAGTAGGGAAATGAATATTTAATATTAAACGTCTTCGTGACATCATAGTGTCAGCGCTCGTGACATCATTATGAAGATGCTGTTAAATATACACTTATGCGGTTACTCTATTTTATTAATTAAGAAAGACATATGATGTGTTGAATTTAAAGTGTGTTATTGATCGTCTCAAAATCTTAACTGAAAAGTCAGCAACCTTCTTTTCATAGTAAACCTTTTCGGAATCAGTATACAAAAACAACCGTATCAAACAGCATCTTAATGTGATGCATTACCCTGAAATAGATTTTACTGTAGTGAAAGAGACAAGTGAAATAAATAGTTTCATTCAAAACCAGCTCCCTAGTATCTGAATATCAGAAAAAGCCTTGAATACATACCAGCTTCTCGGTTTCCAGTTCAACAATACGCTTCTTCATCTCTTTTAGTTCATCCTTCTCCTCAAGACATTTAACTTTAACTTCATGAACTTCGTTAACTAGATCATCATTGACTCTTTGTACTTTCTCAAATTCTTGACTTACTTTCACAAAATCGACTTGCATTTTGTACATTTCATTTTTCAATCTGAGTAAGTCATCGGTCAGTTTTATTGACCCAGCGTTTTGCTTTTGTGTTTCGTAATGCGAAATAAGAGAGCACGCACATGATAGGACAGCGAGCACCAGAGCAATTAGCGAAATAGTGAGCACATGAATTTTGTCTTTCTTTTCCATTTTTCCATGGATTCTTTATCGAAAGTGGAATGTCGTTCTTCTTAACTGCGTATGGAGTTTTAATTTTATCAGATGAAACTTTTAATGTTTACCAAGTATGTAAACAACTTTTTGAATATGTTTCAACCTGTTAATTTCTTTGAAAACATCAAGGGGTGCTCTACTGTAGGTTACAAAATAAGGCATCAATTTTGAACACAAACGTAATGTTATTTACAAATTCTCAACAAATTTCTAGGGCTACATGGTAGAGTAATCCAGATGGGTATCAATATCATACTGCAATCAGGACCGTTCATTCCATATCTTAGTTGACAAGAAAATAATACCATCGATAAAGTTTGCAGACACGCGGCACATGTTTTTCAAAACTCGATGAAAGTGACAGTTCTAGATCATATATCACTTTATTTTCTGAAAATATGCATAAAGGTTATGTCAAACTAAACCCTGTATGTACTTACAGTTATTATTTATCCACTGAATTCAAGTTGTTTTTCAAATTACTTTACATGAATCTTTTTATTTTATTCAACGTTGCAGCTTGGTATTTTTGGTATGTTAGTAACATACTTGGTAACTAATACTTTTAGAAATGTTCTCATTTTCCACAGATTCTTCCGAATTTATATAGTTTTCTGGAATTTTAACCAAAATGAAGCTTTTTCAAATACTTCTTTTCGAACAGATTTTTCATGAACAATTATAAATATTTTAGCAATGAGCTTTATTTTCATTTCTCAGCATGCACTCCCTAGGATTCATTGAATCTATTGTACATTTCTTATGAAATATCATCTTATTCTTGAAAATCTATTCACATTTCTTGGATCACACTTAATGGGATTTTAGAATAATAGAGAGATTCGCAACTACACTAGTCTTATAGCCTGTTTTTGAATCCCTTTTTATTGTAGTTAAGTATTTCATGTAGTGAGAAGGGAGTTTCGACTTAACTTGTCAGTCACAGGCTTCCCATCAGCCTTCTAACCAATCAACTGTTAGTATAATGGATTATATTTTCAATTGTAGAGATGCGGGAGAGTCCTACCTTATCTTTGTCTTTTAGAATTTTGACTTTAGCTTATTAGCTATAGCTAACGATATTTAATCTTTGAAAAATGTCCACCCATTCCCCGCCACCACCCTCGGTTTTTGCCCTATTTGAAAAATAACTTTACGAATAGTAATGTAATTAATCATGTACGATTATGCAACATTATGTAATGCTTATAAAGATTTGTATCATTATATTTTGCCAACAAATACATGAGTTGTTAGTCAACTATCTATATTTTTGCTTTCCTTGAGTGCCCTTGAAACCAGAGTGATCCAACTACATAAATGTTTATAACGTACAACGTGTGTGTACTACGTAATCATTTGATGCGCAGCTCTATCCATTTATAAGGAGCCATCGCTTATAAAACGTTGTTTATACTCGTAAGTGAGTGAACCATTATCTCGTTTAGACATGGTTATGGTTGGAAATCATAGTGATGCTTGGCATGAAGTCATACTGTATAAGTATACAATCCACTTTATAAACAAGAAACAATAGAACAAAACTATTCATTTCGGTGAGAAGAGCATTGGAATTGATCGATAAAATACAGTTCTATGAGTATATACAGTACATGAAAACACAAATTTTTGAGAAACGCCAATATCCAATTCACTTATACTTATAATGTAAAGCTATACGCTTAAGCATAAGTTAAGCTTCCACTTATGAGCGAAAAAAAACTCTCTATTATTTTTGACTTTCAACCAACTAAAACATTTGTAATCTCTAAAATCTCTAAGAAAATACTGGTTTTGCCAAGTATTCCATACAAAAAATGAACAAAGATATGATTTGCTTGTACGTAACGTAGATATTCCTTCGGATTAATAAACCCTGTAATATTTGATTGGTGAAAACGAATTTCAAACTTTTTTAAAATTATGAATGTGAGTATTGTTAAGAATGAGCAGGCAGATCTGCGTATCCAAGTATCATACATAGTTGGACTTGACATTTAACAAAGTATCAGTAAATCAAAGTAAATATAAGGAGACTGGGATGTCAAACTTTTATTTCAGCGTAATATTTAGCTGATTTTTCAATTGCCTCTTGGGGATTGAACACCGGTTTATAACCCAGCTTGTTCCTAGCCTGGCCTCCATTGAAATAGATGTCATGGTTGATATAAATGATACTACATAGACATGAATCTAGGTGGATTTTCTTTACTGGCTGAATCGCCCAGAGAATCGACTCAAGGGTATAGAAACCAGCATAAACCACCCAGTAAGGCAGATAGTACCTAGATACACTATAGCCATGGAGTTTCAAAAATGGCTCCATGAATGTGAAAGTATTCTGGATGGGAGTATCGTCAGTTATGAAGTACGGTTTCCCACCTATAGAGGGTGCTGATTTCAAAGCCTCGTTTGCACAAATATGCGCCCATGCAACATTTCCAACATAGGCTTGTTGGAACTTTGCTCTTCCATTCCCGACTCTTGGGAGTGTACCGCCATTTTCTTTAGCTCCTTTTATGGATGTAGTGACGTAATATGGATCCATTTCGCCGTACATTACATTTGGTCGCAGGGAAAGGCTTAGCAGGCGCTTATCGGAGTCTGGAAATATGATTGCTGTTGTTATTTGTTATATAACTAGGCATTACATGTTAAATCAAAATATGTCATCACTTGGTTCAACACATTGTTAGACAACTAGGTTACATTGTTGCCATGGTAATCAATTTTCCCTTAACGTTGAAAATGTATATTTATAAAGGCTGTATTATGCCCATATATATGATCGCTCGGTGGATTTCAAGTCAATCTTAACATAGATGCCCATTGATACATGTACTTCTTGGAAATCGAGAGTAGAGACGCCGGTGGTTTACTATGGAGTTTGTTCATATGGGCGAACAAGACCACACCTACCTGTATGCTTATAATAACTTACCATGTAATTTGTTCATATGGGCGGATAAGACATTGCACTCCGCTTTGTACTTAGATGCCGGGTAGCCAGGGAACAAGAACCTCCTGGGGATGGCTGTTGTGGACTCTTCTCCGTTAATTATGTCTTCATATCCTATAACGACATCAACTGTACTCGTGTATATAAGCCTCTCGACTTTCTTCTTGATGCAGCCATTTATGATATTCTCTGTACCTGGAAGATACACATACATGTACCTTACCGCAAAATGAAATGGTAATTGACTTTCGATACAATGCTGGTTCGGGAAACATGGACATGTGAAGACAGACTAAGGAAAGGCTGTGGAAAAAGAAACAGTTTGGATTGTTATGTATTGTTATAGAGCGACTTGTGAAACCACGTATTAATTCGAGTATTTGTGTGTTTTTATCAAATGTTCTTCTTAATTTCAAGTTCAACAATGCCAAGCTCAATTTAAAGAATTAATTTTGACTTTGGCAATATGCTATCATCTCCACGTCATAACTAAACAGTTCTTTGATAATTTACGATGTTTTATCTAGTCTTTTTCCTTCAAATGCTCTGAAAGTTCAACCCTGCTCGGCCTTAGTTATCAACCTGTCGCGTCTTGTTGGCCGTTATGCCATTAATTTCTGAATTCTTAACCACGATGTTTCTCTCAATAACCCCCTGATCTACCTTTGACGTTAATTTGTTCCATCCCTTCCTCGTCAGGGAATGTGCCGTAACTAATGAGTCCCGCTGTGTGTATGACGGCATCAACGCCCTTCAATGCTTCCTCAACCTGTCTAGCGTCTGTGACGTCACCCACTATCGTGACCATTGGCTTCTCTTCGGCATAGTCTAATTAAAAGTAAAGAGCACAATGTACGCATAACATAATCCTGTCAGCCTTTGAGGTAGATGAGCCCATTTTGCTGATACATTTGCAACCATGTCATGCGTAAATAGCAGAAAGGGCTCACCTAAGCGAGAACAGAAAATTATTGCAATTTAAAGGAGCAAATAAGAACATGGCATTCTTTGTTGTCCTTTTTACCGGAAGTTCTTACTTTTATGTCATGATAACACTTTGATAATGATTAAACAAGGTAAATTTCACCACTTGCCATTTGTTACAGATGCCGAACGACAAACTCCAAACACCAACCGCCGCCACAAACAAATTGGAGACCATATGTCATCACTTGTGCGGGTGTCACCACCCGTGTGATGACATAAAAGTGGACATCCCCAACTTCCTTTTCAATTCTCGTCACTTTGGAACATTTGCATCTTAAATCTCCGATATGTTCATGACTCTTTTTCAACGATTTCGCCATTTTTATTTTTTCCACTTTGAGTAATCTGAATGAATAACGGAAGAAATGAACATGCCCAAAAGCGAGAATAATTCCACTAGATTAAGCTAGTGGCTTACCTAATTCCTTTATGTACGGCTTCTTATCAAATACCCGTATCTCTTTCACCCCATCTCCCCTTTCATGTAATAATTTTACGATATGCTGCCCCAGAAATCCACATCCTCCGGTTACCATGACAACTTCAGATGGTGGTTGCTTAGCGACAAGGGCATTGTTAGGCTCGATTTCTTTGGAAGGTTTCGCCTCAGCTTGTTCCATAGTGATAGCCTTGGCAGAGACCTTTGGACTTTCGGATTGAAATACTGCTGTTGCTATTAGAACAGTTGAAGGAAACGTTGCGATTCTGGAAAATGTGAAGGCACATAATATGGAAAAGGGGGACGCCACACACTAAAACCACAAATAGAAAAACCAAAGAGCTCAGCCATAAGGTAGATCGACAAAGACACAATTTAATTTACTAAACTATATACCATGATATACCCATAAATAAACCATGAGACAAAAACTTCAACATACGGTTACATGTTATTTTGAACAGGTAATAAGCCTTAGTATACAATTTTACATTGCGCATTTGGTACTTTTGTAAGTTCAATATTAAAAAGTGAAATCCCATATGTATATCATCTAATCATAATGCTTTTACATTTTGTTGTATTTTGTAAACTACAAAAAGAATGATTTTATTTTTTAGCAAATGAATGTATGTATGACTCTTGCTAGCACTTGTATGCTGACATTTCTATCCATATTTTATGTGTGGAACCGCAGTCCATACCATCACGCGGTACTAACTTCGACCGTTAATTTGAATTTTTGACCTACCAGATGCTTGAAAATCAAGGATTGCGAGTTTCATACTGCGCCGTTTTTCTTCAAACTTATACCATTAAAAGCAAAACAAAATTGCCTTTCTGTCGGTGCATTACTTTATTGTAAAGAGTTCCTCGTTCTAGCAGCGTTTTGGTCCCCAACTGTTAGAAAGCCTTCTTACAGATGGAGACCAAAATGCCACTGGAAGTAGGGACTCTGTTTAAGAGAATGTACCATCAGAAAGGGATTTTTGTTATGCTTTGAATGGAACAAGTTTGAAGAAAAACGGTACAGTGTCAGACTCGTAATCCTCGATTTTCAAACATCCGGTAGGTCAAAAATTCAAATTAAAGGTCGAAGTTAGGACCGCGTGACCATAGGTGTCATCCCCATTCTGATACTAATAGCATCTTTCTCAAGGCTGAGAAAATGAGATGTCATGGTTTATCATGATGTGTAATCCCAGAAAATGGCTACACTCCCAGAGCCAATTATTCCAAGCCGTCACAAGGTATTTCAGTTTGACAAATTGTGGATTGAAATGGATAATTGCATTTTGCAAAAAGACAAAAATTGATGAAAAATATGCTTACGGTTTATTTGATATATTTGAAAGTGTAACTGTGTCATAACATATACGAGTATATGATAATCATAACAGGCAAACTTAAGTTATAATAGAACTAAAAACAGCTATGACAGCCTACCTTATTTTCCTTAGGATCCGATGCATGTTGGCCTATTCAGTCAGAATGCATTACCAATTGTGGCAATTTAGCTTCAAACCAAAGATATTCTTCTGCGACTCGAATTCTTATTGAGAAAATTATAATTAATAAAACCAATCAAGATCTCTGCGGAAGATTAGAAGTATGCGGAGATGTTAATTAAATCACAATGTGATATCAATGTCAACAGCGATACATAATCTTATTCACTATTGATGATGTTCACGTTGCAGTTTCAAATAAATAAAACGTCGCGGGGGGTATATTGGCACGTTCATAGGTCTAGGTGTAGAGAATGTGGAATGTCAACTCAGAATCTAGGAGTTCTCGTATTGTCCGAATCATTCATATTTTAGTTGCAAAACGTTTGTGTATGTTACAACAGTTTGTGGTTTGGCCAATAAAATGTGTGACCTCTTACACTTTGATGTTTCTCTGACATGTAATTTTCAAAAAAATGAAATTCCCCAAATGATTCAAGGATCTGGTATTTATTTAGTCTGAATTTGCATCCGTTGTTGTGGAAATGGACGCAAAGGACAACCCTACTTTTCAAAATTATTTATAAATGGTTACTGCATTTTTGATTTTGATTGCACGCTTTTGCTCTTTAAGAAAATGAATTTCAAGGTCGAGGTCACTGTGTTCTGAAAGCGTTTTGCAGATCAATATAGTAATGAATATTCTTATGTTAAGATAGATTTTGTCCTATTATTTGTGTTGAAAGTTGGAATTAATCTTAATTTTAAACAAAATGACCCCTTTGGGATGAAGGTATTAATTAAACAATTTTGCCACCACCGGAGCTCCATAATCGTCAGATCCGACACTTTTGCACTAGACTATTCGTAGTGGATATTCAAACCCTGAGAAAACAGCTATAGCTTCCTTCTTTCGACCACGTTTGCTGAACTAGGAAGTGTAGTCTAATACTCGGGGTGGAAGGTGTGAGAATTGTGCAAAAAATGACTTTGTGAGCTGGATGGAGTTTCTCTGTATTTTTCATTCTATTAGGGTTTCCTGCATAAGGGATTTCGCCTGCGAAGCATATAACTCTTGCGAACATATCTAAATATTGGTCCGAGGAAGACATACCTTGAATTTTTTAGAAAAAAATTGGCTAAAAATGGAAACTACAAAAAGTCAAAATGTTCAACTCAAACAAAACTCTAGCTATTTAATATTAACACTATGTATTATTTAATGTTTTTCAGATGTTTAATGACCTTCATTAGTGTACTAGTGTCTAGAAATAAGATAATTAAGGACAAAATTTGGCATTTTTGATCATTTTCGCTTTCAGCAGTAACATATAGTTCCTTATATCTTGAGTTTAATGTTGACTGGTTGTTGCAATTTTGATTAAATCTGTGCTTGTACATGTCTTCTTCCATTTAAGATACGAAAAATGTATATTGGACCACCAATGGTCATATTAGTGCCTTCAGATCTCCCCTACCCCATTTATTATGAAAAATTACTGAAACATATGAAAATATAAAATAACTTGAATTTATAAACTTTAACAATGTTGTAGCTATTCTATATCAATATTATGTATTATTTAATGTTTTTCAGATATTTCAGAACCTTTATTGGTATACTAGTGCCTAGAAATGAGACATTTAAGGACAAAACTTGGCATTTTTTAAAATCATTTTAGCTTTCACCAGTAACATATAGTTTCTCATATATTGAGTTTTATGCTTACTGGTTGTTGCAATTGTAATAAAATCTGTTTTTGTAGATGTCTTCTTCCATTTAAGGTATAGAAAATGTATAGTGGACCACCAATGGTCATATTAGAGCTTTCAGATCTCCCCTACCCCATTTATCATGAAAAATATAAGAAAAATATGAAAATATAAAATAACTTGAAACTATAAACTTTAATAAAGTTGTAGCTATTCTATATCAATATTATGTGTTATTTAATGTTTCTAAGATATTTCAGAACCTTTATTGGTAAACTAGTGCCTAGAAATGAGACATTTAAGGACAAAACATGGCTTTTTTGACCATTTTCGCTTTCAGCAATACCATATAGGTCCTGATATCTTGAGTTTAATGCTGACTGGTTGGTGCATTCTTAGTCAAATTTGTTCTTGTACATGTCTTCTTCCATTTAGGATATAGAAAATGTATATTGGACAACCAATGTTGATATTATAGCTTTCATGTCTCCCCTGCCCCATTTATGTAAATGAAAAAGTAATTTCAAATCATCAACTTTAACAAAATTGTAGCTATTCTCTATCGATACTATGTATTATTTAATGTAACCTTCATTTGATTACATGTGTCTAAAATTTGGCATTTTTAGCATTCTGCATTTAGCAGTAGCATATAATTTTCCACAATTATAATTCTTTGATGATAGATTCATATATGTTTTTTATTGAATCTGTCTTCTCTGATTTAACTTAAAGAAAATGTATGTAAGACAACGAATGTTTTTATTAGAGGTCTAAGATCTGCCCTCCACCATTAAATGAGAAAACCAACACAAATGTTATTATTGCATGATAATATTCTTAAACTTTTCAAAAGTTTAGCATATTTATTAGCACACTAAAATCAAAAAATGACACATAAATGGGCAAAATGACCAATGTTTCACTTTCAGCAATAGTTGTTTATATTTTTAGTTGAATGGTGATTAGTTGACATATTTTAGATCATATATATTCAACAATGTGTCTTGTTATCTTCAAAGCATGGAAAATGTGTTTTAAACACAAATATACATATTAGAGATAAAATTACTACACTACTATATTTTTAAAAGATTACTCAAAAATAGCATAGTGCGAAATAATTTTGTAATTTCGCAGTTTACTCTCATATGAATCAAATGATATGTCTTTATATAGACATGATTGTTCACAACTCTCGAACTTAATCCAGCAACAGCCTGATTTTTCAAATCTCCCTGGTTCTATGTTAGAGCTGCATTTAAGTCATTTTAAAGGTAACTGGTCAACTGGTACCCAAGACAAGTCGTACCCAAGCATATATTTTGTTTTGAGTCAAGTGTTGGACTGGGAATGTGTAAAGATATACATATTATAACTGTAACATACTGTTCAGAAGTTTGAAGAATTTTCAGAAGAAATTGATATAATTTTGTAACATTTTGAGCTTTGAGTGTCAATTTATTTTGACTATTATTTTATATTGGATGTTCGAGTGAAGAGATATATGTTTATTCCACACATTCATAATCATTTTTTTAAATATTGTATGTTTATGAGTGTTTGGAAGAAGTGTCAATTTCCAATTGGAAAAAATTTAACAGATTAAACTTCCTTTAAACTTTCTCAAAATGCTCAAATTAATTGTTTGATTCATTTGTAGAAAAGTCACTGTTGTAATTATATTTATTTATATATATGTTTGACAAGAAATGTTGTGAACAAGCACTTCAAGCACTTGTTTTATTAGTAAAAAGGTGATTCAAGTTAAATCAAAATGCTTTACTTAATCCATTGAGAAAAAATGTCTTCTAAATTCAAAAAAATATTGAGGCTTATTTGAGTCACATTATAACATGAAAACATAATTATACAAACTCAATTTGTTTTCCTAATATGCACCCATAATACTGGAAATAACTCGGGTACGAGTTGTCTTGGGTACCAGTTGTCTTAGGTACGACTTGTCTTGGGTACCAGTTGACTAGGAAGCATTTTAAAGGTCTAAGTTGCTCATGACACCACAAGCTATTCAGATATGTAAGATCTCTAAATAATTTTTATAGTTCTGAGAAACTCATCCTTAAATATTGTCCAACGATGTGCACTATGTTGTTTATTGCCACATGGACAAGTAGCAATACACGCTTGACTAGAAACTTTGTATAGCAATTTTCGCTGCCTTTTGCCATTTTACATTTGCGAATTGCCAAGGACATATGTTTCTTGTGTTGCTACGAAGGTTTGTTTGTGAGTACTGGTACAAGACACCCATCTTTGATATATCTTCAAATAGGTATTGCACTTTGAGATTCATATAGTAATTTAGAATGCTACCTTGAAGGACATAAGAAACTTTAAGAGCTCTTTTTAACTCTCATCCTTCTTTGCAAGCAACATTCTGTATCATCAGACTGAATACAAATTCTCTCAACATTGAACTCCTTTGTCTTGTCTGCAGCACTGTAATAGACATGGGCCATAAGGAGAGTGTCAACTTCTTCATGATCAGTATTTGATAGATAAGTTGCAACTATCAGTTTTGCAAAGTTCAATAGCAGCTCTGCCAAAAGTGAAATTCATCCCATTTTAGAGATACAGTAACATTGCTTCACAAACCAAAGACAGCTTTACCATTTTGTAATCCTTTCCAAAATCATCTTGTTGGCTGTTCTTCATTTCACAATGTTTACATTTACCAAAATATCCCCAAGCCCAATATCTATCATGAACTTCCTAATTACACCACCCTTAGGTGTAATATGGAAATCACCAAGCATTTGACAACATTGCATTTGATATGAGGGAATTTAACCAATATGGCTTGATCACTGGTTATAATTATCACAGTACTATACCCCATTATTTTTAAATATATTCCAAGTATTGTACTATACATTGCATAGATTCATGAGCAGTTTGCAACATATCATAACCAGAAAAGCCCAATGGACAAAGATAGAGAATACCCGCCCCATTTGCAACTCAACTTTAAATGTCTAATTTTTAGACTTGTATACTCATGAAGTTCCTGACACATCTGAAAAATATCAAGTAATACATAGTATTGATCTAGAATAGCGACAACTTTGTTAAAGTCTATACTTTGAAATTGTTTGGTTTTTATATTTCTGGTTATTTTTTCAAAATAAATGGGGTAGGGGAGATATGTAAGCTCTAATATAATGACAGGCTTTCCAATATACATTTTTAAATACCTTAAATCAAAGTAGGCAGGCAAAAGAACAGATTTGATCAAGAATCCATCAACCAATCAGCATAAAACTCAAGATATAAGGAACTATATGTTATTGCTAACAGTGGAAATGATGAAAAATGCCAAATTTTGTTCTTAAATGTCTAATTTCTCTACACTAGAATACTAATGAAGGTCCTGAAACATTAATTATAGCAATCAATAACACATAAAGAATAGTTACATCTTTGTTAAAGTTTATACTGGTAGTTTGAAGTTATTTTTTATATTTTCCAGTCATCTTCCCTAATAAATGGGGTAGGGGAGAACTGAAAGCTCTAATATGAACATTGTTTGTCTACTATACATTTTCAGTACCTTAAATGGAATAAAACATGTACAAGAACAGATTTAATCCAAAATGTATCAACCAGTCAGCATAAAATTCAAGATATGAGGATCTATATGTTACTGCTGAAAGCAGCATTGATTAAAAAATGCCAAGTTTTGTCCTTAAATGTCTCATTTCTAGCCACTTGAATACCAATAAAAGTTCTGAAAAATCTTAAAAATATTAAATAACACATAATATTGATAATAGAATAGCTACAACTTTATGAAAGTCTATAATTTCAAGTTATTTTATTTTTTTATATTTCTCGTTTATTTTCCATAATTGATGGGGTAGGGGAGATCTGAAAGCTCTAATATGAACATTGTTTGTCTACTATACATTTTCTATACCTTAAATGGAAGAAGACATGCACAAGAACAGATTTGATTGAAAATGCAACAATCAGACAGCATAAAACTCAAGATATGAGGAACTATATATTACTGCTGAAAGCGAAAATGATAAAAAAAATGCCAAGTTTTGTCCTTAAATGTCTCATTTCTAGCCACTTGTATACCGCTATAGGTTCTGAAATATCTTAAAAACATTAAATAACACATAATATTGACATAGAATAGCTACAACTTTGTTAAAGTTTATAATTTCAAGTTATTTTATTTTTTCATATTTTTCGGTAATTTTCCATAATAAATGGGGTAGGGGAGATCTGAAAGCTCTCATATGAACAATGGTTGTCTACTATACATTTTCTACATCTTAAATGGAAGAACATATGTACAAGCACAGATTTAATCAAAAATGCAACAACCAGTCAGCATTAAACTCGAGATATAAGGAACTATATGTTAATGCTGAAAGCGAAAATGATTAAATATGCCAAATTTTGTCCTTAAATGTCACATTTCTAGACACAAGTATACTAATGAAGGTCTTGAAACATCTGAGAAACCTTACATAACACAAAATATTGATATAGAATAGCTACAACTTTGTTTGAGTTGAACATTTTGACTTCTTGTAGTTTCCATTTTTAGCCAATTTTTTCTAAAAAATTCAAGGTATGTCTTCTTCGAACCAGTATTTAGATATGTTCGCAAGAGTTATATGCTTCGCAGGCGAAATCCTTTATGCAGGACACCCTAATAGAATAAAAAATACACAGAAATTCCATCCAGCTCATAAAGTCATTTTTTCCTTAACGGAGCCTCTTAGAAAATTTTCCACCCCGAGTATAAGTCAATTGTTTACTATGTACAACATGTACATGAAGTTCAAGATAACACAAATTAATCGTGCCGGTAAGTACTTATAGGTTACCATTCGTAGTCTGTACAGTAGTAAAGGCTAAACAGGGCAACAGAACAGTAAAGATGGAAGTGTATAAAAAGGAGAAGATAGAAAATGTTTGTATCTTTGGTGGCACCCACGGGAATGAGCTCTCGGGTGTATACCTGGTTCGTAATTGGCTGAAAGATGGCGCGCTGGTACAAAGGGGCTCATTCAGTACACACCTGGTGATTGCCAATCCCCGTGCAGTGGATACATGTAGAAGATATATAGATCGGGATCTGAATAGATGCTATGGAAAGGGCACACTAGGGTGAGAGCATGTGTTTAAATACTTATAGCAGTCCGAATCGCCGTTTTGTGAGTCATTCAACCCTAAAAGATAAGCAAATGACAATCATACAATATTTAAGAAATAAAGAATCCTGTATCATATGGTAAATTAAAAAGAATTAGTGCATGTACTAACCCATTCACACAATGCACGAGTTATCTTGTTCCAAGCCCATTCTCTTCGTTTAGAGATAGTCTTGGAACGAGATAAATGCACTAGGGCGAAGCTTTTATATATTATAGTGGAGATTGAAATATCAACATGTAATCCTGTATAACGCCTGTTTGTTATGTAGAGAGTCCACTAATGCGGAATCACCATATGAAACAAAGCGGGCGCAGGAGTTATATCACAGATACTTATCAGGGGCACCGCCAGATGGCACTACAGCTGATTTCTTGATTGATTTACATAATACATCGTCAGCAGCGGGCAACTGTATCATCATACCATACAACGCGAGTCCAGTAGTTCTCCAAGTGTGTGTGGAGTTGATTCAACGACTAGAATCTTTGTTTGTCCGGGTATTGGTGCTGACAGAGCAAGGGACTGTTGAGTCAACCGCGGGTTCCTGCAAGAATACTATAGGTCAGTAATAACATGGAACTGTTGAGTCAATTGCAGGTTTTTACAAGAATAACACAAAAATGTAGGTCTGTAAGAGTAGGGCAGTATAAAGTCACCTTCAAGTTCATACAAGGTCTGAGGAATAACATAGGTTTAATAGTTACAGTTAGGGACTGTTAATTGTCTTCTTCGGGTTTGTACAAGAAGAACACACAGTAGGTCAGGAAAATCAGGGGATTGTTAGGTCAAGTTATTGAGGAAAGAAGGTTCTGACCGACAGGCAAACACTAAACGCTAGGTCAGGTTGTTTCACTGTGCAAAACGCGCATATTACAGGGTGAGCCAAAAAGGGTTAGATGGGTTACCTTTTTGGCTCACCCTATCAGTACGAGATAGTAGTCAGTTGCAGTTCATACATTTGTGTGTTGTAGGTGTTGAGATAGGACCACAACATCACGGGACACTCAAGACTAAAGTCTACGATGATATGTCACTTATTGTAACAACAACTCTCGATATATTGGACCAGATCAATAAAGGTTGCCATTTAGCCTACAGGGTGACCAGAAAAGTGGACCCAACTTCTTTACCCCCTTTAACTTCCACATACATATCTAAATTTCCAATCGTTGCTGCATACCGTTTATCGAACTCTAATATTATACTTGTAGCGTATATGTTCATTTAAAGGTGCAACAAAGAATACAGACGAGTTGAGAGTATTTTTTAAAACATTTTACATTTTGAGGCTTTAATCGTATTATGTCATGACTATTTTTCTAAACATTCAAGGTTTTGACTAGACTTTATTTTACCTTATGAATCTATTTGATGTATTTTGACATTTCCGCATCTTTGTCCTCAATACTCTCTCGTCTTCCTATACTCTTTCTTTCTTTGAACCTGGGAATACTAAACCAATTTGAACTCACAATTATTCAAAATAACCCAAATATTGTACATATGGTTGTAGGTGAGCTTTTTCCCGAACGCCAGTTAGAGGTGTACTCTATTCACAGACGATATGATTATCCGCGTGATGAGGATGGACAACTAAATGGAACCTTACATCCTGACTTTGAGGTACACCAAGCCTTGTTTCAGAATTTAAAATTCTTAAGGAATAGGAGATCCGAAATTGGAACATTTTTTGTTATATTCCATTGCTTGTGCTTGTCATGTGATGTTTTCAGAGGGTCAAAGGTAACCATGATTGAGTTGACAAAGCTTGAGTATTTAGAAAATAATGAAATGTCAACTGTCAAATCCGTGAAATTCAATAGCGGCGAAATTGTGATTTCTCAAAATTCACGAAATTTAATAGCGTTAAATATACCAGGAGTGCAGTAATCAGGATATTAATTGTAATGATTTAAAAAAACACCGATTTGTTAGAGCAAAACAGTAACGTACTTTCTACTGTATCAGTCATTTATTGACTCTGTTTTTACATTTACTGACATTTACTGTTTTTACAAGTCTCATGCCATAATTTCTCAAGTCTCAAGGTTAAAAGGAAAAATACATATTTACTCTGTTTACAACATTAATTATTCTTATTTGTAAAATAGATTTGAAAACGAAGGAACATCTCGAAATAAATCAAAACTGTTGGTCCATATAGGCAAGAAATGGACTAAATGGACTGATTTAGGCAAAACAATTATTAAAAGACAATTCTTTCGAAGCTCACTTCGAACTTGCTTCTATACATTGTATTTCATCGATATCAGATTTTGATATACCTTATATCTTGTCGTATAACACACATCAACACAAATGCTTAAATCCAAACATTTTTCAGGAGAAGGATTGGCAACCACTTAAGAATGGTGACAATATACTCCGCACACTAGATGGCGCTGACATCAGACTGGAGAATGAGACAGAGACAGTTTACCCATGTTTTGTAGGGGAAGCCGCATATTATGAGAAAGGACTCGCATTCTGGACAACTTTGAAAACCATATTGAAAGTGGAAAAACTCCCTCTGGATGACTGAGCATTTTGTTAATGTTATATCTGTCACTGTGTATTAATAAATGTGAATTTCTGAAATCTGATGACGTTACTCATTCCCTCCCTACCTAAGTTCTTTTCACTTTATTTGAATGGAAATATGGTTAAAGATGTACATTTTTTTCAATGATGGAAGTGTATCTAAAATTTGAGCTGTCAAATAACATGTACAGGATGGCAGTAAAAATGGGACGCTTTGTATCATTCTTAAACATTTAAGATCTGACATAGACAAACCATGTGTAGAATAGCCTACCAAAAAGTGGGGGATGTAATGTTGCCATGTGTCATATATTTTAATGTTGCAGAAGTTATGATAATCAATCATAGTTTGTGATGTTACATTTCGCAAAAAAATAATAGATTCAGCCCATTAAAAATGAAGAAATCTGGAAAAGAAGGTGTCTAATATGTCCATCTTTATCAGAAATAAAAAACTTCAAATTTTACATTATGTATGCCATCCTTAGAACTTATATTGATTTTTACATAAAATGTTTGACATTTACAAATTCTCTTTCATACATAGCTAGGCAAGGTGTATTCGATTCCAGCCAATCCGAGCACAGTATTTCATATAACTACACTGCATTATATAACCAATAGCCCAAGATCATTCGTTGAATGGTTGTCAAGGTGACAACTTGACACTGCAGATAGAAATTGATGCCTTGCCAACTTGACCCTTGCTCTCAATGAAAATATTTTCTTTTAGTGATATCGTATATTTTAGGGGATTTCTTAGAAAATATTTTGCAATGTATGAAAATAATTTAAGCCCAAGACTTGATGCATTGTGGCTGATTCATTCCACTTAGGCAATCAGGGATCAGGTGGGATTTCTCACCGTAGCAATTTTCGGCGGCAAACAGTGTGTCCTCAATCTTTGCATAGGTGTTAAAAAATAATATTTGCACAGTATAGTGGAATATTTGATGATTAAAGATTTCAACTTTGATGGGGACTTTAAACGATTCCCATTGCTGTTTTAGTTGACATGGGCCATGTTCCCTGTGTCGAGCAAAAATTAATAAAAACATGCATCATTTGACTTTTTTTTTATCTGATCCATATACTAGTATCCGAAAATGTCAAAACTTTATACTGATAAGTTATCATTGTTACTATGTATTTAGTTCATACATACTTAATAAGAAGTAATAGAATATATGGCATGGCCCATTTTTATTTGCCCACCAGGATTGTATGTAGTTTGAATATGCAATTTAAATTCTGTATTTCGGTTTGGCTTCTACTAAGAGGAAAAATTGCTTTGCCAAGCCGGGTCGTTTATTTCGGGTGATAATCTATTAAAGGAGTCTCATATGCGTTTTAAACCACTTTGACCTATATCAGTATATTGTAGTCTTGCTATAAAAATGTGATATGTAAAAGTGGTTTTTGAAGAACTTTTTGTTTGAAAAATCGTAAATTTATTTTAAACTAAATTTTAGAGCTCACATATATCTTTTACTAAGCGATAATCCACACCAATGCATAGCATCCATCCTACAGTTTTTTAGTCGAAAATAATAAAAAAAATTGGTTGGTAATATCTAAATTCAACATTAATTAGACTCAAAATTGGTTTATTTATTTGACCCTTTTTTAAAAAGATTTGCACCCTAAATGACATCACAATGAGGTAATTTAGGGTGCAATTTTTTGAACATGTCAGTATGCTAGTCTTAACATTCAACAACTAAATGGGGTCATATTTTTATCAAAAAAAACAGAATACAAAAACAGAATAAGTACTCATCGAACGACAGTTGTTACTTTTAAAAACTAGATCTATTATAGCGGTAAGCTTACCATTATAGCCTATGCACGAATTTAAACGCATAAAAATCTCTTTCCAAAATGTTTCGCTCTACTGGGTCTTTATTTGGAGGCCCTCGAAAAGATCACCATGTGCCTTTAAAAAGAGGGGAAAACACCTTATCAAACAGTCCACTTTGATATAAACGTCCACGGGCTTAGGCTATTTGAGAGAAACTCCGGAATAAAAAAACATGTTCATATTACTGTATTTAATTAAACCATTCTTATATGCAGCCTTAGATAAACAGGCAATAACTACTATAGTATGACCCCCATTTTGTAAAATGGTTTGATTCCATGGAGTAATTATCATCAGGGTTCTCACCAGGAAAGGAGGGCGAGTTGTTTGTAGAATGAATCGGGGGATTTTTTTCATGAATTTCGCTTATGTTTTTCATCCAAAAAACATCAATACACTTTTAAACATTTTGTTTACTTTAAGATTACACCATGTAATCCAAAAATATATTTCTCGTTTTCAAAGATAATCCATGGATTAACACCCAGGTATTTTTATTTTTCCAACTTCAGAGGGCTGGGAATCATTGATGCTCAACGCTTTTGAATATGATAAATGCTGTTTTAAATAGGTTTTACGTATGCCAATAATTTCTCAAATTATGTAAGCTGAATGCATTCCATAATCCCTAGAATATTCTCTTGGAGGAATCCAATGGTAGTTCCAAGCAGATTTTTAGATGGCAGGTAAGTAAATTCTTTAGTACTCGCCTTATTGGGTTGAGTTAGTTTATATTCAAAAATTATATATGATTCTGTAAAGATGTCAGTGTGGATGCTATATAGATTGCACACGTATGGTAAGCTGTATAATCCTATATTATGTAACACAAGTACAGTTTTGGTTGACATGATTGTGACTGAGTGAGAGATTAAACTCTTTAAGGCAGTTCTGCATGTTGATAATTTTTACTAATTTTGGTGATGAATAAATTATCTGATAATTATAAATTGGGCAATATTTTTGACATTTTAAGTGGATATAAAGAATTATGGTAACATACACATGGACCATGCATACACATTCAATTACAAATGTGAAAATATTGTCCCTTTCATTGATTATCGGTATTTATAATCATGAAAATTATTGAAAAATATCGAGACATGTCTACCTTAAAATCAGATTGGCTTACAAGTACCCTAAGCTATTTTCACATTTTTATTGCAAGAAAATCTTTTTGCAAGGGTTACAAAGGTTGAAATATTGTGGTGGCTCTATTTGGCTGGAGTTTAATATTCAGACCTAGCTATAGGTATTATTACATTTATATGTACACTAGTATCTTTTTGACCTATATTCAGCACTGTATTGATGAATGGGCCACTTATTAGGGCCAATATTCAATCATAAAGTGTACAGGGGTAGAGATGCCAAACCAAGAAGTCTTTTTGTGTCTGTCAAAATCCATTTGCATCCTACACATCCCAACATATTATCCAAATATGTTATTAATTAATGAAACATAACAGTATAATCTTTGGATTTAGAAAGTTGTATGGGATTTCATTAGTATAAAAGTTGCTTTTGAAGCATTTTTCTATAGCCATTTTGTAGGAAAAAAATGATCGAAAAAATGTATAATTTTTTAATTTGAAGTATGACCTGAATCGATTGCAAACTTTATATTTGCACATCTGATGTGATATACCATTTGTGTCATACTGTGAAATTATTAATTTGCAATCGATTCAGGTCATAGTGTATTTTAGGTATTTTTGTGAAAATCAATAGAAACCAATGGACTCTATTGGAATTGATGATATCCACATGTTAAGTCAATGGAGCCCATTCAATGGCAAGTCACTACACCCTTGCTGAACTAAATGACCTCAACCTCAGCCCATGTGGGTCCAAACGCTCAAATATTTTCCACAGTATTATGTGACGTTGTATTCTTTATGTTACACCTAAAAATGATTCATTTTGTTCATGGGGATATCATAATGGAAAGTGCACTAGACCCTTATTGTAATTGTATGATATCGTATTTGTGATTTGAATATACACTGTGATATTTGAGAAAAAGAATGATTTGTTTTAGTTTCATTGCAATTTATAACCCTAATATCCTTCCCAGAATCCTTCCTTGTCTTCCAATTTTCTAATAACCTCAGAAGTTCCTACTTTTTAAAAAAAATACAATTTTCCATGATCGTTTTTATGTCACCACCACAAGTGGTGACATATTGTTATGGTCTCAAACTTTTTTGTGGACGGTGTTCAGTGGTTGGTGTTTATCATTTGGCAGTTGGTGTTTGGCAGTTGGTGTCTGTAACAAATGGCAGGTGTTGACATTTTGCATGTGAATGCCTTGTCTTATAATGTAGCCAACTGCAATGGATGTAAAACGGATACAGTTAACTAATACATTTCTTGGCATCAATTCAAATCATATGCTAATTTAAAATGAAAATGCTTTTTTTCATGTTTTACCACTCATAAATGCCATAATATCTCGATGTCACATTCAGGAAAATATGGCTATCAACAAGTTTTGAATTCTTACAATCCTGGAAGTTGTACATGTAAGCGTACACATCTGTCAGTTCAGTTTATGTGTAAAAGTTAATCCCCTAAGCCTTAATACCTGATGCATGAAATATTATGAATGAGTTACATAATATGTACTCGTGCTATTTAGGTAAACGTTGTGCTGTTTCACCAGATTTGACTGACATCTTTAAATAACAACAATTTGATTTGATGATCAGACAGCAACAAAACATATTAAGTGGCCAAGACAAAAGAATGTTATTATGATAGGCATTCTAGGGATTAAGGAATGCATTCAGCTTACATAATTTGAGAAATTATTGGCATACGTAAAACCTATTTAAAACAGCATTTATCATATTCAAAAGCGTTGAGCATCATTGATTCCCAGCCCTCTGAAGATTGAAAAATAAAAATACCTGGGTGTTAATCCATGGATTATCTTTGAAAATGAGAAATATATTTTTGGATTACATGGTGTAATCTTAAAGTAAACAAAATGTTTTAAAGTGTATTGATGTTTTTTGGATGAAAAACATAAGGGAAATTCATGAAAAAAATCCCCCGATTCATTCTACAAACAACTCGCCCTCCTTTTAAGACTCCGTATTTTTCGCGGTATCGCGAGACCGTCCCGGGTAGGTACTACCCATGTGAGATCAGAGATATCCTATTAGTATACTTTTCAATATACTGAAGATTATCTTCCTATTTTCATCAC